TGCTCACTTTCCTTTTTCCATTTAGCTTGATATTTATTTTCTCAAAACTGGATTCTCTCTTTATCAAAATAACATGCCTAATGACTTCAGACTTGAGCAGAAAATGTGAGATGTAGTGGAAGTGGTTTTGGGAATATGTGCCTCTAATATGCTTCTTAGGTAACTTTTGAATACATCAGTTAGAGAACCTCCACTGTATTCTAAGTAAAGCTGATAAATTTATCTTGTTAGAAGAGAAAACTAAAGAAAAACTTCCAAGGGAATTAGGGTATTGTCGGCTTTTGGGAGATAACAATTTGGTGTGCAATTTAGTAAGACTCTAATTCAGGGGAACAGGTGAAGAGATCATGTCAAGATAAGGGGAGAAGTTTTTTTTGGGGAGTTGTTCAATCTTTATACTTCCCTCACCACAAAGAAGGGCTTAGTTTCTTCTGAGTTGTGTTTTCATACTGATTTATACTCTGCTGCAAATCTCAATAACCCTGTATATCCAATTGTAGTTTTTCTATATCAACTTTTCCAATTCAGGGATAGTGGAAGATGAAAAACTGATGTTTGACATTCGACAACGGTTACAGTGGCTAGGGTGATAAATCAGACTGTCAGATGTCGGAGTCTGAGTTGGTATATTGTATTGTAGGAAGCCTTCAGTCATGACATTGAGGGATCTGACAGGTTTTGTTTTATAATTTAAATAATTTGATCCATGAACAAGATATTTTGATGGGTTTTCTTTATAAATGTATTGTTATTTTGAATAGCTTTTGTTTGTAATTAAGTAAGTTGTAATGAAGCTGACAAAAGTAAAAAAAGCAAATACATAAAATATTTAGCAAAGAAAGGAACATGTTTGATGTTTGGTAGTTTTGTTTTAAAAAACATGGCAGATTGGATGATTTAAAAATTTGCCAGTTATAAAATATTTGGAAATACCAAATTAAAAAAATAAACAATTATGTAAATAGTTCAAAGATTTCCCAAGTATGTAAAGGATATCATCAGAGACACAAAGTAGAAACTGGACTTGACCTTCCATCACTTTGAGTTTAGGATTTGCATTTATACTCCATGGTCTGAGAAATTAACATGAAATTCCCTGAAACACTAGGCAGAAGTAGAGACAAAGTCTTTTTTGAAGGGGTACATCCTCAATCCTGGCAAGTAAAGAATTCCAATAGAAAATGTCTTGCCACCCATGAATCTAAAATTCAAAATTACAAAACCCAGAAGAAAATACAACCAGGGAGAAGCAAACACATCAAACAGCAGGATTATAAACACTACCACCCTCCTTGAGAAATTCCCACATTCTCCCTCCACACTCTAAAATTAGCACATTGGTGAAAATACAAACTGAAACTGGAACCATGAGAAACTAGCTTCAATATACTATTACTTGTTGTATTATATGTTGCATTGTTCTACATTGTACAAATACAAAGTGCTTTGGTAGTTCAGAGAATGAAGAGAACTGTAGAGAGTGTTGATGTAGCTTGAATTTGATGCTAAAATGTTGACAAGAGGAAATTTTAATTAGAGGAATGTTACTCCTTTCAAAATATCAATTAGATATTGCAAATCAGTGGTACCATAGAATCTTAGGAAATGAATGTCATTATAAAGTGTAACATTAACTTTTGGGTATGAACATTAAATTGAAATCATGACCATATATGAAACATAATTCTGCCCTTATTCAGAAAAGCTAAGATAAATGCCACTTCTCAATTAAGTTATATGAGACATCCCAGAAATTACCAAGTAACACACACCCTGAAAGTATAAGTATACTACTACAAACTGTCTTATAATAAGGCACTTAAATTCAGAGTGGTAAAAATCATCTAAGAGATATTGTGTTCTTTTTGCTGGCTCAGTGGTAACATAAATTCTGGATACAATCACAGGACTTGAAATGTGTTAAGTTTAGTTAAAGTAAGTGAAGAATACCTGCATTTCATTAGTAGAATGTGATATTATGGGAGTCAAATGTTATCTAGTTTAGATTTGATCTCAATTAATGTAAATGAGTATTATGTAACTCACTAAGAAAGTAAGTTTCTCAGAGATGATGAACTTCATTAAAATATACCTTTATCACTGACATATATACCATAAGGTCAAAATTTCCTCATTCTTGCTAGATTTTTAATGTGATGTGTTGAGGCCAATAGGCTGTCAGGTATCAACTTTCTAAAGATCATATTCCATGTGGGAAAATGTGCAGTGCTCTCTAGCAGAAAGGGAACTGTTTGTTGTTTGCATCATGGTAGTCTCTACAGACTTCTTGTGAATTTCACCTCTTTACAAGCTAGTGCTGACTCACATTTTACCAAAGTTCCTTTGTCAGGGTAGAATGAAAAATATAAGCTGTCAACTAAAATTTGACAGTAATAATTACGACTAGTATCAGTCATAAATTATTGCTTTCTTTTGTGGCTCTGAGTCTAATCTCTCATATAAGCTTCTCTGTTCTATTGTAGCTATTCTTGAAAGTCTCTTTTGCTTATTTTTATCAGGCTGCCATTTCAGGTAACAAGTTCATAATGTAGTTAGTTGAAGATGAACTTGAGATTTTTTGCTGTTGCTTTTTTTGGTCACTGTCCATCTTTCTTTTCTAATTTCTTACCTATTACAAGACTAGATGGAGGAGGAACAGAGAGAAGACACACACTCAGCCTCTACCTATGCAAGAATGGCCACCTCAAGGATTCCTCTTATAATTTCTATCATTTTCTTTGCTAGACAGAACTTGCAGTTTCTGAATGCATACTGTTCGAAACAGAAAAATAGCAATAAAAATGTCAGGTGATACAGCATTAGAATTTTCAATTTTTTCAGTGAAAATAGCAGTATGCTTTTGAACTAAGAATTTAAGTATACTGCATAAAATTTGAGATGTAAACTTGGAGTTACTGTATTTTAATTAATTTATTAAAATTCATATGATAAACATACGTTTTGCAGAGTTTTATAGTGCCATCTAATATTTTTTTCTCACAAAATTCTAGGAGTATTTGAAATAACTGTATTATAAACATATAAACTTTATTGAATTATAAAATTTAACTTTGATTTCCATTTGAGATTTTTCTATATGTGTGTCACTCATAAATTTTTAAGTTCAAAGAAAAAAGTCAAGCAGTTGTTAGATTGGAAAAATAAATCTCAAAATATGAGTTATAGGTCTTTCATATTATAGGTTTACTTATATTCAAAGCTAGAAAGCCAAAGGAAACTATTTTAAACTAAGGAGGAGATTCAGTAATGTATATATATTGTAAACATTCGGTGTAAAATATTGCTTTTTTTTAACATGGTGGACTGCTATTCTTAGTTTAAAAAATTTCATAGGACAATTATTATGTTCTAAGTAGATTTAAACCATATCATAAGAGGTATTTACATTGTAAGAATCTAGGATTTTTTTTATAGTTTTCATTGTGATTGCGTAGATTCATAGTTTTGAATCAATATCCAAAATGTAACAATGAATAATTAAATTAATTATCTATTTACAGTTAGGTAATTGTCTAATTAGTTTGAGAATAATAGATTATAAAATTTTCAATAAATATTATTAAACACATTCTATACTTAAATTATTTAAACTTATCCATTAAAAGTTCAAAATGAGTGTGTGTGTGTGTGTGTGTGTGTGTGTGTGTGTATAGACAGGTACATAGCTCCTTTATAATTTTAGTGATAATTGTGTTTTCATGCTTAACCTTTTTCCCAAATAGACAAACATCATCTACCAAACATCATCCACCGGTTCATGGAAAGGAATTAAGATCATATAGAGCAAGAGTAAAGGATCAGTGAATTGGAGACACAAACAGGAAACTGTTTATATCATGGATATTGAGCCAGACAAAGTGGGGATACCAAGGATGCTTCACAGAAAAGACTTAGAAGTCAGTGCAGAAGTGTCTGGCTACCACAGGATGTAAATAATCTCTTGCTTTTTATATTTCATAAGTAATTCCTTTGTAGTCAGAGAGTCGTTACTACCGTGCCTAGGTCTGTTAAATCAGTCTGATAACTGTGTGGGTGACGTCTGGAATCTGCTATAGTAAATGTACACCCGATACATAAGCATGGCTTTCACGTGTTCCTAGGCTTTGATCATCTCAGTGCAGTTCATCATGAAATACTAGAGCTCTTCTCTGATGCCAATCTAGGCAGTCAGTTGCTTCTAGAGCAGAAAGCTCCTACTGCTGGGATAAGAAGTCTTTGTTATCTAACTGGGTATTTGTCACAGAGAATGGAAGAAGGGGGTGTGAAGGGAAGGTTTTCAGGACCAGGTAAGTAACTTTATTTTCTTTTTACTTTACAAAATCAAGTATTATAATGTTATCTTTAAAAATTCTACTTTAATTGTGGAATGTTTAATTGAAAGCTCTCTGGGCACATAAAAATGTCAACTTAAGCTACACTATAATGGGATTAGAATTGAAAACATATGCACATAATTTTAGTCTAGTTTTTTTTTAAATTCTTTAAGAAAAATTTATGAGAACAGACATTTTAGGTAATATTGATAGGATTTTATTTCCCCTTTTTTTGAAGGACACTTTTATGAATAAAAATCTAAAACAGAATGGATCAATATTTAGGAATAATGGCTATCTCTTATGTCATTAGGAGATATCAACAAGTTTTTTCTTTTTGATGCCACTGTCTTTAGAAATCATAAAAGGCTGACATAGGCTAAAGAGGCTATGATGTGTGGGTGTGGGGTGGGCTGTAACTAATACGGGCTCAGGTGAGCAGCTGCCATGCATTGCTAATGAGGAACCCAGCTAAAGGGTTGTTGCACATTCTAAAGCTTCAGATGCTGTGTGTGGTTAGAAGCCTGGAATTCCTTTTTAAATTACTTTGTTACACAGCTATATTTATTAGAATTTGAGCACACTACAAATACACATACTTCTAAGATGTCATTATAGTAAAGGCCCACAATCTGGTTACATTTCAGGGAGAAAGTCTACACTGAAATGAACATTGTGAGAAAATTCAATTTGATGATACCTTGGGGTACATTCTTGCTCCATATACTGCTGTTTTCATTACAAGGTAAGAACTTACATTAAATTTTTACCTTAATTTATCAAATTTTAGCCTCTCTTACAATTGATAATAGTTTTTTTTTTAAATAAAGCATTTTTAAGTCATTGGAATGACATTCAGGTAATCTTATTGAAAATTCTTAATGATATGGAAAACATGGACCTTTTACTTGTTATTTTTTGTGTCTTTTTAATGGCTATTTAGAATCATGCTTCAATAATGTGCAATTATACTAGAAATTCTGATTCATTTTTTCTTCTAAAAGATTATTTAAAATAATTGTCTATGATAGAATAAAGATTGGGTATTTAAACTTTCTTCATACCATCAAGCCCCCAAATGGAAAAAAAAATTGTTTGAAGACTGACTTTTAACAGTTGAGGTTAAGAATTAGTTTCCCATTATTTTTGACAGTAATTTTACCCATAAATTAGTTTTTATAATATATTTCCATGGGGAAATCATATATTTACATTTAGTTTTTAGTTTTTAATCCCTGAAAAAGGCTGTATGCTTGGGAGATTGTAGGGAAAAGGGGAAAAATTATTGAAATGTAAATGACAGGAGAGATCAAGACATCACCTTCCAATCCTAGTAGTGACTGGAAACCCAAGAAGAAGGTGTCCTAGGATGCTGGAAGGGACATAGGAGATCCACTTGCACAACACCAGCATTCCGTGGTGTGTTTGTTATCTTGCTTAAGTCTGGCAAATATGAAGTAGTAGGGCCAGAACTATAACTTGGATCTCTGATTCCAAGTCTAGTGCTCCCTTGGTTGCATTATGTCTCTGTGTAAATCCATGTACACTGCTTGTTCTTTTTGAATTATCACTTAACTCCAATGTCTCACAGACAATGTCCTGGTCAGAATTCTCTGTAAAGTACAAAATAATTAGCAGCGAAATTGATGTTACAATGAACTGTTAAGCAATCAAAACACTGACCAAGATACTTGTAGGCTTTTCATTCTTATCTTTATATATTTATGTCTGGCAGGATATATTTGTGTATCATCCATCTTGATGGGAGCATCGAAGTGAGTATTTCTTGTTTTTTTTTACCCTCGAAAACATGAAATAATGGAAATAGCACAGCTCAGCAGACAATTGTATCTGCTTTTAAAAATAAATGACATATTTTATGAAAAATGAAATAAATTTTATAAGACATTTCCACAAGTTATAAGTGATTTGGCATACATTTCCTTATTTATGAAGCTAAAATATTTCCTTTTAATTACAAGAAGAGTTCTTGGTGGTGTCCACTAACTATAGGTACTAACGAGATTTTTATTTCAAAGATTTGTAAAGAGGCTATATGCAGTAATATAAATTTTTATTATTAATACACATTGATTGCAAATGTATTTTTTTCTGTATTCTTAACATAAGGTAAAACAATTTTTAATGATAAAAAAATAAAGTAGTTCTGGCAGTTGAATAATGAAAATCACTTTTTGGACTAAATTAATCTGCTGAATAAAAAAAAAAAAACAATTCTATTCTGCATTTGAGTATTAACAAAAATTTTTATCAATATATATAAAACACAAAAATATAAAACACCATAAAAAATATTCACCTTAGTGAATGGACTGGTTTTGAATAATAGCAATGTGCTGCCCCTACTCACATTAATTTTAGTCTGCCCTTTATGACATGGAACAGGAGAGAATTGAGTATTATGACTGAAAAGAAACCGGGTGTACTCTTGGCAAAAACTGACTTCACCAGATTTACCAAGTCATGTGGTGGAAATATTATGCTGGTTGGTGCTACAATGTTACACTATTTTATTTCTCTATTTCCAAGTTCCTTCCTAAAATCCAGTTTACATCAGAGACTGGAGAGATTTGGGGACACTCCTAAGTTTTGTAAAATGAGACAGCACCACCACCCAAATCTAACCCCTTCAAAAAGGGGGGGGGGACCTTTTAAATGTTAAACCAAGAAAGACCTCTTTGATAAAGTGATGGAAATCAGGAGGAAAACACCAGCTCTCTCTTGGGAGAGGCTTGTTCAGGTTGCCTAGGGGCCTCTGATTATACAAGTTCTTTTTGTTTTCTTCTAGAAATGAGTTTAATGAAAATCGACAGAAAAGAGCTCTTTTAGCAGCACAGGTAGGTTATGCCTCAGATGGAGAGGGAGGCAGAGAAATAATCCATTCTGCTTTGGACTCTGCTGTCACTTCAACAATGAGACCTTTGTAGAGGGGAATAAAATGCTAAAAACAAAACAGAAAGCGGGAGAAAGAGGCAAAGTAACTTCTCTGCTTTTTTTGTGACCCTCAATTTCATGCTTGGTTCTCATTGATATGTTTGAAGTGAAATACGTTTTTTTTTGTTGTTGTTGTTTGTATGTGTGTGTGTGTGTAGCAGTGCTCTTCATCTTAGTTATCTAACAGATGGGCTTGAAGCATTTATGGAAGATTGAATCCCATCCACTTGGTAGGAAATTTGAATTTGTTTAGAAGTTAGGCACAATGTCAGTCAGGACCATAGCAATAATACAAATACTTTCAAGAAGGAGCGGACAAAGATCAAAAATGATACAAGTTAAATACTGTAGGAGGGCATCAAATATATATCTTGATGTCCTGACAGAGATGGCTTTTGTATTTTCTGAAGAATGTAAATTGTGGGCATCTCTGAAGAGGTAACTGGTTTTTGGAAGACAGGGTAACATTGAATTTGAGGAGCTCTTCTTGCTTGGGTCCCTTTATATAAAAGATATTGGGTAACATAATTGCATTATCTACAAACTATAGTCAGAACATTCAAATGAATTGATTTCAGAAAATGTATCTCTATAAGAGATAGTTTGCAAAATAAGAGAATCCTAACTTAGTAAAGGCATTTTGGGGAAAGTAATGTGATTTGAATATTTATATAGCAAACAGCTTAAATATTCAAGGAAGCCTTTGACAAATGCTAAAGTGCAAACAATTTCTACTAGCATTTTTTGATGGATGCCTGCATTTGTATATTTTATGGTGTTGAAGAAAAGAATTAGTAGATGAGTATGACAGATTTGATATGCTGTTGTTACAGTTTAGGAAACCAAACTGATTTATTTTTGTCAAGAGTAGAGACTTTTTTTTTTTTCCCTCCAGAATGGGCAAAGGATTTTATGTAGAATGCAAACACTATTTTTTTTTTCCTGAAAAGAGAGTGTTTTGCATACAAAGTACTTATGTATCATGTGAAGTGGTTAAAATTTTTCTCTAAGAAAGAAAAGGTAATGTTTGCTAGAAGATCATATGTTAATTAAGCAAAGTCATCCACATGACTCAGTAAGAAATCTGATTTTGAGAAAAACTTTCTGGTGAATCCACTAGATTGAGGGACCTTTGAAATATACTCCGAAGGTGTCAGTCATATAAAGTGCCCTATGGATGGGACTATACTATTGTGCATTTCAATGTATAATTTTCCTGAACACCTTCTTTCTAATACTGAGTGAGGAACACACTTTCCTTGTCTTGATGTCCTCCTTCAGGAAAACAAAGAGCAGGGGACTTGCACTTCTATTTTCTATAGCTAGAGAGGGTGCATCAAAATCATGTAATATTCCTGGACAGATTTAAAAAGAAGAAATGTTAAAGAAGGTCAATGAGACCATAATCATGCATGACCCTCTGTCAGATCTCAATCTTGTGTTATAAGGCCATTTATGTCCATAGATTCACTCACATGCTTTAAGAACACAGCACTGATGGGTAAATAACTGTACTCAGAAATACATTGCCAACGAAGTGATCCAGAGAAGGATAGACAGACTTTCACAGATGCTGCAATGATTTCCCACATGAAGACTGTAATTTTGTGGTGCTTCTTAATCTCCTGTGGAGTTATAATCAGTAAGGCAGAAGAATGGGCTGTCCTCTTTTATCACTTATGTGAATATGTGCACCCAATGCCTGGGGTATTTTTGTATTTGCATTCCAGTTCAATTATTCCCTGGAAGCAGGTGCTGAGACATAGACTTAGGAGCAGGTTATTTACTTGCAGAGTGCACAGATGTGGGAGAGGCAAAAGTGAGGGAAGAAGGGAGAAAATTGAATATAGGGTATGTTAATGAGGGGCTTTCTGTTGTAGGTACTTGGGACCTGCTCTTATTGGGAACCCTATGAGGAACTGGATAGCATGTATCCTAGAATTGTTTCCACAGTGAGAATCTGGAATATTTATGCACCAATTCCTGTTTCTCACTGGTCAAGAGTAGCTTCTGAGGACTTTTAAATACCCAGAAAAGCACTATTTGTCATTTGTCCTGCTTGGACTCTGTCCTCAGGCAGAGAGAGAAAGAACCCAAGGTTTGAAGTTGGAGGCTGTCAGTGTGCACAGGAACCCAGATAGATTTCAAGGTGAATTTGAGGAAGTTCTGAAAGGGGCATCAACAGAGTCTGCTGTAGTCATGACTCTCAATACCCTTGGGAACTTTTTTTTTTTTTTCCATTCAGTTGATGTTTGTTGCCAACATATCAAGAATTATGCTAGAGATATAAACAAGAATAGCAGGGCTTGATATCTAGAAACTCCATGTCTAGTGGAAGTAGGGTTATAGAGAAGTAATTTCTGTGCAATTGGCTCATTGAATATAAGACACCATCAATTACTTGTCAATATCCATGTGATGTAAAAATTTAAAAAGCTCCTAATTATCAGTGTAAAATGCCATTTTAAGTTCAGATTTATTTTTTAAAATGCTGAGTGTCATGTCTAGCACTGGTGAAATGGGTAATGATGCTGTGATACATAGGATGGAGGCTGGGTAGTTAGGAGGTGGTGTTTAGGTAGTCATTGCAGTGTCTATAGTGGAAGTGTGGGTTGGGTGGGGCAAGAAACAAATTATATTCTTTTGCCTTGGCCTTATGTTATCCAGTGTATTCCGTTTTGCCCAAGAATAGCATTTGGTAGCATGTTTCTAACCCTTGTTATGTGTTTGGAACTAAATGTATTACTTCTATGATTACATTTAATCCTCACAATTCTGTGAAGCAGGTGTTATTATTCCTTTTTTATATAATGGGAAACTGAGACTGAACAGGTTGAGTAATTTTATCAAGGATATGTGGGACGCAGAATTGAAATTACTATACACATTTGTTGAGTATCAGAGATGATTGGTTGGTGTACACTAATAAGATTGGACTAAAATCAGAAAGAATATGGCTGAAGAGAAAATAATACTTGCTGTCCAGGTGGAATCAAGGTCATAGACAGTTGTGAATTTAATTTAATTTGTAGACAGAGGCAAAAACAAATAAATAGAGGAGATGGAGCAGTGGGGATGAAACCTGGGAGGATGTGAACAGGAAACAGTGAACTTGGAGCCATGGCGTAGGTCAAAGAGTTTAGAAATAAGTCTTCAAGCTGGGCATGGTTACACATGCCTGTAATCCCAGCAGCTCGGGAGGCTGAGACAAGAGGATTGCAGGTTCAAAGCCAGCCTCAGCAAAAAGCAAGGAGCTAAGCAACTCAGCGAGACCTTGTCTCTAAATAAAATATAAGATAGGGCTGGGGATATGGTTCAGTGGCCAAGTGCTCCTGAGTTCAATCCTGGTACCCTCACCCCTACCCTGCAAAAAAAAAAAAAAAAAAGAATAAAAAGAAATGAGTCTTCAAATATTGAGAGATAATGAAGCCAGAATTAGACAGGCAGTCAGGATAGGTAAGTAAATCAAGTCAGGCCGGATCAAGGAGGCCAATTTGAGTGAGTCCAGGAAGTTGGAGACTGTCCCCTTAGGGACTGAAATGTATTGAATGTATTAAGGCCTTCAGAGCCCTTCCCCCACCCTTATCAAGAAACTGCCCCTGCTCCAACCTGTTGCTAAGGTAACCTGTCCCAGGAATTGCCCCTCCCGACAGGGAGCTCTAAGGTTGTTCATTAATGTAGGTCCTGGGCTGCTCCCTCCTGCCCTTCCCCCTTCAGCCCACCTATTTCCCACCTTTTGGCCATCCCACCTAGCATTCCTGGGCCTAGTCACCTATGCAGGAAGAAGAGAGATAAGGGGAAGAGAACAGGAGAACAAAGGAAGCCTAGGACATATAAAAAGGGCAGAACACCTCACTTCTTGGGGTACCAGGATAGCAGCTATGGCCCCCTTCTCTCTCCCAGGAGAAGTCTGTGTTACTCCTTTTTAAATAAACCCTGCTTCATATGCTTACCTCAGCGTGCTTCTCTAATGTTCAAACTTCAACATGTGAGGAAGCAGGATTCGTCACCGATAAGCAGCGGTTTCATATAGCATAGAGCAGGTTTTCCTATTCAAAGAAAAAGTACTGAGATGGAAAAATGCCAAAATAAAACTTCACATGTGGGCAGGTGCCTAGAATCTGTGGAAAAAGGACTCAGTTTCTCACATGACGTCCCTCATTCCTACTTCCTTTTTATCCTTCCCCTTCTCCAGTTTTTCCAACATCATCAGCTACTTTATTTGACAATTGTGTGGCAAATTTGGGGTTTGTGTTTCTTCTGTCAAATATGAAAAATGCTATTGGGAGAGATATGGCCTGAGTTGTATATGAAATTGGTACTGATTTGGACTGATCATCTACAACTGATTAGTTTTAAATCCACAATTATTTGATATGAATGTCTCATAAGCGTTGTTCAGATTAAAATAAGTTCCTTTATTACTGATTTCTCTGTGAAGGAATTATGCTGAAAACTTTACCTACTTTGTTTTACTTCATTTTCATAACTATGAAATGAAGTAGGTGCCATGATTGTTTCCTTTTTACAGATGAGTAAAGGGAGGCACTGAGAGGTTAAGAAACTTGCCAAAGTGTAAGTTATGACAGAGTCAGGACTTTACTCCAGGTCTCTTTGTTTCTATAATTCATGCTTTTAACCCTTACTTGAAACTACCTTAGGCTCTATAAAGAGATGTATTTAAATGTTCCATGAACTTTAAAGCGCCAACTCTTTCGAGCTAAAGGTGACACATCGACCCTGAAACAGCTGGTGCTTTTGTGGCTAGTGATTGGTGCTCAGGTTGCAAGACAGCACCCACTGTTGGTCCATTAGCCCCATGCAGTTTTTTTCTAGCCCCATCTGCACCTGGAAATGTCAGAGAACTACTGTTTCTGCAGGCAAAGCAATCAATTCATCCACAGATTAGGCTCCAGCCAGGCTCCTTTCACAAGGGGGTGATGGGCCTGAGAATGAGGAAGGGAAGTGAGGATGGGAGCAGAGAAGGCAAATGACTTGTCAAAGTCATGGAAGAACCCAAACAAAAGCTTGAAACCAGGTCATCTACCCACAACCCTGAAGGAGCCCTTTCTGCCTCACTGAGACAGTCTCTATAATCCATGGAAATACAAAGTCAGTACTTCATCATTTCTATATTTGTAGCTGTTTTCTGGATTTTTCCATCTGCATGTTTGGCTTGAAAAAATAATTCTTATTTCTTTCAAAGCTTGAAGCAACTTCTCCAAGATATTTTTTCCATGAAGCTATTAACTGGGGTGAGAGCAAAATAAAAGGTCAGTTCTTATACCTGTGTTTTTGTTTTGTTTTCTAGGAAGGTCCCTTTGGGAGATAATATTGAATCACTTCTGTATTGTTTCCATGTACTTCATGGAGGAAACTAAACCAGGGTGGTAATAATAGTAATAACTTAAGTTCATTTCCTATAGAAATTCAAATTATTTTTTAAAATAACCAGAGCTAAACATTTAGACAAAACCCATAAGACCTAGAATGATGTCAATGGGTATCAAAACCCCCTTTTCTGCATCATTTATTTTTTCCTTAATTCCTTGACATTCCTATTTTTCTTAAAAAAATAGTAATTAAATAATAAATAATATCAATTAAATATTAATTATCATTTAATAATTAAGTAATAGTTTCACATTTCCTTTAAGTAGTTTAAAATTTGAGAGGAAACTAGAAATTCTTATTATGATGTTTAAAATCACATGGATCCTCACCAGTTTTGGTTTGCTATTTGTTTTCAGGAGAACAAACAGGAGTGTAAATAAAATTTTGAAGGAGATACATTTGTTTACTTAAATATTTAAATATATATTCATTGGTAAAGCTTAAGGCTGTAACTAAGATAAACTTTAAAGATAAATGTGCACCTTAAGGAAAAAACTGCTTTTAAGTTTATGAAAAACATAATTTTCACCAATATTTATAGTTTAAGGTAAAACAGCTCATTTCTACTCACTAAGGATTTATGAAGAGATTTTTGCATTTTAAACTGTACAGATAGCAATGAATCTTAAGTTGGAAAGTAATAATAGGATTTTCTCATTCTTGTCTCTGGCAGAACTGTGGTTAAATTACTACAGTTAGATGAGTGTCTTCCATGAACTTGACATATCCCAGGCGGGCCCAACTTCTTTAGTAATACTTTATGGTGACTCAAAGATGTTCTTTAATTCCTTTGATATGTGACTTAAGTTCTTCCTGCTTGAGTTTTGCCAGTTGCCTCTTGTCCTCTCCTTAACAGAAGAAAAATTTTTATTGTGATTCATTTGCATTTTTTAAAGCCACTCCAAAGATTATAACAAAATTAGGATCGGAGCTCGTGGTGACTTGCTTCCTCTTTTTAATGTAAATCTTTGGAGCAAGTTTTCTTTCCACAAAAGATTATACTTTTGGTGACAGCCAGCAGTGACATGGGCTTAGGTCTCATCAATATTAAGCACAGGTTCCAGAGATATTGCTTCATTTATATTGAGCCTAAGGATTAATAAACAAATTTTGAATGAAGTGTTTAATCATTCTATTCAATAGTAGGAGTTCCTTTTTTTTTTTTTTCATGATTCCTTAAGTTAATGCTGATACCATTCTTTAGTACCATGCTTGCTCCTGGAGAAGGAGCAGATCGGAAGTGCAGCTGGTGCTGAACTCCATCAATGGAATCCTCTGCGGTTTGTGTATTTCTGGTTCTCATCATCTGGGACAGTGATTCCTTACATGGGAACTTGACCTTTCAATTGCTTGAAGGAGGATGACCTTTGCTCTCAGAGTAGTTTGAGATGTGAAAGCCTGACTTTCTTGCTTCACAGCTCACATAATGAAATGAGCTAGATAGAGATTTGATGGGTTTAATTCTTTAGCTTCTCAATGCAAGAGGCCCAGGGTTCTATTTAAGTTTATGGTGGTTACAGTTAGTCCAAGTTGGATCTTGACATATTGTGTTTATAAGAGCCAATGCATGCCAGAAAATAACTTATTATTTTGCTCCTCAGGTTCTTGTCCTCATGAATGCCTTAACGGAGCTTTCTGTTCTAAGACTGGTACATGTGACTGTCAAATATTTCAAGCTCTCGGGACAAGGTGCCAGATTAGTAAGTGTCAGGGATATTTGTGAGAGAATTATGGGATGCTGAAAAGAACATGAAGGCATAATTTTGCTATGGCAATGTTCATCCATTGGGAGTTGTATATTAACTAGAGAGCTGACAATTTATTTTCAGTGATTTTGAAACAATGTAAAATAAAATAAATATGCATACTTTTCCTTCATGCTGATCTCTAATGTTTTCCTAGTATTCTTTACACTTTATACACTACTAGTCCATTATAACAAATTCTCAGTCATCTCTCTTTTATTTTGTAAATTAGATTCTTTATTTGGAGCCACACATTCTTTTTGAATTTGAGTTAATTGATTATTCTGTACAAAAATATTGTAATATAATTGAGAGTTCTTCAAAACAGGGGAGTTTTTTCTTTTTCTAAGTTTTTATCTATAGTGTCTAAGATAGGATCTTATGTGAATATGATCAATAAATTTTCACCTAATATTTATTGAGCATTTACTAGATCCCAATGTAGGCAAAAGGCTATACATGTGTGAACAATATCGGCATGTTCCTGTTCTCCTGGAGGCTGCAGTCTAGAAATAGTATCTTATATACAAGAGATACACAATAATTAAACTTGTGACATGTACTATAAAGAAAAGTACAAGATGGATGAAAATATACTACAGAAGTAAGGTGCACTGGCAGGAAAGACTGCTTTAAAAGTGAATCACCTGCTGGGCATGGTGATGCATGTCTGTAATCCCAGCAGCTCAGGAAGGTGAGGCAGGAGGATCCCAAGTTCAAAGCTAGCCTCAGCAATTTAGCAAGGCCCTAATTTAGCAAGACTCTGCCTCAAAAAAAAAAAAAAGTCTTTTATTTATTTATTGTCTCTGACCAGTTTTTTACTGGTCAGAGACAATAAATTTAAGTAAAAATTACAGAAAGAAAGAAAAGGCACTAAAAAGAATATCTATGAGGGTAGATATGATATGATGATCACAGGAAATGAAGTTGTGTCATTTAAGATGAATATTGCTTGAGATTTGGCCACTCTGAGGTCATGATTTCTGAAATTCCAGTAAACTTTGAACAACTAATACTATTTTTGTTTTGTCTTGGTCAATACTTATTTTTCTCTTCGGATACCATAAAAAAGATTTTTGAAAGAACTGTGGAGACTGGAACACTCTAGCTACCTATGCAAAGTTTTAGGACAGGCCGTGGTGACATTTCTCCTTTCTGAGCCACATATTTGCTTTATCAGCACCACCTTCTTTTCTTATATCATTTCCTTGGTCTTCCTTTCTCTACACTCTCCTTTTGGAAGTAAAAATTAACATCAATCTTTTTTTCAGAACAAATTGGAGACCCTGTTTTTCCTTAAAAAGTTTGATAGTTTTGACAACACCTAGTAATTTCATAATAGGTTTTTCTTCCTGTGATAGAAACTACCAAAGAAGAAAATACTTATTTCATTGAAAATTAGAATCATCATAACTGAACATGACTAGAAGCAACTAATTTATTTTACTAAACTTATTCCTATTTCTTTTCAGTCCCAAACATGGGAAGTGGCAGAGATGGTATTTGCAAAACCTGGGGACAATATCATTTTGAAACATTTGATGGCTTCTACTATTACTTTCCAGGAACTTGTTCCTATATTTTTGCAAAGGACTGTGGTAATTTGGAGCCTCAGTACACTGTATGGGTAGGTGATCCTAGAATATATTCATTTAAAAAATTATTTCTGGAAAAGTGTATCCTTAAAAGAACTGGGCAAATGATGGGGAATAGATAATAATAATAGAATGACTACTCAGGGTTCTGTTCTTAATGGATAGACCAACTTTGTGGTTATATTGAGTATAATTCTATTGAGATGAGGCCTAGCACTGTGAGAAATAGGGTTTGAATCCCTGTTGGAGGATCTTATAGGCAATGCATAAGTGTCTGTTATGGATGTCATCATGTCAACACCAGTCATTATCTCTCATCTTCAGGGTTTGCTTGATTATTGAAAAGGGGGTAGGTTCAGTCACCAACCCATTGCTTATACTTATTTCCTTCTTGACACTTTATTGAGGGGTATATACTCAGCCCTGAGTTCAAGTCCCAGTAACAAAACAAAACAAACCAAACCAGCATCTTAGTATGGACTGGAAGCTGACATTTATTCATTGGAGTATACAAACTACATAATTGTTAGTTAGATTAATACTATACGATGGAGCTCAGAGAATTAGTTCTTAGATGCAGAACTACTTATTCAAATGAATAAGTAGGAGACATCTCAAGAGGCAAATTGCAGAGTAGCTCTAGTTCAAATAAGAAAGTCAGGACTTCTTCCCCTGTGATTTATCCTTTCGTGAATTTCTAGGCATCTCAAAGCACAACCAAGAGACGGCTTGAAGTCCTGCTTTAAAAGCTAAATCTTTTCATAGCCAATATGTGTTTAAATTCCTGCTAATTGTTTTTCCTTCTAACTTATATGTTGAAGTTGCCTAAATTCTTCTTCTGTCTTAGATGATGCAAATATTAAAAGTAGGATATGAAACTTTATTCAGGGATCTGGTCTGCAGCTCAGAAAGGCAACGAGATATATTGACCTTTGAAAGTGTGGAGCCTATGGTGTCTTTAAATAGGAAAGTTAGTGGGATGCATTTTCAGTGCTCACAGAATTCTTGCTGTTAGCTTCTTCATTGTCATTGACTCCCTCTTCCCCTCCTCCCACTAGGTTTCTCTCTCTATATTGGTATTCCTGTTTCTCTCTATTGGTATTCACTTAACTCCTTTGACTTTCTCATTGAAATGTTCTTGTCCAGTGTCTTACTCTACTGAGGCCTAAGGTATCAACTAGATCATCATCCTTTGATAATAATACAATTAGTAGAAAAATTGAAGTTTCAAAGAAGTTTAAAAGAATGATATTAGGATTATCAGTCAAGAATTACCATTACCATTGCTAATGGCTTCATATATTTCCTTACAGGATTTTTTTTTTACTCTACATTTTATACAGATTTATAAAATTGAAATTATACTGTGTATTATTTTTCTGTTCTACATTTTTACTTAATGTTATATCAATAACTTTCTTAAATGTCAAAGAGTTTTAACAAACATAAATTTTACTAGCTGTGTACATTTCAATTCATGGTATGCCCAAATGATTTAATGATGTCCCATTTTGGAAATTTTGGTTTTTAAGGTCAGTATTTAAAAAAAAACCTATTTATTCAGTTTTCTTTTTTATACTCCTGATATTTAATATTTAATATTTATTTTAAATCTAATTTTATTTTTATGAATATAGTACATGACAATAATTTGAAAGATTTCATAAAGGTATAAAAAATAACCCTACCTTCCTTCATTTGTTTTTTTTTTGTTGTTGTTTGTTTGTTTTGGTACTAGGGATTGAACCCAGAGGCACTTGACCCCTGAGCCACATCCCCAGCCCATTTTACATTTTATTTAGAGACATGGTCTTGCTAAATTTCTTAGAGCCTCACTAAGTCATGGAGGCTGGCTTTGAACTCGAAATCCTCCTACTTCAGCCTCCAGAGTAGCTGGGATTACAGGCATGTGCCACTACACCTGGCCTTTCTTCATTCCTGGTGTAGTTTGGCTCCCCAGAGGCAACTTTTGAAACTCTTTCTTTGGGTTTTTAATCTTACATAAAGATATGATATTATTTCTTTATTTTTTAAAAGTTAGAATTTATTTGGAGCTGGGGTTGTAGCTCAGTGGTAGAGGGCTTGCCTAGCATGTGTGAGACACTGGGTTCAATTTTCAATACCACATAAAAATAAATAAATAAAATAAAATGTAAAACAATAATTTTATTGTTCATCTATAACTAAAAATAATTTTTTAAAAAGTTAGAACTTACATATTCACTTTCTTTTATGGAAAATGAGGAATCATCTTAATTACAGCATACTTTAACACTTAGTTACATGCACACACACAGAAACAGATACACTTGCAGATACACAAACACACATACACATATACCCCCACTTCTTCATTCCTTCTAATAGAGTTATATCACTATTTTTGGTTCAATCAACATATGGATGTTACATTGGAGTCACTATGTAAGCATTGCTTAGAGCTGCACCCAATAGGTTAGAGTGACTTTATTTCTCTTGTACATTTTCCTAGAGTAAACAGTTATCCCATCTTTTGTTTGTTGCATTTCCTTTACTGATTTCTTTTGAGGCCACTATGTATCTACCATGTGGGATTTCTATTCAATCTCCTCCTGGAGAATTTTGTTCCCTCTCTCTATATATCTCTATATTTTGTTCCCTCTCTATATTCTTGGATCCTAATGAAAGTCCAGTGAACTGGGAACTTTATTCATACTTGAGAGACAGGCTCTGAAAAGCCTATTGGATGCTCTGAACATATAGCCAGTGTTTGCAGTGGTGTTTAAACAGGGATTCATTTCTTCTTTGTTAACTTACTTACTTGTTCACTAGTTCTTAAGTTTTTTTTTTTTTAAGTTTGAAAAAAGAAAGATACTTTTCCTGGAAAGTATGCATGGGGGGAAAACCACTTTTGAAATATTAATTATAATTTGGAAAACACTTTCAGAATTTTGACGTTCAATTCACTGTGATTTCTGATCATTTGCATTTTAGAAAGTTAATTCTGTTGTCCAGATTGTTGGGTAAATATTTATTTTCTCTCAATAATCACAAATGTCATATAGCTTTGTAGAATGTCTTGGGACTAATGAAGCTACAGAACTATAAACATGCATTGTGATTTTAGTAACCCAAGTGGATCCCATTTGTTGTTGTTGTTGGTTCCTATGCTTTTTTATTTTTTTCATTTTTCTCCCTTAAAGGTTCATAACAGTCCTAAATGCTTTGGTTCAGTGTATAGTTGTTATCGGTCAATCAGCTTATTCTTTTCAAACCAAGAGGAAATTCGAATTTATGGCCACGAAATTAAAAAAGATGGAATCAGGTAATGTATGATAAATGATATAATAAAAATGATACAACAGATTAACAGAATTTTAAAATATCTTGGTCTGGAAGTGAATTGTGGAGATTAGGAAGAGATTTTACTTCAACAGTACCCTTCCGTTGTATGGGAGATACGAAAACTTAAGTGAGTTCTAAGGCCAAGCAGGTAGCCAGGAATCTTACCAGTTTGACCTTTCTAATTCTTGTGCAGGACAGAAATATGTTTACACAGATATAGACAAGTTTATCATATTTTTTAAATGAGAAATTCAAGAAGTTTTTATACTCAACTCCTGATTATTTTATTTTATATTCAACTCCTAATTATTTTTTTCTTAAATATTTCCTCTTTATCTTTGTAGCAGGACCTTACAAAAATCTATTTTGTTTTATTTTTGAAATGATAATTGAAGACCTTTCCAAGTTTGTGTGAATGAAGTTTGGGTGTCACTTGAGATTTTCCATTGAAGTTCTGACAAAGACTCAGAGACAATAAATAACTGGCCTTCTTGAATAGATCAGAGAGGAACCGCTTCTGGCTTCCTGTCTGCCAAGAATATGACCCAAGAGTTTGGGGGGGGAGTGTATATTTATATATTTTGCAAAAGGTTTTATGCATTTAAAACTAGAAATACTGTGGAATAAACTACCTTTCCATCTAAATAATTACAGAGACACTTTTAAATATTTAAATATTTCCTAGCTGAGTTATGCCAGAAAAAGTAAATTGGGGGCTGGAACAATTGCATCCATCATTCAGAATTCACTACCACGTTTTGAACAATGAGGATTCTTTCCAAAGCAATGGCCTTACCAACCAATGATGCCTTTTCTCAGTTTACATTCCTCAAGAGGCAGCAGGCAGTAGCAGAGAGGGCTTCTGACAGCGTACCAGGGAGCTTTGTCACAGTTGCAACCAGAAATAGCCCCTCCATCTCTCTAGGCTTATTTTCTTGATTATTTTCTTCTAAACAAAAACTTAGCATTTGAATGGGAAGCATTGCGCAGTTAAACATGTATTTCCCAGAGCTGAATTTAAATAGTTAATTTAGGATGCTCTATATGGGAATTTGGGTAATATAGTGGGCACTTAAAAATACATGTTTTGTAAAACAGAGATGCCATTCAGATAGGTTAACCCTTTGTTAAGTGGAAGGCATATATTTAGTTTTAATAAGGAGAAAGCATTTCTATGATGATTTCCAGTTACATGATAGAAAAAATGATTTTCTTATTACTCAGCAATGTTGCTTTTATTAATGCTGTTTATGGCCTAGAGCCTAACTCACAGTAAGTGCAACAGAAATATTTGCTAAAATAAACTCAAATATGGTGGCTCTGCACATTAACCCATGTCTCTCTGGATTTTAGTTTTCTCAACTGTGAAATAAGGGATTTTGGTAGAAATGAATCTGTGAATACTTTTTAGCATTAATCTGTTATTTATTTTAGCTTGCATTTTAATGTTTCCTATTGTAAAATAAAATCAGAACTTTATACACATTTGGGGTTTGTCTTAGACTTTCTGGAGTTTATCTAGTTCTCATTTTTATTCCTCATCTCCTCTAATATACTTTTATGTTATAAACTTCAGAATAAGCCCAGGTACACATTTTTCTTTTTAACAGTTGTGTATACAATTAAATTAACTATTATACAGAGCAAGTAACAAACCAAGTAACAGACAACCTGACCAAAAAAAATTACCCTCAACAGAGTAATTATATTTATAATTAGCATCCCATTACTATAAAATGTTTATAAAACACAATTTACTTTTTCAATTATAGTTTTTATAAACTTGCAATCTCAAGCAAATAATATTCAATATAATTTCAGACTGACTTTATGAATTCCTCATATTTATAATTTTCATAAGAACATATTTAGTCTTTTTGTTCTCCAATTAAGTTTTTAGTTATTTTCCTATGTTATAACAAATTTTCTGTAAATATTTATCTATAAAATATCTTTGTGCAAATGGTTACAGACATTTTGAGTTGCTTCTTTGGGGATTGTCCCTTCATGTGTTAGCATGTTTGGTTTTGTAGTTTCTGTTGCATATATCCATGCTCTATGGGAAGAAATCACTAATTTGAAATTTTTGAGAGAAGTATATGAATATACCTATTCACCACCATTTTACTCACATTATAGTTTGTGATTTTATTTTGACATGTTATCTTAACAGAAATGAGTTTTTTCCAGTTTCCTTAATTATCAGCACCTGTTTTTTTCGACAATACTCATGGATGGGAGAACGGTATTCTCTTAAATGTTTCCTAGATGACTTTGCTTTTTACATGTCCAGTTGTTTAGTTTTCTTCAATTCCCTTATGTTCTGATTTCCTAAGCACACTTTTTGTGTGTGTGTGTGTGTGAAAAATGGAAAAATTAGACATTAGATTAGGAGTTTAAATATCTTATTTAACCTTTGTTTAAATGGGCCACACTGTATCCACCTTAAAACCTAGGAAACAGTCTATGCAATATTACACGACAAATTGTATTACATTCCTAATGTAAGTATGATTAACTATTCTGAGACATTTTTCTTTTAGAAAACAATGGTTTATGCTAAGGTGATATTTTGATAATGGGAACTCATTTCCTGATAGCCACATTGAAAATTAAAGAAAATTAGAACTTGAATATGTTTGCATATTTTGACTGTTGTTTGTCTTGACTTCAGAATTGTTGAGCATTTTAGATTATTTTTAACTCTCTAGAAAAAAAATCACTTAAGCCCTCATTATTCTAAATAGGTAGCTACTTTGCAGATTTTAAAAAAAAATTACTGATACTTAGCAAGTGTGCATTTTCGGTTGGTTAAAAGAAGCATCCAGTCAGGCACAGTGGCACATGCCTGTAATCCCAGTGGCTCAGGAGGCTGAGACAAGAGGATTGCAAGTTCAAAACCAGCCTCAGCAACAGCAAGGCACTAAGCAAATCAGTGACATCCTGTCTCTAAATAAAATACAAAATAGGGCTGGGAATATGGCTCAGTGGTTGAATGCCCCTGAGTTCAATTCCTGGTACCCACCCCCTTCACTCAAAACAAACAAACAAACAAACAAACAAAAAAAGAAGCATCCAGTTGTAAGGATAGACTCCAAATTGGTATGGGAAAAGATGATTGTTTTCCTTGTATTTTAATTTCAATATTAAAGTTTTAAAAAATGTTGAGATTCCCATACAGTGATTACTTTGGGGATCTCACTGCATAGTTTATTCTGTAACTGAGTAACAATTGTCTTTTAATTATTATCGAAGTCACTTCAAGAAGAAAATACATCATCTATAATTGATCCTTTATCATATTCTTAAATTGTCTTCATTCTATTTTTCAAGTTTAATGTTGCCTCAGACAATTGGACAGGTTTTCATTGAGAAACTAGCTGACTACATTCTGGTGAAAACCACCTTTGGCTTTTCTTTGGCTTGGGATGGAATATCAGGAATTTACCTCAAACTGTCTGAGGAGCATAATGGAAAATCATGTGGCCTGTGTGGAAACCACAATGACATACAGTCTGATGATTTCATAATTCAGCAAGGTAAGTGGAACAGGAAGAGTGTGTGGTACTTTCTAGGGTCTTCATCCCTCACTGATTAAGCACTTAGTACCCTGAAAACTTGTCATGGGTTGGGGAAAATTCTTGGCTACCCTGTTCCTGCTTCAGTGATTTTAAGTGAAGTGAATAGTTAAACATTTTTGTCTCTTTCTTGAAAACTATGAGCTAGTTTTGTAGCTATTGCTAAATTAAAATGAAGCACTTATTCCCATAGGGAATATTAATTAAGCATTTACTTTGTGTTAGCAGCATGGGGTAGATCTGTATCTCTTGCTATAGAAACTTGGGCTACAACAGTGAACAAAACAAAGATCCACTGCTCCTGGAGTTTATGTTCTAGTGAATGAGACCCTTCTGAATCAAACATCTACTTCAGGATAAAAGCCATTTTGTATCTCGTCTTAATAAGAATAAATTAAATAAGTGACAAATAATACGTTTAAAAATACAATGAAATACGGACAGGATTATAAAAACTGAATAGTAACTTAGAAAGGGCTTACATACCTACCCAATATCTGTTAAATTTAAGTCATGAAACTAACCTCTGTGAGTTATTAGAAATGGAGTCTGTTTCAATTTGGGTATTAGTATGCAATGGGAATAGAATATGAGAGCCACAAGCCATAATTGTGATTTATGTCCACACACACAGATGCAGCAAGAAAAGAACATTGTTCTTAGTACCAGTGGACCTTGCTTTGAATCTTATTCCAACTCTAACAAATTCTATAATTTGATCATTTAATCTTCCAGATGCTCAGTTTATTCAGCTGTAAAATAGGAATATAACAATTCTGAAATTATAGAGTAGCCAATACTACTACCACTACTAGTAATAATAATAAACCTTAGTACTATTTGTCATAGTGTTAATTATGAACATATAGTTACATTGTTCCCAACCCTTACAACATCCTGCAGGGTCGGATAGAAGGGTATTACCTTCTATGCTCTTAAGAGCATATGCCCAATGTAACATAGCTTGTAAATGATACTGTTATGGTTGGATTACAGATGCTGTAGACCTGACTGTCTCCCAGCCCTGTGCTTACAGACAGGAGCAATTGCCTTTCAGACTGTAATTTACTACATGATACTTTTTGTTTTATCTTTCAAAATTAATAGATATGTGTTGCCTTTAGTTGTGTTTTAAGGGACAGTAAAAGGACCACTTTGAGAATGGGCTTAGGAATCAGACTGTAGGATTCAAATTCTGCTTTGCTATTTATTAAACTTCCTAAGGCGAATGATGTAATACTATAAATGCTTCAAGAGAGGCTTAAAGGAGACAATCCATGTAAAACACTTAGAGTGCCTGGCATGTAGATAATACTCAATACATTTTATTTATAATCATCTCTAAGCATTCCTCAACAAGACTGTAATGAAGCTGAGATGAAAATGTTTGAAAACATCCTTACATAGCTTTCAGAAGCCCTCATTAAAATGCAAACATTTTGCCCACGATGGATAATCCAGCATCAGGATTAGTTTAGCAGGAGCTATGTTAGAGAGCAGGACTCAAAGGAGTCAATTTTCTTATACATAAAATGGAGACAATAGTAATGACCCTGAGAGCATCCCAGACTGTGGCTATATAATGAGAAAATGTAAATGAAAGTGCTCAAAAATTCGTGAGCAAAATACAAATGTACAGTATTAGGATCATCATGAAATGGTATTTGCATCCAGTTGGGTATTTGGAATGAAAGGGTTCATAAATCTGGAATCTATTGACTGTTCTAGGAATTGGGGTCTTGACTTAGGCAGAACAAATCAGCGGGAGGGTCATTTTAAAATTTATTTTTCTTCTGTATCAAAGCTTCATGAAAAAAGTAATATTCAGTCCAGTTCTCTTGGGTGATCCCCTGGGACATAGGTGGGTGTGGTGATGTAGGTCAGAATAGAAAATAGCATCTGCTCTTGCCAGAGGCATGGAGACTCAGATTAGGGATCTGAGTGAAGGGTCAGATTCCGATAACCTGGAACATAAAATAGTTTTTTTTTTTTTTTTTTTTTTTTTGCAGCAAGAAAACTGGGGCAGGAGGCACAAGGGTGTTAGCAGATTAGAAGTGGGAGAAAACTGGCAGGAGGCAGTTAAACTGAGTTATGATTGAACTAGCAGAAAACAAAGACTTTTGAAGGTATGTGGGAGGAGCCCTCAAAGAGACTTTAGCTTCTTCACAATTTTATTTGGTACACAGTGTAAGGCAGGGGAATTAAAAAAAAATATATATATATATCTAACTTACAGCTTGTAGGAATGTGACAAGAAACTGTCCATTTCCTTCCATATTATAAAAATGCAAGAAAGTGTCTATAGAGGGGCTGTATTATCTTTACCTTTAAGATGTCTCATATTTTCTTGAAACTCAGCCTGTACTGTGCTGATTAGAAAAATCTTTAGAGAGAATTGGACAGTTTGAATGTCAATGAATGCAGAGTTTCTTAACAGTAAAATTAAAACTTTTTTTTTCTCTCTGCATTCCTACTCATCCTTCAAGGATGACTTCACAAAGAAATGAGACTTCAGAATCTCTATGCACATACAAAGATTTAAATTTGTTGTCTAGTTGAGAATTCTGTTTCCATAATTCATGTCTGGGTCTCACTATGCACCAACATAGAAGCCCTGGTTTGCTCTCATTTTTTCCCAGCATAATAATTTAATAGTGTCTCCTCTTCACTATCAAAAGTGTCCCAATATGAATAATAAACTATTCTACTTACAGCGTATTTCATACGAACCATTTTCATTTTAGTTCAGCAGGCTCCCAGACCACCAATAGAAATGGATTTAAGTTTTTGAAATAAATTTTGTGATCTTTTATGAATGCAATGTAATGAATGAAAATAGCTAAGTGGCTCAAAAGCTGGGATTAAAGTGATCTCAAAGGGATTGCCTAATTGGTTTATTAACATTGAAATTTGTACCCTTGCTCTCTTTGGGCTTTTTCATGATGCAGGAGAGCAGGGTCTCACAGTGCTGAGATTGGTGAGCATGTACCAGTCTTGTTGAGACAAGGGGTTTCCTTACTGTTCTAGGAAGGAAGAAGGAAACCTACTCTTATGGGACCTTGGTGGGACCCCCTATTATGGTCAGGGGGTAAATGGTAGTTATCTGTGTAGGTGTCAACTGGAAGAATAAAGTGTTGATTGGCTTGAAAAAATATTGAAAATAAGTGTGACTTTATTCTTTATACCTTTAAAAGTGATATTTTAAAATGAAATGTGACTATATAAGATTTTCTTGAAGGGGCTGGGTTGTGGCTCAGCAGTAGAGCACTTGCCTACATGTGCGAGGTCCTGGGTTTGATCCTCAGCACCACATAAAAATAAATAAATAAAATAAAGGTATTGTGTACAACTACAACTAAAAAAATAAATATTTTTTAAAAAGATTTTCTTGAAAAAGAACATCAATTTCAAAATTAGTATATTAGAGCAAGCCTATCCTTTGTTCTACGTGTAATATTTCCAACTAGATTAGAGATAATGAATTGGTCCAGACTAGTTTGAATGCTCTAGGATTCTAATTTAATAAGTATTGCAAACCTTCCTATATATTTTTTTAATTCACTCATTCAGCAAATATATTTTGAGCACCTGCTTACTATATGATAGATATTGAACTATTTACAGCAATAGAACAGCTTAAACAAGATCTCTCTTTTCATGTGGTCCACATTGTGGTGGATAATAAATAGAGAAAACAAAATATATATATATATATATGTATATATATATATATATATATATATACATATATATATATTTTGCGAGCCATAACATCCATGAAAAAAAGATGGTGGGGGAAGGAGATAAAGAGGATTAGGACAAGTGTGTGTTTGGCGTTAGTCTAGATCATGTAGCAGAGGAGGCCCCTGTGATGGAGTCACATTCAAAGAGGTCTGAATTCATTAAGAGTGGGAGCAGAGGGAAGATCTGAGGGAAGAGTAGTTTTGAAGGAGAAGTGAGAACAAGTACCCTGAGGTTGGCATGAGTTTGAGTGTTTGAAGAGCAGTAAAAAGCCAGGATGACTGGAGAGGTTGAGCAAGAGTGAGAGTGGGAGAAAAAGATGTAGGAGGTCTATGGAGGGAAGTAGGGAGAGTGCAGAGGCCAGATTACTCAGTCTTCTGGGATACAGTGAAGTTTGGAGTTGTGTGCCCTAAGAGAGCAAAAAATTCTTAGAGATAGTGAACTTAATCTTCACAATATTTGTAGAGCCATACAGACATTATCTTTCTATCTGGAAGATGATCGGAGACAGTGTGAAACATTCAGTTTAAGATTTTTGATTCATTCAGTGGTGCAGTAGACCGTCATTGGTGGTGGACCTATAGTCCTGCCAATCTGAGTGGTAGAGAACCCAAAGCTCAAATCTGACATCCAACAGTGTTAAATGAAGCTTCCACATGACATCCAGTTTGGTTCTGCCAAGTCCTTAAGACTTGAGAAAGCCTTTGTGTGAATGTGAGGCAGGATCAATTTCCATATCAGGTCTTAAAATTGTACACAGGTCAGGTTTGGTAAGCCATTTAAACTAGATTTGGAGCCAAGAGTCCAAAGTATTCACTGTCAAATGTCTGTTGGCCCATGTATGAGCTCCTAAATCTTCCCTCTGAGTAAGTCTGGAATCGGTTCAGGATTCTTGGTACTGGGCTCTTTCCTGAGCATTTTTAGAACCACTGTTTACCACAGAGTCCCTTCTTAATCGTCTCTGTTTTTAGGTGTCTTTTCTAGTCTTTCATTGTTTATGTTACTGTTCTCTGAACTATCCCAAAGGGCTCAACAATTTTTTTTTTTGTTAAGGGCCCTAAAAATGAAAGTTCAATTTTATTAAGATTCTGATTAATGTAAAATGGAACGAGAGATGCCTGAAAAACTTCAAACCACACTTTTACTTAATTTTAATTTTTTAAGTTTGTGCATAGATTTTCTCCTTTATACAGCACTAAACTGAATGCCGGATAGTTATCACTGTCCAGGTGTGTATGTCAGACTAGCTCACTTTCAATCCTTCCTCATGTGGTTCCAGTGGGTTTCCTTTTTCTCTACAATGGTATTAAAATTTTTTGGTACTTATAATTTGTTCAGCTTATTTTTATCATGCTAAAGTAATGTTATAATTTGATATCACATTGGTAATTATATTATTGAGTTGAACTTTTGACCAGGAAGTTAATGTTGAAAAATGGTGTCTATGTTTTTAGAAAATGATATGCTTATGGCTATTTGCTTGTGTGTGTGTTTGTGTAAAATAGAGGACTATACGGAAGACATTGCTATGTTTGCAAACAGCTGGTTGGTGCAAACTTCAGAGGACACCAAATGTGTACCCACACCCTCAGATTTCCCAAATCCATGTTCCAGTGGAATGCCAGCATTTGAGGTAAATTTGATATAAAAATTTAGGCATTTGGAAATAATATAGCCATGTTATTTGTATATTTAATATTAGGCTTTTTAATGCAGATACAACAAAATTAAAAATATGAAATTCAGGAAGTGTAATTGCAATAGCGATCAGCTTTTAAGATAATTTTGGAAATAGTGAATATAATTAGTTTAATAAATGTTCTCATCATGAAAATATGTAGTTAGAAAACTATTGTTTAAAATTTGTAAGTACAAATTACCTTCTCTTTCTTGGTGATATCAAAGAATCTTGCAGATTGGTCAGTAAGCAAACAAACAAACAAACAAACAAACAATAAATAAAAAGAGCTGGGGGCTGGGGATGTGGCTCAAGCGGTAGCGCTCGCCTGGCGTGCGGCCCTGGTTCGATCCTCAGCACCACATACAAACAAAGATGTTGTGTCCGCCAAAAACTAAAAAAATAAATATTAAAAAAAATTCTCTCTCTCTCTCTCTCTCTCTCTCTACAAAAAAAGGCAATTTAAAAAACAAACAAACAAACAAAAAACGAGCTGGGTGCACACCTGCAATCCCAGCGGCTCAGAGGCTGAGACAGGATAATCACGAGTTCAAAGCCAGCCTCAGCAATGGCAAGGCGCTAAGCAATGCAGTGAGATCCTGTTCTAAATAAAATACAAAATAGGGCTGGGGATGTGGCTCAGTGGTTGAGTGCCCCTGAGTTCAAACCCCATTACCAAAAAAAGAAAAAAGAGACAACATTAAAAAACATGTTCTGACGACTGGATTTCTCCCCGCCACAGGCAATCTTCTTCAAGTGTCAGATACTGTTGCAGTTTCCTTTTCTAAGCTGCCATGAATATATTGATCCATACTTATATATTGCCAGCTGTGTTAACGATCTTTGCAAGTAAGTGAAATGACTAGTATTGTCAGTGAAATTTTCTTTATGCAAAATGAAAAGCAAAAAGCTCTTCTGTAACAGCCATTTCAGAAAATATTGCAATTTGAAAAAATATAACGAGGAATATAAAACATAATCTTTATTTACAGTTATTAAAGGCTTGCTGTATAAGAGGTACAGCCTAAATGTTTTACATAGCAAGAGTGAACAGAATATATTGACTCTTAAAGATTTTTGTTCCACTGGTACCTTTCTGAGAATCCAGATTATATCTATCTCTATACCTATACCTATATTTGTATCTATATCTATATGTAGCCATTTCCAAAAAAAGGTTTGAAATGCACAAAATAGCACAAGATTAAAAAGGAAATTAAATGTAATGAAATAGTTACCAAACTCTATGTGTGTGTGTGCTTGAAATATAGAAATATGTTACAAATCTAATAACTATCTCAATTTGACATAGTTATGAATGTAAAAATATTTTGTGATAACCATAGCAATTGTAATGGGAAATGAAAATAAAAAAACATGAGAAAATGAGATGTGAGATACATTGGTGACAAAAATCACAGACACTGCTAAGTGCTCTGTGATCTGTTGTCTATGTGCATAATCAATGATCATGCTGTTTCATTAGGAGATGAGTGTAAAGAAACATATAATGTTTTTCCTATCCAAGGTCACAGATTGCTGCATGCTACTCTAGGTTAAGAACACTGAGAATAGGTGGTATTCTAGGCAATAATTCACCATACTTTGTTCACCATTTCAGAATTTAGGATAATTATCTATTATTGAAGTTAAGTCATTTTTATTTTTATTTATTTTTAAATCACATACCAAGTGCATGTGATTAGCCATCTTGAAGGTTCAAGAATGCCTCAAGGAATTGTACTATGTCTGTCTACATATTTTATGAATCCCAAGAAGTGTAAATGATACATTGGAACCTTTTTGTAAAAGACCAGACTAGTTTTTGGTTGAGTAAAACCACTTAAAAGGAATTTTAGAAGCCGGGTACAGTGGGCGCACACCTGTAATCCCAAATGCCCTGGACAGGAGAATCATGAGTTCAAAGCCAGCCTCAGCAGAAGCAAGGTGCTATGCAACTCAGTGACACTCTGTCTCTAAATAAAATACAAAGCTGGGCTGGGGATGTGGCTCAGTGGTTGGTGCCCCTGAGTTCAATCACCAGTACCAAAAACAAACAAACAAACAAACAAAAAAACGGAATCTTGGGCAGCTTGTTAGGATGTGTAAGTTTTTCAAAGATGAGCTCAGAGAAGGAAGATTGAGGTGGTATGTATCTCTAACTATTCCTCTTTAATTATATTGAGATTATTATAAAAGTAATGAATGCAATATTTTCCAAATACTAAAATAAACTGACTTGTGATACTTGTTAATTTTAAGTACAATATAGTTGTACCTTGATTTTTGTATATCGTCTAAATTTTAAGGATTCCTAAACTTGGAATAGTTTCCTCTCTGTCCAAAGTAGTGGATAGTGATCTTACCATATATTTTGAAAAATTCGGCTCCCTTTTGGTTTTATTTTTTTGGTTTGAGAGCTACTTGTTATCTCTCCTTGTTTTTTACTCAGTCTTTTTTGTGAAGATCCTCATGGGTAGGTCACGATCCTTATTTCACCATATATATGCAACTAAAATTCTTCTTTTTCCACAGTGACTCATTCTTGGACTGCTGTTCAATAGTCTTTTTTTTTTCAATCACATTATCATGAACATCTTTATCATTCATTTCTCAATTAGGCTGAGATGAACTATCTATCGGTTGGCCCAGGAAAGTCATTCTTCATTTACTAGTTTGGGATATTTTTGTTTAGCTGCTCCAATAGACAAAGAAACATGGATTAAATTAAATGAGAGGTTTATGTTTCTCTCATATAAAAGTTAAAGCTGGTAAGTGCTCTTGGGTTGATATTATAGCTCTGCTCCACAAAGTTGCCAATGAATGTTCAATCTTGTTGCCATACCATCCCCTTGGCCTAATATATTATTCTTAATTTCATGGCCAAAACTGGTTGACCATCACCGTATATGCATTTTTAACCCCCTAGAAATGGAAGAAGGGACTAGAGGGCTGGCATGTTTTTGACCTGGAAGTTCTATGCATACTCCAACTTTTAACCATTTGGGCCAGAACTTAGAAACTTGTCTACTCCTGATACAAAGGAGGCTGGCAATGTTGTCTTTGGTTGGGCAGCCTTATACCCACCAAATCTTCATGTTCTAATATTGAACAGAAGGGGGAATTTGAGACAAAAATAAGTCTATGGCACTTCTGATAGTTCATCATTGAGAAATTAACATTTTTTATCTTTGGAAATTTTGGTATCTTTACGCTTTGGCCTTTGAAATTTTGCTTTTTCCAGAGCAAATTAAAAAGTAGGATAGAGCAACACTTTGTACTGGTTGAAATTAGCTGATATCTTCAGAGATGTGTTTGAGGTGGAGAGGCCAGGTTTGGGGCAGAGCAGGCATGTAATATCGGAAGAAGAGCATCATAAGCGAGTGAGTGGACATTAACAGAATGGGAGTGAGAAGCTATAGAAGTTAGCCTTTCACAACCCTCATATTTCCTTCAGCACTCGACCTGGTTAGTCTTTCTCTCATTCAGAGTAAATGAATGATTCTTTTTCATTTCCTGTATTAGGGAACTAAGTTCCAAGGGTCCTATGCCATAACAATGAAAATATGAATTGGTTGAACACAAATTAATTTCCGGCCTGGCTTATATTGGTATATTGAATTTAATTCAACATTCATCTTTTGAGCGTCTATTCTGAGCTGAGCATTGGGCCACACTGAGAGAAACAGAAACAATGTAGGCGTGATTTCCGTCCTGGGAACTCATTCTAGTGAGACAGAGAAACAGGTTCCTAGCAATGACAGAGTGCTCTACATGAAAAGTTCAGTGCACATGGAGGACCACTGACTTTACCAGGAGCACCTCTGAAGCTCCTTGGAGATGACATTTGTGTTTGAGCTTGAAGGACAACTCAATACCAATCCTTGAAACTATAGCCCCCATTTGTGCTTTCAGAAATGCCAAAACCAGCAAGGAAATGACTTTAATTTTACCACATCAAAGTCAATTGAAGTAGGAAAAAAACTATTATTTAGTGCTCGTTTCCGTTTTTAAAGTTAACATGTAGAATGGAAAAATAAGCTCATTTCCCCTCAGTAAGTTGGGATAATAATTTCTTTCCTGATCAACTGTAGAGAGTTTTAATGAGGAACTGTATGATAATGTGCCTAAAATAGTTCCTAGAGTAACAAGACACTTAATAAATGGTAGGGTTTTTAATGTTAGTTGCACTGGGTTAGAAAAACCAATGATTGCTTACTTTGCTAACTTTTAAAACCACTGTTAATTGCAAGAAACATACAAATATATTAAGATAAATCATAAACTTAATGTCTTTCCAGGAGTTCAGCATTTTTTACCTTATGCTGCTTATCAAAAAGATCTTTGTAGTTTAAGAATTTTCTGGGTTTCTAAAGTTTAGAATCCTTTTTTTCCTTTTAAAGTTCAGTTAATTAGACTGGATAAGCTGCATGACTCCAATTACAGTAGCACAGGACAAGAGAAATTTGAGATGGTGGCTTTTGCAATTGAGGTACTGAAAATGTTAAGATTCACAAAATGAGACATTCCTAAGGTCGTTATCTTTTAAGATATTTAGCTATTTAATTTTGAGTTTGGGTTGGGCTGAAAAATAAGCTCACTGACTTGTCATAAACCAAATGCCTAGTTAACCTGCTTTGGAAATTGGCAGATCCCATAAGAAATTATTGTTTGGAGAATTCCTAAAGTGATTACAAGAAAATAATTGGAGATTATTTACTCCTGGCAATGTTATAAAAACACTGAGCTTTGGTACAAGAATTCATAATTTTCTTTTAAATCTTAAGTTAATGATATTTCTTCAATCTTTCAAAGTTGTTTTGGAGTCTTATTGCAAGGACTGCTGAGGAACCATCAAAATCCTTTTGAATGGTACTTCAGTGCTGCAGACTTCTGGCACTGGTTTCTATTTGGCATGTGGACAATCAAGAGCATGGTATTTTCAAACAGTTTTCATACTTGATATTGTTTGGGGGATAGAATTTTATCTGTTTAGTGGGACTTAAATTTTATCTGTTATGATTATTAAATCCTAAAAGGTCTGGAATTCTTTGTGTAGAAGTGAATATTTACTTACAAGGATTCTGGTAAGAATATTATAATTAAAACAGAAATGTTTTCTAGTATGGTGGTCTCTTGACTCAAAAGAGAAGTGGTCAAATTACCGAAAGACTTTGATGAAGACAGTGTACCCAGGCATACTTAACTGGAATCCCATGTTGGTGTTTTTTTTTTTTTTTTTACATTATTGTCTCTACTAAGACAGGCATACTGACATCTTTTTGGAATGTTTGTTAGGCGCTCATCATTTTTATGAGTCAGTAGCTCCAAGGCAGGGTTCTCAATATTTCCTATGTGATTCTGGTTCTGTCTTTTCATGTCTCAGGACTGATGATGATGAAACCTACTGTCGAGCAGCCACAGAGTATGCCAGAGCCTGTTCTCACGCTGGCTACCCTATTCAAGACTGGAGAGATGACTTTCCAGCTTGCAGTATGTTCTTTATTTTTCAAACCCTGTGCATTTCCTGTTACTTTTGGTCTTGACCTAGAAATCAAAACTTATCGAAACTAATTAAATGAAAAGATTTTTTAATTGAAGAAATTGTATTTGTAAATTTGCATATTTTTTTAAACACTGATTTTTTTGGAAGAGAGGTATACACAATTAAAGCTCTCCTGTCTGCCCATTTCAGCTGATAAATGCGATGATAGCTTTGTGCATCGGGATTGCATTAGTTGTTGCCCACCTACCTGCACGTTTGAGAAGCAGTGTCTTGGCAGCAATCTTCACTGTCTTGATGGATGTTACTGCCCTGATGGTAAGTGCCTCGTGAGGACACCATGTTTTTACCCATTGGAAACTAGAACTCAGCAATCTAAGGATCACATCTTGGTGTTTTTTTTTTTTTTTTTGTCTTCTCCAAGGCCATCAGGTCTATTGCAATTTTCTACCCTTGCAGGATTTGAGAGGAATGGTTGCTTTTCTTGAATAAAGGACTCATTACTTTATATTCCCCAGGAAACTTCGAATTTATAGTTCTAGAGTTCCCATGGCAAATATTTTATTCTCTTAATGTTTAATGATATTTAATAATTTATGTATTTTCATTTTTTAAAAGATGAAAGTTTGAGAAAAAGTCTTCAGATTTTCCCATTATAAGATTTAAGTCTTAGTGTAATTTTAATATTTGAAATAAAAAGTAACTTAGAAGAGATAGAGATGAGGTTTAAAAAATTTAAATATAATTTTTTGGTACTGATAGACATTAAGGAAGAATACTGAGGAATGCACAAACCCTGGTAGTTTTACAAATTAAAAAAAATAGACTCCAAAGGTGCTAAGTGATTTCCTCCATGTCATATGCTTAATATAATGAGAATTACATGGAAATGGGACTGTTGACTTCAGTTCATTTTTCTGTTGGTGTCAGTATGTTGAACAGTGCCAGTCCTGAGTTGTTTGTTACCTCCATGACAAGATAAGGATGTTGCAGCATAATATAAACCCATACACAGAAATAGAAATGAATGCTTTCTCCTATAATGTTTTGCTAAGAAAATGGCCAGCTCAATGAAATGTTGTACATAGTAACATGGTTGATTAAGTTCTGGTTCAACCTCCTTGTTAATAAACAGTACAAAAAGCAGGTGGGCTGTTGAGTAGAACGACCTGGCTCTATTATCTCTATTACAACCATGGAAATCTCTCTCACCTTAGAATGAACAGATACTAATCCAAGAATATGTTTTCTCCCTCCTTCTCTTTTTTCTTCCCTCAAATACAAGAAACACTATTTGGTTATCTTATTCTTTTTGATGAACCTGGAGTTTTTGTTGGGATAAAAATGTTGAAACCATTGAAATAGACCCTTATGAAATGAAACAATTGCTAGAGCAATGTCACTGAGTAATTAAGACAAGATGGGATATAGTTTGCTGGTGAGGAGACTAACTTTAGATAGGAGCAAAGATAAATATCTAGAAGTGGGTGGGAAGACAGGGTTTATGTGTTCAGATTCTGGAGGAAAGGTGATGATGATGGGAGTCCATGGAAGAACCTTCCCCACCCCACCATCTTTGTTTCAGTTTTCTCAGTAAAATTAAAAAAAAAAAGAAAAAAATTTTTTTAGAGTAAAAAGCTAGGTTATATGTTGTGGGTTTGAGAAAACACAAGAATGAACAAGAAAGAAAGAAACAAATAAACCCTTATAAGGTAGCTATTGCCTGAAAGCCAGGTTGCTGTTATTCTCCTTGAAACTAAAGGAATTTGAATTTCTAGCAGTTAGTATAAGCAGATATTTGACAAAAGCTAATTGAATTATAATATTTAAAGAATGCAATATTTATTATTTCTTTTGAGAATGTGATATATATTTTTCTTAAATAGGCCTTATAATGGACAACGGGACTTGCATCTCCTTGGAAAATTGCCCGTGTAGTTTTCATGGATTAGCTTATGCAGTTGGTTCAAAAATTCAACAAGAATGTACTGAATGGTATGTCATCAATGTACAGCCAATTATTTTTGGGTATCTGGCTTATTAACAACTTTATCACAACAACTGTTTAAAAAGCTTATTACTTATTTTCTTCTAAAAATTCTGAGATGCAATTTGCATTTTATTTAAACTACATGGGGGTGTCTACATTTTCTTTTATGATGTAATTTTTATAATCTTCCTTAACAATTTCATAAAATACTATGCCCATATGACAGGTCTGTTGCATTTTCTTATTATTTATAATAATTAACTTGCATATACTTTTACTCTTAGAACATGATGCTTGCTGTTTCTGGACTTCTCTATTGGATGTTTTAAAAAGTGACTCCCTATATTGCCAATTTTGAGCTATGGTTAGAAAGATCTATATTTCCTTAATAAATTAGCTAAGATTATGGGGAAACATTAAATCCTTCTAGCACAGTCATAGAAAGAAACAAGTTTACCTGTCATTGGGCTCATTAGTGTACATAAGAGAAATGCAGTCAGATACCTAACTGTTCTCTTAGATGCTGGTGTCTTCAGAAATTCTGCCTTTATCCTCTAAAACTGTTTTCTTTGTGAATATGGAAAGTAGTGTTTATCTTATAGATGATGTCTTTTCTCTGTCACAATGGCAATAAAAATAAATACACAATAGATAATAATTTAGATGCTAACCAGCTCAAAGTTATTAGTCAATTAAACTTTTGTAGAGATGTTTTTTAAGTCCAGTTATTCTGAATCTTTATACATATTTTGGTATATTAACTAATACATTGGTACAAATATTAATACAGTTTCTATATACCAGTGGACTAATGTTATATAATTTTATTTAGTGTATGTGTTGGTGGAGTTTGGAACTGCACTGAGCATGACTGTCCAGGTAATCTTTTAAAGTGTTTTTGAAGAAAATTTTTTAATTTTTTCTACACTGGGGAGGAAGATAGCAATATTTTTAAAACATCTCTTTATATATATCTTGGATATAACAAGAGATGAAATGACCTACAAATTCAGGTACTCAGAGAATAAATTGAAAATTGAATAAGTGATAACTTTGAGCAGACAGATTTGGTAAAAATTCATTAAAATAGTACATATTATAAAACTTATAAAGTATGTAGAAAAATTATCATTTGTCAAACCAATAAATTTTAAACACTTTAGGTGTTCTTTTTAATGCATCATTGATTATTTTCCCTAAGTTGACCTCCTTTTTTTTTAAGAATTAACATAATTTCTTCGTCATTCACCTCCTTCTCTCCTCTCCTTCTCCCCCCACCCTTTCCTCCTCCTCCTTCATTTTTTTTTTGGTAGTTCAATGCTCTGTTGTGGGTGATTCTCATTTTACAACTTTTGATGGTCGACATTATTCTTTTATTGGCATGTGCCAGTACATCCTTGTGAAAGGAACTGGAAAAGATAAATTCACAATTACTTTGCAGAAGGCCCCTTGTGAACAGGTAAGAACATCTCAAAACGACTAGAAGAATATTCATTTTTCAACTTAAACTTCATATCTAAATTAAGAATAGTAACATGAATGAATATGGTTATTGTCTTCACAACTAAGAAGACAATGATTATTGAGATGTACAAAAGAAAGGAAGAAATGCTATTAATCATGACATATCTTTGTTTATGATGAATTCTGATTTCAGAGATACTACAATGTGAAAACAAATATATCTTGGACTAGATAAATACTGTATATTTAATTGCAATTTTTTTATTTAAAAATTTAATTGCTTTTTCTTTTTTTAAGTGGTATTTGTACTTTGAAAATTGCATGCATGATTGCACAATGGGCCTAGATTTTTGATTACTCCAAAACCATGTTACAGAGATAATTTTTTAAAATATTTTTTTCAGTTGTCAATGGATATTTATTTATTTAATTTATAAGTGGTGCTGATAATTGAATCCAGTGTCTCACACATGCTAGGCTAGGGCTCTACCACTGAGCCAAAACCCCAGCCCCAGATATGATTTTTTGATAGGATTGAATAGGTTTCTTATTATTCTAAACAGATATAGTGGTTTTCTTAATATATTGAGATATACCTGTTTGATATTTTCTTGAAACTACAAACATCAAATACTTTGTAAATGAAGAAGCCAAGATCTTTTATTCATCTCTCAAATAGGTGGTCAAAAATTTGCTAAAACCTTTAGAATTTTCAATTTTATTCCAATGTAAAATAGTTATTTCCAACAAATATTATGAACTACTTTTTTAATTTTTTTCCATTTTGATTCTTTTCTTTGCAATTTACCAGTGTCTGAATTAGCTTTCTAAATGGAATCTTAAATCTTTTGGTTATGTTCTTTATTGAAATTTATATGTCAAATATACCATTTATATGAGTTTTAAAAAGTATTTTAGCTATATACTATGGAAAACAATAGGTACTTTATTGAAAACATTTTTATTTAATATTTTATGTAAAATATATGTATGTTTATTACATATTTAATGTACCATAGATATGTTTTATTGGGAGTGGGACTATATGGCATGGATTATGTAGCAGTCATGTTATTATATTACTTATGCTCAAGATTTCTGTATACCAGAATATATTTACAGGCATTCTCTCCTTTCTTTCTTTTCTCTCCCTCCCCTTTTCCCATCTACCATGTCTCTTTCAATGTCGGTGTCTCCCTCTCTTTCCTCTCTTTGATAATTTGATTTTTATGCAGAATCTTGGCTTGGTCTGCCTGCAGTCTATAACTCTAATTCTGGAGGATGATTTTAACAAACAAGTGACCCTTAGTAGGGGAGGACAGATCCTCACCAGTCCTAACCAAGGCTTTAATCTGAAAGGTAGGAAACAGTGCTAATGCTGCACCTTCTATACATTAGAAACAGCAACAAATATAACCTACATGGTGTCTTTTCCCAGGGGCTGGCTACCTTGTATTTTTTGGGTACCTTTGTGACACCAGGTCCTCAGTTAGAAAGAACAAAGACTACCATGTTTATGGGATTTAATGTTTAATAACTTAGTTTGGAAGGGACGAGATAGAGGCAAATGGATGTTTCCAGCAACATGTGATACACTCAAAGATTTGTAGGCAAACTTTGTAGGTTTAAATAAGGTATAGCCCATGCAGCCCTGGGATAGGAGAAACATGGAGTAAAGGTCTGGAAAGTTATCTGAAGGAGGTAACATCTCACTTAGCATTGAACACATGGGGTAAAGATGGGGAAAATGGTCCATGAAAAACTGGGTGGTGTAGACTTGGGTGAGTTGGGTAGGGGTAACTTTAACTGGTTTGACACTGCTATAGCATGGAGAGGGTAAAGTGGAAAATGTCCAGAGATGAGATTAGGAAAGTAGGTGGGGATGACACTGGAGAAACCTTGTCTATTGGGCCTCATACATGGTGGTTTCATGGAACAAGCCCTGTTTATGACTGGACTACAGCATAGTTGTTAATAATTTTCTTTTAATATCAGAGTGAAACTCTCAGAAATGTTCCAAGTTGTATTACAAATTATATACTGATGCTACACAGGTATCATGGTAAGGAACTTGAACTTCAAATGGAGTCAAATATGAAATTATCATTATTTGACAATTTTATGTACAAAGATGGTAATCTCATATGGGTTCAAGCAAAGAAACAATGAGTTTTAAGTAGCTTTTGTGATTTCTTTGATAGATTACAAAGACAACTGTGTGGAAGTGACTTTGCAGATCACTAGACAAGAGACACTGACAATGTTAGGATGTTGTAAAGTGGGGCATGCAAGAAATAGGAGGAACTGATATAAGGTGGTGACAGTAGAGATGGAAAGAAGGCATAGTGACTGAAATTAGTTGTGGATTAGACTGAGGTTAGTTGGAAATGGCACTGAGGGGAAGAGAGTGATCAAAGAATGAGTCTCAGGATTCTGCCTTATTTGATCAGATGGATGGCCAAACTTGTAATAAGGATACAGGGGCAATGAAGAACAACTCGTCAGGTGGCAAAAGCCACTGATTTACTGACAATCTAGAAAAGTAGGAGAAAGAAAGGGAAATGGAAGAAAAGAAAGCAGCATAAGGTAGCAAATTTTGGCCCCAGGGCTCAGGAAGGAACTTCAAACCTGCTGCCCCCACTTCCCAGTCCATTAGAAGAAGAATCATGCTTTAACATTTCTGAACACTGCCTATATGTCTTAAAACTGATTTATATATGTTCTTTTCATTCCCTAGGAATTGTTGAGATTCAAACTCTGTCATCATTATTTATTCTTCTAAAAACCACATTTGGCTTAAAGATCTTGTTTGCTATAGATGGGGAAAGAATTTATATTCAACTCACTAGTGCATGGAAGAGAAGAACATTAGGTCTGTGTGGCACATTTAATGGAAATATAAGGGATGATTTTCTGTAAGTATGATTTATGAATAGTCAACTGAATTTAATGACTGGCAATTCAGAGGATATAAATTCATTAAAAATGTTTACTTAACTAAAAGGAGCTTAGCAGTCACTGTTTAAAGAACTTAACATAGATCATCATATTTAAATTGTATACCAATCCCCTGGTTAGTGTCTTTGTTTCATATATAAGGAAAGGAACCAAGATCTCAAAGTGGCATATAAATCTTCAAGGTCATTTAGCTCATATACTAGAGCTAGGATTTGAATATTGACAGTGTTGACTCAGCCTTTGGTCTAACTACTACCTGTTGTTCTCTACTTCCTATCAATACTTAATAGTATGTTATTTTTTAAAACGTGCAGCCTTTTAAAACATCTTAATGCAATTTTGTATTAGTGGCAGTAAGTTATACTTTAAATTATGAATATTATTTGGTAGTAATGATAGCTTTAAAGCACATGTTGTATCTAAATTTATTTGTATTTTATGGAAGTTTGTGTTGCATTGGAAGAAAAGCAATAAAATACACCTGTATCCCTCCCTTAAAATTAACACTTATCACATACCCGTGAAAACAAGCAGTGCATAATTTAGTGTAGATGTTTTGAGCAACTGTTATTTTGCTAAAAGCACAGTGAGAGCAATTTAAGCAGGATGACATGGTTTACCTCCTCAAGGTACTGGTATTGCAGGTTGGGAGGGGATCAAAACCTTTAAGAAATATTTGGAATCTGAAAATGTAAAAAAGTATGTAGTTGTTAGGGACTGAGGAAGGGAGAGGCTGGATGGGAGATGTTAGTCCAAGGAAACAGTTTCAGTTAGAGAGGATGTATAGAGATTTATTATACAGCATAATGTCTGGAGTTAATATATTATATACTTGAAAATTGCTGAGAGAGTAGATGTTCTGTGTTCTCACACAAAGATTGTAAGATCATGGTGAGGTGGCAGATAAGTTCATTGGCTTCATTTAACCATTTCACAGTGGGCACATGTATATACTACCAAAACATTACTTTGCACACCATAAATATATACAATTTTTATTTGCCAACCAGACCTTAATAAAAAAAATTTAAAGAAGAACTGTTCAGTGCTAGGCAAGGTATTTACCAATAAATACATAAAAATACTGAGGTAATTTTAAAAAATTAAATGTTGAGCTTTGTGTTTGTAGTTAAAAGCATAGCAGGAATTAAAAGAAGGTCATTGGGGCAGAGAAGTCAAGGGAAATTTCCCAGGGGAATTGTTCTCCACATAGCAGGCTTTTTTTTTTTTTTTAAAAAATACTTTTACACATACTCGTTTTTTCTGTTTGGGTTTGTTTCCCCCTCCTAATCTTCCTCATGAGCTTTTGCTTATTGTTAAACCCAATTAAGACATTATTTGCTTCTAAAAGCTAGTTTATATTCCATCCGATAAAATTAATTCTAATTTTATTGTCTGTGAAAATCCTTTTTTTATTTGTTTGGTTTCCACCAAACTGCAAGACCTGTGAGACTAAGGATTATATCCTTGGTTCTTATATTCATAGGAATATATGTTTTTTAATTGTTGGTGGATCTTTATTTTATTCATTTATTTATATGTGGTGCTGAGAATCAAACCCAGTGCCTCACACATGCTAGGCAAGTGCTCTACCACTGAGCCACATCCCAGCCCTTATATTCATAGGAATCTTGTATATATTGGACAGACAAATTGAACTGAGCAGAACTTTTGATGAGGCATTGAGAAGAAAATTTGGAATGGGTTGGGAGAAGTATCATTTAAAATTTTTTTTGAAATTAAAAAGAATTTCTTTTATCTTATCTCCTGTATGATTAATTTGTTTGTAGATAATTTTTTGTTTTATTTACTTGTGGGTCAGAATATTAATATCTTTATCCTACTTGAAAAACAGATACTACATCAAGAGGCTTGGTTAAGATGTTCAGAAAAGATATTAAGCCTGCTTTCTTTGCCTTGTTTGTCAGAATGGGTTAGCTGTCAGTGTTTAACAGATGGCAGATCTGTCTGCCACTTTCTAAGGCACCAGTCTCCTCCATGCATAAACATTCAGGCGCGATAAGAGTACAGGATAATATTTCAGAGTCAGAGATAACTTTTGAACACTGTTTAGCTTTCCAACTAAAGTAGTTAAAAATCTTTGCTTCACAAAGGTTAATGTGAATCTGCAAACATAGTTTAATGGAAATTATTAATTGAAAATTTATTTTACGTGCCTTGTTATAGTAAATCAAGTATGTTGAGCTGAAAGGCTATTTTTTTAAATGAAATATAATAAGCAAATAAGTCTATATTTTGGCTCCTAATTCTTTTTTTTTTTTGGTATTTATTGTTATAAGTAAAACTAAATGAAATAGAGCAGGGCTCTGGATCAGTTCCTCCTGGGAACCCTGACTATGTGCATCATCCCAAACTGTTTTATTGTCCCTGGGAGGGAAGAAAAGGGGAGGGGAGTGGAGGGAAAAAAAAAAAAAAAACCAAGAAGAAAGAGCTAGTGTAGGTCATGCAATTGAACCAATGAGATTTTGAATCAGATGTTTGTTCTAATTCTTCGCAATTTCAGAGTGGTTTGACTTTGAGGAATAATAGAAAAGGAAGGAGAGGGTGGGATGGGCATTGGATGAGCATTGTGGAATGACTTGTGAAGCCCCTCTGTTTCTTTCCTGTCTCAGTCATTCTGGTGAGGAAACTTCATTGAGGGTGGTTGAGCTAAAGGCTTACCAAAGTACTTACCAAAGGACAATGTTAATAATTTAGGAAGAGCCTATCTTTCTAATTGTTGTGGCAATTAATGCAGTCAGGACTTGTGGTGTGGTCAAATGCTTCCAAAAGGAGACTGAGTTTACCTTAATTCCATATAAGTGGTTTTGACAGTGTCTGGCACAGTGTCCAGTAGGGACTGTCACTTAATAAATGTTTGTTGTTGAATCAAATAAATCTTGATGGCTGCTGGAGATGGAATTGTGTATTGGCTCCTAAACACTGATGTGGTTTCTAAATCTGATTTCAGAATGCTAGATGGTTTTCTTAAATTTGGGTTTGTTGAGGAAGCTGAAGAAGTGAGCAAACTTGGACAAAAGGTGTCTTTCATACTGTTTTCTTGGAATATTCTTTTGGTTTGCTTACTTCATGATGGAACTTCAGTATGTCAGGATTCATAATGGAAATTGATATGTTCAACCAAAAATATAGCTTATTTATTTTTTGAGACGTTTATCTTTAGCCTGAAAATAATCATCTGAACTACCCACACCTTTGTCTCCACATGCACTTAAACAACACACATTAAAACTTTGGTTTTGTGAGTAATGTTTGATTGACTCAATGAAAACTAGATTTGAATCTTGGTTTTGCCATTAATTAGCTTAATGAAATTTAATATTTTTCTGAATTTTTGCTTTGCTTTCTCTGTAGAAGCAGGGATAGATTGAGGTGAAGATTAAATAGAATCCTGTAGGCCAACAAGTTGGCACAATGTAAACTCTCAATAGCAGGAAGCTATTATCACTACATTCTTGAAAACTGGCAGAAAATTTGAAGCTCTAAGATTTTTTTGTACATTAAGAAAAATAATATTCTATTATACAAATATTTGAAGATTATGAACTAATAAAATGAATGAGTGAACTTTTTCTTTGCTTTGTAGTTCTCCCTCAGGCATGATAGAAGGAACCCCACAACTTCATGCAAATGCATGGAGGGTTTCCTCCACCTGTTTCGCACCTGTTCATGTGCCAATGGTAGACCCCTGTAACATTAATCAACAAAACAGTAAGTCTTCCTTTTTGCATGTAAACTTAGGAAGAATGTTCCATATGCTGCTCTAATTTTGTGAAACTGTATGGTGATTTTAAATTCCAATTTTCTTTATTATGCTAAGTCAGACCATTCCTTATATATTTTTGTTTAAAATTATAACTGCATGTAATTGAGGCTATAAAAAAGAACAGAAAATGACTTTTATTTTCTCTTTTGCACTCACAAAATTACTTATTTTAGGTGTTTAAAGAAATCCCTTCTTCCCAATTGTTGGTTAGCATTTTGGAGCTTTTGAAATATTCGAATGCTAAAGAAAAGTCTCTGGAAATACTTCAATAATGATGTGATAGTTCTGGGATGTTTGACTTCTGTTCTATAGTGTGATAACTTAGTGATTCTCCTGTTTATGACAATCCCATCATGAGATCTTATTGACGCCCATCACCATTCCTACTCATAACATATGTTGTATCTCCATAAGCAGGAAGCCAGTCACCCAAAGATGGTCTGGGACTGTTAGGCGGATATCAGTTTGCCCCAGAATTCCAATTTGCAATGATAATGCAACTGACATATGAAAAATTTGGGGGTGTATTTTTTTAAACTAAAGCTGCAACAAACCATGTTAAAAGTCTAGTTCATTTCTCAGTGAAAGGAGATTTCTTTTTGGTAAAATTACTTTATAAATAAAAATGTACATGCTAAAATAAATATTCTTATAATTTTAACCTTTTCCTTAAATTGTTTGGCTGATTCAACATTTTTACATAGTTAATTTTAAACTAATATTGGTTAGGCATTCACATACAATTTCTAGATTTTATAGTGGTTGTATGGGAAGATTCTGTTGATTGTCATGGTTTTTATTAATAACTTATTGTTTTGGTGAATTGAAAAAACCACAAGATAATATTGCTGTCAATACTTTTTCTAAAGAAGAAAATTGAGATAGCTTTTAAAGTTGAAGAAGATTGTTAACTTAATTGATTTTCCTATCTAAAGACGGCTAGATTAGAGGTTTTGGCCCCTGTGATTTACTTACTACTTTTGATCTCATGCCTATTTAATAACATTTTTCTCAATTCTATACCCTATATTTTACTAACCTACCTTTTCTTCAGATAGTCTTATTTGGTTTGTTTCTTCATTATTAGATTTCATCCTTGATATTTCAACAAGTTTATTTTTTAATAGCATATACAAGTTTAAATAGAGCTCAATTAGTAAAGTCAGTTTCCCTCTTGTTTCTTCTCCAGTTATATCTTTTACTATATGTCATTTTGCTATGTTTTCCATCACTCTTCCCCCATGCTCTATGTCTTCTATAATGTATATTTTAGATATTATCTTCCTTTATTTTTGCCATGAACTGTGATACTTTGAAAAATTTTTTTGAATGGGTAAATTCATGAAGATCCTCAAAGAAAGGAAAATAAATATACAAAAGTCAATAGCTACTCTGTATTCTGAAGTTTTTTTTTTCTCACAAAGATGTTCTTGAGTTACCCTTTACTTAATGTCAGTAGAAATATCTTTTGGTTGACATATCCTTAGGGCACACAATAATGGTCTCATTCATATATTATATTGCTCGTTCAGGATCCCTTTGTGTTAGGAATATGTATACCAACAATATACTGCTAAGTCTAAATGCCTTATTTTCAGATGTATGTGCATACCCAGAGGGGAAAAAATGTAAAAATGTAGGCAATTACCATGTCTCCTTACTAATAATTAGTATACTTAAATTTCTCAACCAAATAAGTTTAGTATAATTCCTTAGTATTGAAAAAATTCTGATGTCTAGCAGCTTATCTGCTCTCTCAAAGACAATGACAATGTAAAGATTGATTAGCTATACCTGAAGGAAACCATGGCAACCCAGGAGCACTACATTAAGGAACCACAGACCCAGTCTTTTTCAGCAAGATAGGATCTAGATTATTTTGCCAAACTTGTTTTGTTAATTCAATAAAGGATTATATCTGGCCAGTCATTCTCAAGGGAAAAAATCAATAGATTTCAAGATCTGATAATAAAGACCTGCCTCTAAATGAGATAATGGCAGTTATAGCTCCGTGACCCTTAACATTTAATCCAATGCCTAATTTCTATTCATTACTTTTATTCTTACATTCATAGATTCATTTATCAAGCATGATTAAGCTCTTAATGTCTGCCAGGCATTGCATACTATGCATTGTGCCAACATTGAGTTCAGTGATTATGTGGTATCTGCCACATTACCATTCACCTTAGAGACTCCAGTGGAGTGAAATGATTCTTCATCCTTCCTGGATAATTGTATTTTCTATAATATTATCCTTACATCCATAGTCTGGAACCACTTTCATTATGTGTGGTTGTCTGGAGATAAGCCTCTCAATATTCCCTAGTTCTTCATAGCAGGTTTCCTCAGATGGTCCTCAGGCAATGGGTGATTAAGGCTCCTGCTTCTATCAACCCTTTTGTTACTCCTATCATCCAAGTACAAAAATATTTTTTGTTGTTGATATATTTTTGGCTAAAAAAACTATTAAATATGTACTAAATGCTGTTATCAGTATTACCAAAATCATAAACAGACACACACAAAAAAGCCTGTAGAAGCTGGGTATGTTGACTCTCATTTAAAGTGATGTGCAACATGGAATGCTTCAGTAGGAAATCAAGGATGCTTGAATATGCTTGAATAGTTCTGAAACTTGGTAATTAGGGGTAAGATATGGGCTAGTAAATGAGATGCTAATGGGAATCTTTGCCTGTTAGTTGGGTATGCAGCGCACTGTGATGTCATCCACCAGGAGCTCTTTGCTTCTTGCCACATCTACGTGAGCCCTGGGCTGTACTATCAGCTATGCCGCCACGATGCATGCAAGTGTGGGAGCCCCTGCCTGTGCAATGCTCTTGCCCACTATGCCTACCTCTGTGGTCAGCGTGGAGTTCCCATCGACTTTAGAGCTCAGATTTCATTCTGTGGTGAGTTTGATGGCACCGATAAAGACTATCAAAAAACACATTAGAGATTTTTGTTTTTACAATTATTGTTCTTATTATTTTTTAAAGTCTCAATATTGTGTGTAAGTTATTTGAAATAGTGTACAAACATGAAAAACAGATGAAGTATTTTGTTCCCTAAAATTGGAGATATGTTGGATAAGACCAAGAACTTTTGATTGTTTATGCTGTAAGCAAAATCAGAGTGTAATTATGTTTGATATGTGCATCAGAAACAATTAGAACATTTTGAAAAAATTCTTAGGATGAAAATGTCATATTTAAATATTGAAAAGTATGGAAAGGCATCATGTGATACAGTGGCAAGTTGATCTGTAGTTAAAAAGGATGGGTTCCTTGTGTGTCTGGTAACTTTTTTATTCACGAATCTTTATCAGGTCCCCAATTAAATCTGTTGGACTCAGGTTTTGGGGGAACTCCTCTGTCTACCTCTCTACTCCCACAGTAGTTTCACAAAGCATTGTTATTCCAGGAGTATCATTGGCCAGTATTGGTGGTAATTGCTTAGCTTTAGCTTTCTGAGAAAAAAAAATAATATAAATATAAAAATAATATAAATTCATATACCAAATCTGCACAGAATGTGTCTGGCATTATGAGTTTGTACAGGTAACTTTATTTTATCACATCTGTCACAGACACTTCCTAGCTTCTTTCTGTACCATATTAGCAGATTTCATCAATTGCAGGCATTAGCCAGCCACACCCCTGGGGCCCCTGTGCTTTTGTGGATGAAATTCTTTGGAGAAAAGCCTGCTTCTTTGTTTACATGTGGTCTCTGGGGGTTTTGTGCTTCAAGCACAAAACGTTGAATAGTTGTGAGAGATACTACTGTCTACAAAACTGAAAATTCTTAATATTTGGCCCCTTGGAGAGGAAATTTTCTGACTCCTGCTTTGGTCCTTCCTTTCAGCTGAGAGTGCTGCTCTTTGAGCATCTGAGTTAAAGGTCTCCAAATTCCTCACTTAGTAAAGGACCAACTTTTTTTTTTTTTCCTTCTGTTTCTGAGATCCAGGATTACTAGGATCAGTCCTCCCCTCCAGCTCTCACAACTCTGGATTTTCATTCCCCCTTCATCTCTGGCATCTGGGATATCCACCCATTATATATTTAAAATAATTGCATTTATGTTTTATTTATTCAAAACTTTTTAGTGTTTATACAAGTGCATTTTTAGAATATCTCTGTTTGTCTACCATAATCTGTCTGTTTGGAGAAATTGGAAGGGTTTTGGGAAAAGTATAAACATGATTAAGAAGTGGAAAAAAGGGCTGGGGTCGTAGCTCAGTGGTAGAGCGCTTTCCTAGCATGTGTGAGGCCCTGGGTTCGATTCTCTGCACTGCATATAAATAAAGTCCATTGACAACTTTAAAAATATTTTTAAAAAGGAGAATAAAAAACAAAACAAAACTATGAATGGGCATCAATAAAGTCAAAATTTGTCTTCTTTGTAGAAGACTGAAAGTTTACCTAGGTTTAAAAAATGCTCTAACAATGATGGTGACAGTATAATAATACCGAGATTCAAATTGGAGAAAAAGAAAGTTTATTCAGATGTATGAAAACCTTACATATTAAAGATCAAGTGAAATATCTGTTCTTATCAGTTTAATATTTGATACATCCTCTATCTGTGGACAATATATTAAATGGATTTTTGGAGCAGGGAGGTGGAATAGGAGCTTACTCCATCCACTCCATACATCGACCTGGTATTGTAGTACCTCCAGGAATGGTGCAGTATCACACTTAAAATGACTTCAAAATAGAAATTTTATTCTTCTGTTATACTTTTACTAAGGCCAAGAATTGTTTATTTATTTACTGTTGTAGGATTCTGGAATGTTCTATGCTAATCCATGTAAAATAGCTTTTTTTTCATGATTTGTGTCCATCCTGAATCTTTAAGTAATTGTACCCTGTTTCTGTGCCCTGTGGACATCTTTCTCAAGTGACTTTCCTTTGTCTTTAGCTGTGGCATGCCAAAAGGGCATGTTGTATCATCACTGTTCCTCATTTTGCCGCCGTTCCTGCACCTCTCTCTCCTCTCTGGAACAGTGCAATGATGACTGCGCTGAAGGCTGTAACTGTCCTGAAGGCAAATTTTATGAAGATACTCTTAACTTTTGTGTGCCCATGTAAGTCATGGAAATGGGTTGATACCATCCGTTTTTAATGTTTTTATTCTTATAAGTCAAATGGGCTTGCTTGCTTATTTCTTTAATATTTCTTAATGCCTTTCTCCACTCCCTTTGTGTTTTTATATTCACAAATAGCTACAGAAGGAGCTAAGGAATCTGACAGTTAATCCTAAGTTTATTCCTACTTGCTTTTCACATATCCAAATCAATAACAGGGCTTATGTTTCACTGTCATGTAGCACATTTTAGTAGCAGGATTGTAATGTCTGTCAGCACTCAGAAGTTTCTCAGTTTCCACATGAGGTGAAGACTTTGGTCGTAACACACAGTGCTAAATGATTTATTAGTTGTGCTTCTCTGAAGTGCATTCAGTGACTTTTCTTGTAGCTAAACTAAGACAGTTTGTGATTTGTATTTTGAAAAACAAAATCTGAAGCCACATAAGACTATATTTAAACAATTTCTGCTATTTGTGAATAATGACAACTTGAGCATATGCCTAACAATGACCTATTAAGAACACAGGGTGTACTTTTAGTGACTTGACAGAATTCAGATCCCATTTTATTTACTTAACCTTGTTTTTCTGTGGTAGATATCACTGCCGGTGTCATTATAGGGGCAGCATTTATCAGCCTGGGGAGCTCATCCCAACACCCTCAGGCTTATGGTAAGTTTCAATGAATATATTAAATACATGCATAAATTACATTCAAATAATATGGAATGCCTGAGTCTTGTATTCATCACTGCATGACAGAGTTCTGAACTTGTCACACAGCAAAACAAAAGCCTTTTAATTAATTTTAGTTCTTTGACTAAAATTACAGGTGGGATTGGTACTCATATACTGTTTATTGGTACTCATATACTGGTTTATCTACCAGCTCATAAAAGGCAATTTCAAAAAAGATTTGAATGATGTCACATACAGGAGTAAGTGCACCTCTTCTCCAGGGACAGCAAACGTTGTACGATAACACTGTTATCCAGTTGTAACTGGCCTGTTACACTTCAATTGTAGTCTGCCTATTAAAAACACAAGCACGTCTGTGCAGCAGTCCACATTTATCTTTATCCAACTGCTAACCTCCCTCTTTCAGGTGCACCATAGATGCCTACGATAATAATAGAATGTGAGATAATGGTAATAACAACCATAGTCTCTAGCCATTACTGTGCACCTTTTGTAGTCCTGGTACCATTCTGTGTTTTACATTTATTATTAAACTCTTATCACTCTCACCCTTTGAGATAGGTGCTTTTGCTTTATGCCAATTTATATGTGAGGAAAATGAAGCATGAGTGGCTAAGCAACTTGATGGCAAAGCTAGGATTTAATCCCAGGCATACTGACCTTGCTGAGCTTGCTGTACTGCAGACAGCGCTGTAACTGACTTGGCATCTACAGCAGGATATCATTTATACTCAGCTTTCCTTATTGTTGTCTCCATCTCCTCCTCCTGCCCCCACTTAAGCTCTTGGATCTTTCTCTAGTAGATTGCACTACTATTCACATAGTTTCCCCAACTAAAATCTGAGAGTCATCTTTGACTCCTTTCTCCTACTCAACACATCTAGCCAACAAATCCCCAACAACTTTGGATTTTCCCTAATTTCATTCTTTATGTTTAATTGATATCCATTCCTTTCTTCTCATTCTATGTTAGTAATGTCTTTCAACCTCTCTTCTCTAGATCTTTCAAAATGATCTTCATGTTTTTTGGGGGGTGGGTGTTGCTATAACAAAATATCGCAGGCTGAGCACTTCAGAAGAAAAGAGGCCTATTTAATTCACAGTTTTGGAGGCCCAAGAGCCTAGCACCCATGAAGGCTTCTGGGGAGGGCCTTGTGAAAGATGGCCTCACAGGATGTTCTGTGTGTGTGTGTGTGTGTGTGTGTGTGTGTGTTTGTGTGGAGAGAGGTTCCATGGTGAGATTGGGAGCAAGCAAGCAAGCAAGGATGTTTTCTTATAATAGTGGTAAACAGTCTTGCTGATAAAAGCATCAATCCTTTCTTAGGATTGTGCCCGTATGATGGAGTCAATTAGGCCCTACCTTATAACACTACCATATCCTTTGGGGTTCAGGCCTCAACATGAGTTCTGGTGGAGACAACCACATTCAAGCCACATTATTCTTGCTTTTAGTCTTGCTTCACTTTCATTTTGCCAAGACATTGACTATCTTTTGAATTTAATATAGTTGAATTTAATATAATTGAATTTATTTATATAAATTAAATAAGAATAAAGTCCTCATTGCAAAAAATAAAAAAAAATTCAATTAGTATAGTGATATAATTTGCATTCTTTTTTAAAAACCTATGTCCCAGAAGAGGTATGGTAGGAAGACCTGGACGTATGGTCTGAGGCCTGTCTGTCTCAGTTTCTCTGCACCCATAGTGTCGATGTACTGTTAAACAATGCACAGGCATATTTTTCATGTGATGTGGTCCCTTAATACATCAGTCAGTTTCTTCATCTGGGGTCAAATATAGGACACAGGATCTGCTCAAAGTTGAAGGAAAAACCACTAACTGAGAACTCGTGTGTTGTTCCCTGTCATGCTGTCTTCTGAAGGGATTTTCAAGGTCCATTTGCCTGATACTGTTTCGCCTTATGCCCTGACTTTAGATTCTGGGTTGCAAGAATGATGTGATTCCACTCTGTTTTCAGTGCTGCTGTCAGAATGAATTTCCTAAAATTCCATCCAACCATATGGCTTAACTCAAGATAGCATCTCAGTAGGACCTGGCATCTGCCTCCTTTACCATCCTCACCTCATGGCACTTAGTCACAGAGAACACTGTTTTACCCTCGTAGTTTGTGTTTCCGTCTAGTGTTAGAGCTTTCCTACCTTGTCCATGTCGTAACTGCCATCCATTCTTCAAATTGTTCAGGCTTTACCACCTTTGACCATCCTGATGTCAGTTGCTAACAGATTTTAAAATATCTTGTTTTGTTTTTGCTATCTCTTAAACCTATTTCTGTATTGCAGATATCACACTGCATAGATTATTGTCTATTTTCCTCTCCTAGCAAGATATAAGCCCTTGGGTCAAGACAATTAATCTGGGTCTTTATCCCTATGCCTCTCACAATGGTCCATACATAAAGCTGTTGGATAAAAATAGGTTATACTGAAATAGCTGTAAAGTTGGACCTAGGGTAATAACTTATTTGTAAAAAATGTTGTGGGAAAAAATGTAACGTTTGTATATGTATTCAATTCTTTCACATTAAATTATTGTTGCAACAGGAAAAAAAAAAGAGAGAGAGAGATATTTGGATTCAGAAGTTAACTATTTCTTTACTTCTAGCCAGTGTTCAAATGGGACTGTGCAATGTGATGAATCAGCAACGCCCTCCACTGGTGAGTTCCAAATCAGTGTTTTCCTCAAGGAGAATGCAATCTGGTGCTGACCCTGGTCTTCTGGTAGAAATCCTCTGTCTACCACAGCCCTTCTTGCCCATGTGCCCCGATGCAGCCTTGCAATGTTTCCCAACATGATGCTCCAGTGATCCCCAACTTTTTCACATTGATAATTAGCATATTTCTAGGACAGTTTGGGGTGAGCGTATATTGTTGCCTAGGGCAGAGCTGGTCAGCTCAGGGATGCTGCCTAAATGCTGCCTGCCTGGGACCTTCAGGTGCCCCAAAGGCTTTAGGGATAGTGTCTAGACACTTGTTGTGACCCATTACTGAATCAGAAATTGAGACACTCTACTCTAGACCAGCACTACTCAGATGTTAATGTGTATGAAACAATGGAATCTTATTAAAATGCAGATTGTGATTCAGTAGGTCAGGGACAATACCTGAGATTTTGCATTTCTATTAATGGCCAAGGCAATGTCAATGCTACACATTCCTGGACTACATTATGAGTAGCAAGGATCTGGGTCTGGTAGCAATCTATTAAAAATGGCATATAAAAGGACATCTGTTGTCATGTCTCCTTAGACGTCATTTTACACTTGAATAGCTTTCTTGAAGATCTTATGTTTTAGGGGATCCTATATATTTGTTTTCATCATACAAAGAAAGAGCCCCCAATTCTTAGCAACTATGGAGAAATTCCACACAAATAATAATGCTTGTTTTCATTTATATTGGACAGGAAGAGGTAGGCTGATAAAATTAATAGTGAGCTGTTGCTTTATTAATTTTTGAATGGCCAATTATATATTATTGTAAATTAGTTTTGAATTATATGCACTAGATTTATTTTCTGAGTATTCAGGTCAATATAGGGCTTCTTTACAGAAGAGATGGATCACACTTATATTCAGTAGGGCATTTCTGCTTTGCCCCATTTGCTTCAGAGTGATGTATAGTTAAAAGGGGAACCCCTGGTAGCCAGCTTTCTCATCCTTAAGAATCCTTAAGATTTATCTTTTGGGTCCCACATAAGGGGTCTTATTGATCCATGAGAACCCAAAAGCTCTCTGGAGAACAGGAAGTGCTGATTTGGCTTTTATTACACTCACTTCTGTATATTTACAACATAGGGATGAAAGTAATAACTCATCGTGAAGAAAGATCTAGAAATATTCTGTGTTTGTTGTGGCTTTGTAAAAGTTTAAATATATATTGTTTTCTCAGCCCTTAAAAATTTTAAATACACATTTGAATTAATCAAAATAGCCTGTTTCGTGACCTCAGAAAATTATAAATGAATTAGTTACTGCCTTATGGAAGGCAGCTATGGATTTTAAACTCATATTTTGAGTTTTGGAAGCTTTCGTGACTAAAGAGAAGCTGCCTAGGGAATATTTGTAAGCCCATCAACTAAAAATCACAGAATGGTGGGCTATGGTTGTGGCTCAGTGGTAGAGTGCTTGTCTAGCATGTGTGAAGCACTGTGTTTGATTCTCAGCACTGCATATAAATATTAAATAAAGGTCTAGCAAGAACTAAAAAAATAAAATTAAATTTAAAAAATCATAGAATTAATAAGAGCATCAAAACTGGTGCAATACTCTAGGGTGACTTTTGTTTCAATGACAAATCTATAGGATTATTTGTCTATGGAGCAAATTTAAAGTTAAGGGCATTTCATCTGTGATTTATTTCTGTAGTTCATGCCTGCCCAGAAGGAAAGGAATATTTTGACTGCAGATTTCCTCATCCTGAATTACCAGCTGGTGGTGTAAATTGTGAGACTACATGTGCAAACTTGGCCATGAACTTCACTTGTGCCCCATCTTCACCCTGTATAAGTGGCTGTGTTTGTGCTCCAGGGTAAGACATTTTTTTTCTTGATAACACAGACCATTCAGGATTTGACAGAAAGCATAAGAGCTCTTAAAAATATTATTTACAGAAATAGCAAACATTATTGTTTCGATCAGTGGTTAACTTTGAGTTGGTAGCAAGAAGACTGTTGTAATTATTTTGCTAGGTTCATGTAACAATGTACATTATTATTATTATTATTAATTATTATTATTATTAGGTACCGGGGATTGAATTCAAGGGCACTTGACCACTGAGCCACATCCCAAGCCCTATTTTGTATTGTATTAGAGATAGAATCTCACTGAGTTGCTTAGTGCCTTGCTAAATTGCTGAGGCTGGCTTTGAACTCTCAATCCTCCTGCTTCTACCTCCTGAGCTGCTGGGATTACAGGCATGTGCCACCATGTCCGGCCGTTGTATAGTATTATTAAAGTAATACACTGAATTGAGGAGAGAACTTATTTCAGGATGAAATTGGAATTTCTTCCCTGGTTCAACTGGGATTTTTGAAAACTGACACAACTAATCACTCCTCATTTGAAACATTCAAATATGTATTTTCTATATATTTTGTTGCTGCAGTAACTTGTTGATACTAAGTTATAATAGTGATGCCAATTGCCTTATCATATAGATGTTACAGAAAATAGTGCATTGAGGCTAACCAGGGGAATGGTTAAGAGATTAATTGGTTAAGAGTAGGAGCTCTGGCTTCAGACAACCGGAGCTTAAATCTCAACTCTACCACAGTTAGCTGAGGGATTCTTTTTGCAAATTCCTTTTGAAACTCAATTAGGCATTGTGAGATGTGGTGTGTAGGGGGCACTCAATAAGTATGAGTCACTGTTTTATGGCTGTGCATCTACTCTTATCTTTGTAAATTTCCTTCAGTTGCAGAGAAGCTGGTACACATGAAAGATGAAAAGAATCTCGAGACTAATAGCTTCCTAGCAGACACACATAAAATCTGTTCTCCCAGGCCCTCCCTCCTCTGTAGTGAATAGAGGAGCCCCGCACAGGGAGAGCCATCTCAGGCAAACAGGTCACCTTTTCTTCCTCCATGAACATGTCCACACAAAGAGATTCCGGGGATCAGCTCATATAAACCATGAGCAAAGAAGAGAGATTCTTGTGGTTTGGTTCCCAGGAGAATCACCTTTGTCTAAATGGCCCCCATCTGGAATAGACTGAAGAGCCAAATAACGTGGGACTGGCATTAATCTCTTTACAAAGGAAGGGCATAGGAGGCAGAGAAAAGAAGTTCTCAAAAGAACAAGTGCCCATAGAACAGATGAGCAAGGAGGAAATTTAATAAAAAGAAAAAGGAAAGATAAACCTTTATATGGTAAATAAATTAAAACCTACATTATTGTTTGATTTATTTGATTTAATTATGATTCTTAGGGATTCAAGGCTGATTAAAATCATCTCCTAATCTTGTTTCATAAAATGTGCTTAATGCTATTATTTTTTTTTAAATCATCTATTTACTGATACCTCTGGCTTCGTTCTATTTATTTACTGGCCAAATCTCATTACGAACACAGAAATTCTCTTCTACCTTCTGTGATTGTATTTAATATAGCTTAAATTGACTTAGAGGCCTCTAATTGGTTTGGAAATAATTTTATTAACAGGACCTTGTATTATGAAGTCAGTTATGGCAATGTGATTTTCTTTGTCTTCCATGTGACCTTATCTGGCTCATTTTGGGACAATAGCCTAGTATCACTTGTTTTCATGGGGCCTGGTAGTGCCAGAAGTTCATTCTCTATAAAAGGACCTTATAACTCTAGTTCAGAAATTGCTGTGGACTGAAGAGATGGAAAGTATAATAGTAGACAAAGTCAGATAACAGTTTTAAATATTGGTCCTCCTCATTAGTTGTAAACCTTAGGGTGAGTTACTTTCTCACTTGGCGTACTGATTGCCTCTTTTTAAAATGGATGTCATGATATTTATTTCACAGATGGTTGAGCATGTGCAGCACACCAGTAATGTGGTAGGAGTCAGTAAATGTTTATCACACACCCCACTACCCAAACCTACTTAAAGAAGTTAATTTACAGTGATTTGTGCTCTGCTGTTCCTACTTCCAGTTTTTGATTAGTTATAAAAAAACTCACCAGCATGCATAATCATTTTTAAAACCACTACTTTGGGTGGGTATGAAGGTTCATTTAGGTGAGACAATTGATGTTTATGAAACACCCAGTGTTTGGGACACTATGGGGATCAGGAGGAGGTACTAACAGTATATAACGATAGGGTATTATACCTGGGATAAAATGAGTTAGTGACATATTTAAAATGGTTTGAATAGTGTCTGGGTCATAGTAGTCAAGAATATTGTTTTTTGTTATTGATGTCCCTGTTATTACTATAAGACTTTTAATCAGTGCTTAATTCATTGTGATGAGCACTCCAATAAAGATTTTTTAAAAAATTACTAAGAAGGGGGAGCATATGTGGGGATTGGGGATATAAAAGATTGCACTGAGAAGACTGCACTCAATTGAAACTTAAATGATGAGGAGAAGGGTTTTCTGGAAAGAAGGAAAATGCAAAGCTCAGATGGAATGACAAGAAGTTTGGGAGAGTTGAGATGAAAGATTCTAAAATCTAGGGTATTTTTTTGTGTGAAAGAATTTATACACATAAGCTTATACATAATCATTTGTACACATAAGTTTCTTTGTTCATTTTTACTCAACAACCGAGTAACCTCTATATGCTAGGCATTGAGACCCAAACATCGACAGGATATTCCTGGTCCTCCTAAAGATTATAGGCAGCATACACAAAAGAGGAAGCACAATCCTAAGTAAGAAGAACTATGAGAAGGACAGCTGAGCACTAAAGAAACATATGTGATTATTTCTATTTGAGAGAAGGGGCAGGAATTCAGGATTCCAGGTGTCTATGTTAAATTTTTTTTTCTCATGCTGGGGATCAAACAGGGTCTGTGGGCACTAGGCAACTGCTCTTCCACTGAGCTGCATCCCCAGCTTTGTGTTAATTTTTATAACATTGAATTATTATACTTCAAAGCAAATTGATAAAAATGATATATTTTTTCTATTTTAGCAGCTATTTATTTTTATTATTTTATTGTAATTAATAATAAATTATTTCATAAATTAATTCTTGGATTTACATAATAAATTATTTTAAATTTACTATTTTATTACTATATTATATACTTAAATTATAATATTTATAATATAACTCTTTCATATTGATTACTTATTTATATTAATATTTATTAGTTATTTTAAATTATGAAAGATTTTAGAAAACAATTTTAATATTGAATAACGATTTGTAGTGAGGGCATTGAAATAAATGCTACATATAATATATATTTAATCTTCATGTCAAAATACTTTAACACACTAAAATCAATTATTCTGACAGTAATTTCATATTAATATTTATATTATATATTAAAACAAAATTTGTATATATGTTTTAATTTTTATATTTAAAGATACATTTAGAAAGGCAGCAGAATACAACAGACACTAGTATGGCAATATGTAAATCAATGGATGTGTAACTGATGTGATTCTGCAATCTGTATATGGGGTAAAAATGGGAGCTCATAACCCACTTGAATCAAATTGTGAAATATGATATATCAAGAACTATGTAATGTTTTGAACAGCCAACAATAAAAAATTAAAAAAAAATAATAAAAAAAAAATAAAAAAAAAATAAATAAAGATACATTTAGTTACTTTTTCATAAAAGAGTGACATTTTAAGAGGGAGATAACACCTCAAAAGTAACTAACATTCAAAAATCATGTTAATGAAAAAGAACATGAAATATTTTATATGATAGATTTTTACTTGAAAGCACACTTAAACAAAATTCTCATGATTTTAACTCTAAGTGCTCAGAAAGAAGCTTTTGCTTGTTCTATGTCCTGTAATAGAAAATGTCATTGATTTCATAACTTACTATTTCATCAAAAAGTTATGAGATCACCACAAATAATCTTTTAAGTAGCAAATAGTGAGGATGGTGTCCTTACTTTCTCTTTAAACATTTTTTTTCAGAATAACTTGCTTTATCACAAATTTAGGCCTTTGTTTCTTTTTTTAATCGTACTATGTGAATAACAAAAAGGTACAAATATCACATGTAGTCGATTTGCCTGGCATTTTACTTAATACTGTGACATGTATTTAAAAAGTGGGGAGAAAGACTGGATTCAATCCTCCAATTCATCAGATAGAATATGCCTTACACAGCTATAGTAAATATAAAGACAGTGTTGAATATGATGAGATTAGTGGTTTTTTTTAAAACTGGATTTAGCAGACTGTACTGATTATCTTATTTCTTCATTTGGAAGGATGGCAGAGCACAAGGGAAAGTGCTATGTTCCTGAAAGCTGTCCTTGCATCTGGAAAGACTGGGAGTATCTCTCAGGAGAAGTGATTGCTACACCTTGTTACACCTGGTAATGAGATCCATTAATTTCACAAAAACTTTCCTAAGCAATTGTATGACTTTCAATTATGTTGTTGAATTTACTTGATGTATAAATTAAGCCTGAGGAAATAAGGTTTTAAAGGCATTCAGGAGTTTGGTGGAGAGCTACTATCTACAAGGGCACCACACCATTGTTTTTACGTGTTTGTTCAACCTAGAAGAAAAGTGAGAAATATGACAATTTGAAAATTTAATAGGAAAAAGTATCTTGAGTGTATAAGAAAATGCTAAATGTTCCAAAGAGATCATATTTAATGGTAGCTTTTCTGTTTGGAAATAAATGAAAATAATACCATAAAAGAAAACTTGAAATATAATTTCCTTAAAATAGAGACAAAGATTCTAAACTCATGTCAAGTATTCAATTGACTTAAATACAGGAGATGGTGTTTTGCTTTTTTGGTTCACTATCAGACTTATGTTCAAAGACCTATGTTCAGTTTTCATTTCATTAATTGTTTTCCATGTGACCCAGGCACAACTATAGACTTGATTTTTCTGTCTAACAATATATTTAAATGAGGGGATAAACATATGCCTAAGTTGTCAATGTAGTAGGTGTTATGAGAATGAGTTGGCAGTATTTCTATGAGTTATTGGCTCAGTGAATGCTCTTGCCTACACACCATCCTATTTTTTTGTGCCACTTGAAAAACACCAATTTGAGCCAATTTCTTAGTAAGGTAACTTGTGTTATTTTTTAATAGTGTTTGTCGACGAGGAATGTTCAATTGCACATATTATCCTTGCCCAGCTGTGTGTACAATCTATGGGGACCGGCATTATCATTCTTTTGATGGACTGGAATATGACTACATCAGTGATTGCCAGGTATTTTTGATAAAGGTAAGTCACAGTTACTCATTTTTACTTGAACTAGCATGAGGATAATATTAAAAAAAAAAAAAAGGGACAAACTTGACTCAGAAAAAACCCGGTGGTTGAGGTTCAGAGATGTAACTTGTAGATTTGGAATACATCAACCTGTAGATATGGTTAAGATTGTAGGGGTAGATGAGTACATCAGACATTAGGAGAAAAGGGTAGATAACTAAGAAAACAAACTAATCTGTGACATATAAATTCATGTATCATTAATAAAACTTATGAAAGTCACAGCAATTTTAAGCAAATTTCCTGAACTCATTTTTAAGTTTTACTATTTGTAGGTGGTAGGCTAGTTCTTTAGCTTTCTGTGCCTCTGTTTCCTAATTTATAAAATGAGGATAATAATTTTATGTGGCTCCAAAGTTAATTCTGAGAATTAAATAACATATGTGAGGTACTGGGTTTGATCCTCAGCACCACATAAAAATAAATAAATAAAATAAAAGTATTGTGTCCATCTACAACTAAAAAAATTTTTAAAAAATATGTCATAAATGTGTAAAATGCTTAGATAGTGCTTGATATATAATGATGATCTATAAATATGAACCATTCTTCTTATTATTAACTTGGTTTGATGAATATAAATATGATATGTTAAACCATACACTGGATTATGTATTTTTTGTGATGATAATGAGAGATTATTCGTAATTCTAGAAATGCTACTTTGAAGATATACTTTGGTAAGTTTTAGTCTTTAGATATCTGATAAAATCCTTAAAGTCTCTCACACATGTAATATATTTGGATTACTTGTATACCTAAATTTTATTTAGATATCATTGATGCCAGAACTAAATTTCTAAATGAAAAATGTAAGCTTTAGAAAGGAGCCACATAAGAATACACTAAATGACATTTTTCTCTCCAGCAAAATAAAATGCAATTAATGCATATTTTTTTTTCTGGGTATGGCTTTTATGTTATTAGAGGTGTGTGTGTGATCCTTCATCAAGAAAGTAGACTACATCCCTGTATCAAGAAAGTAGACTGTTATTTTCATTTTGTATTAGTTACATTAAAAATAAAAAAGAACAGTAAAATCTATACTTTCTAAATGGAAGCAAAGCTTTTGGATATATTTTAAGCTATTGAATTTCCCTATTAGTACTTATCTCCTTTAGGAATGATTTTAAGTTTCTTTTAGAAAAAAATTCTGGGAATGAATTTGATAGTCATACAGAGAGGATGGTAAGTACTTTCCTGTGGGTTTTGTGTGTGTATATACGTGTGTTGTTTTGATTATTTTTGAAGCATGAGGAAGGCGAAATAACAAATATGCATTCTATTCTATCTTTATTTGTGTTCTTCAAATAAGCCACATTTTAGCAAGCAATTCCATTTTAAAATCTTCTCATTCCTCAAAATGTAGATAGATCATAAACTCTAAAACTTGAAAAGATACTTAATAGTTTATAGATTTGCATGCATACACAGATTTCTCCTCAAAAACTTTCAGATTGACTTTGTATCTAATTCTCATTTTCTTTAATATATACGTGCCTTTGCCTCTCCTTTAGGTTACTTCTGCTTTTGAGTTTCTGGGTGTGTGCTCTTTGAGTCTTTTAATATCCTTTTTGGTTTCCTCTCTGACTTTTGTTGCCTTTTCTTCTTGCATAAGCCCCCATGACGGAGTTGGCTCCCTCAGGGTAAAGACCAAGTCTTTAGTAACCGTTATTTCACAAGGAAGGAACACCCGGCTGGGGTATTGAATGTCGATGGAACTAACTGTGTATTCTTGGCTCTCTGCCCTTTCATCCTAATGCCTGGCGTGTTTGTCCACTCCTACCATCTTAGCCATACCTGCAGGCTGATGCGTTCCAAGTCAACAAGTCACAGCTCTGGCCCTCAACCGCAAGGCTGTCTTTCTGACTCAGATTTACAATAATACATCTTTCTATTCTATAAATCTTTCCACTACTCATCCTGTCACCATGTCATTGCTTACTAAGAACCTTAGTGACGTCCAGTGAGCTGCCTCACAATCAGGATGCCTTTGCCGGTCCTTTAGAAGTCTCCATTAGCCCCCTCTCTTCTCTATGTCTTTTCTCAGGGGATTCTCTGTATGTGAATTCCTCTTCTCCCTCAAAGAGATGTTTCCAGCTCACAGTCCAGTCCTATTCTTACTGTTCATAATAAATTATAATTATACTAGCAATTTGTTATTATCCATGGGAAATTTCACTAAAATTAATAAAGCCAGAGTCAGGCCCCGAAATGTTTCAGGACAAATTAACCAAAACATACTTGGTAAGTTAAAAAACACTTCCTTTGGTCATGAAACATGGTTACTGCTTATCAAAGACAAAGTTGCCAATGCAACTTCATTTTCACAGTCTTAAAATATGATTATGGCAAATTGAACCCCACAGTGCTTGAGTTATTTTCTGCCTTAATTTTTCTTTGGTGGCATTTTGGTTTTGCGTACTCCAAATGCCAAGAGCTGTTATGAAGGAGCCTTTCTTCCTCTGGCAGAATCAGTATTTCCTTTGAGAAGCCAGCACCTTTCATTAACTCTGCCTTAGTGTCAGGAGTCACCACTGTGAATGGTGGATTTAATTCTTTCTTCCTCCTCAGCCAGCTCTCTTTCCTTTTTGTGTGTTGATGAAAAATTCCAGGCTTTATCTTTTTTTTTAATTTTAAAAAATTTGTTCTAATTAGTTATACATGACAGCAGAATGCATTTCAATTCATTGTATATAAGTGGAGCACAACTTTTCATTTCTCTGGTTGTACATGATGTAGAGTCACATGACTAGTGCAATCATACAGGTAACTAAGGTAATGATGTCTGTCTTATTCTGCCATAATTCTTACCCACCCCTCCCTTTGCTCAATCCAAAGTTCCTCCATTCTTCTCATACCCCACACACCCCCCATTATGGATCAGTATCTACTTATCAGAGAAAACATTTGGCCTTTATCTTTGTTACTTATAACACCTTTTTGTCTTGTGAAACTGGTCTTTTATTTCTTTGGGCCCTAATTATCAAATTCATAAGTATTTTCCTTTTATTTTCCAATGGACTCTTAAAAAGTTAATATTTAATTTTATTTTAAAAACATATTGTTATTTGACCTCACATTTGAAGAGATGTTTTCAAATAGTGATTGTGCAAAAAACATTTCAAGTAGGTTTTTTCTTATCTCTGAATTGTGTGTTTTTAAATGTAACCAAGGTCAGGGACAGACCACTTACCCTAATTTCAAAAATGCATATTCTCTGACCTTTTATTATTGTGGAGGTAGTTTGCTTTTGATTATAAATAGCACATAGAATAGAGCAAATTATTTTTTAATGTCTTGAAACAAATTTAGGAAAAAGGTCATAACTATTTCTTGAAGTAAGATATGGTTTAAGAGAAAAAAAAAGATGAGAGAACCCTCCATCAAGTCCCCCAAACACCAGCATCTTGAGCTATGCTATGAACTCAAAGAAAAAGGTACTCGGTGACTTCAGTAGAAATGGGCAGCAATTATTTATTCCAGCTCCCAGATTTCAGAGCCAAATGCTTCTTCTATGAAATCTATGACAAGCCCCCTGCACAGCTAGGTTTTATGCCATTTGTTCTAGATGAAGTTTTTCAGTTTTCTCTTCAAGTTATACTTCAAATATTCATTGCTCTCCTGAAGCCTCTAAAATCTTTCCTAATTTCATCACTTTCAAATTTGGATACATTGAATAGTTATTACACAGTATTTCTTTAGTGTTTGCTATAGGCTGGGCCCTAAACTGAGAAGTGGAGGAACAGTGATGAGTGAAAATAGATGTGGCCTTCCCTTATTTGAACCTCAGGTTGGTGGGGGAGAATTGTTTTTCATTTAATTACAAAATTCATGTAAAATCATTACTGTAAAAGTGAATAATTACCTAAATGCAAAAACAAAATTCAATGAAATTTTTAAAATTTCTTCTTCTTTTTATCTTGAAGTCTCTGTTTCCTTGCCTTCTCCAATGTAAATTTGCTGATTCTAGTCCTTTGTCTCTGATTCCCTCAGTCTTCTCTGGTGGCTCCTTTCTCTATTTCTTAAAACAATAGGTCTCACAGGTTCCATCTTTCCACATTTTTGTTCTCCACAAAGCCCTCAGTTGCTTGGGATCTCATAAGAACTTGAAGACTCCAGACACAGTGGTGCACACTTGTAATCCCCACAGCTGAGGAGCTGAGGCAGGAGGATGGCCAAGTTCAAAGCCATCCTCAGCAATTTAGTGAGGCCCCTAAGTAACGCAGTGAGACCCTGTCTCCAAAAATGAAAAAGGGCTGGGGAGGAGTTGGGGTTGTGGCTCAGTGGTAGAGCGCTTACCTAGCATGTGTGAGGCACTGGGTTTGATTCTCAGCACCGCATATAAATAAAGATCCATTGACAACTAAAAAATATTAAAAAAAAAATAGGGCTGGGGATATGGCTCAGTGGGTAAGTGCGCATAGTACCAACCAACCAACCAAACAAACAAAACCTTGAAGTTTTAGACCCTGTTTTATTTACTTATTTGTCCTTAGACTACTCTATCAGCAGAGGCTTCTTTTGGGGGTAGTTATCCTTAAAGGCGGTTGGGTTATGAGAGGTACAGAGATGGATGTGGAGTATGATAATATACCACCTTGAGAGGTGCTGACAGCTCAAGTTTTGAAATCATTTGGAGGAATATTCTCTATTAAAGTTTTCAGAAAAAAGAGAACAAAGAGTTTTGAGGAACCCATGTAACACATTGATATTGACCTTTTCCCTTCACTTTGTAATCATTACTTACTGTTACCTAGCAACTTGGTGGCATTATTTCCAAACCTAATATTAACTTGAAATAAATTAGAAATGGAAATTTTAAAAACATGACTCTTAGGCATTTCTATTCTTTCAAATTTCTGTCAGTAGAACATGCTATTGTAAGGCAGACCCTATAATATAGATTATTTCTTGACATCCCTGATTTAATATAAAGAATGAAGCTAACATTAAAAAAACTTTAATTAATAGCAATAGAAGGGTAATGACAATGGAAAGCCTTTTAGCCAGTTTTTCTCATTCTTCCATCTAAATAACTCTTCTCGAGAAAGAACAAATCAAAACCCCGAATTATATATTTTTCTTCTTTGAAAATAATTCATAAAAGCATAAATATGTGGCATTTTTTAGTAGTACAATGTCATATCATCTTAATGACCCTTATTATTTTGCTTTTCAAAATTTTGGCAAATGCTTTGCAAAAGAATTATCAAAGAAGATGCAAATGCTCTCAGCATCTATCAAAGAAAAATGGGCCACATAAAGACATATTAATTACTCTGTCAGCACCATTCATTAAAAACCTTTTCTCTAGGCACTATGCTGCAGTGATACTAATCAGTCAGGATGGATTTTGCCAAACTAAAAGATATATTGCTTTCATATTCATATTGCTAGTGATGTGAACAACCAAGTGTGGAGAATTTACATGAAGACCTATAAAAGTTTCCAAACCTTTTTTCTCACCATGAAGTTAGACACTGACTTACCTGTCTCACAATGAAGCCTCAGGAAATGTTTGTGGGCCTTTGAAACTTGGACATTGAGTCCGAAGGGAAATGTCACATTCCTTTCTTTCCTTTTGATGAAATTCTCCCATGAGTTAGCGAAATGATTTCTACAAGGCAGTAGTTTTTAACTTTTAGGGGTATCAGGACTGCTTTGGAAATTGGACAAAAACCATGAACTTTCTTCTGAGAAAACTAAATATATGGGTTAGTTAGTGAATATGTTAATTAGCTGGATTTAATTATTTCATATTGTATACATATATTATTTCATCACATTTTACCCAGGTATATGTAATTATAATTTTCTAATTGAAAATTAAAAATTGAAAAAATACATAAGGATGTGTAATATATGTAGTATAATTTTTATAATAAATTTCTAAGGTCTGCCAAACCTAAGAAGCCCATTCATAAAGGTGGACTTTAGAAACTCTGACCTATAGAAAGGATCTAAATAGACCTTAGATTTAGAGTGTGTAAGGCTAAGTGATGTTCTTTGAAACTTATAATCCCCTAGAAAGGTAGCCTAAAGCTTACTTTTCTCTTCAACAATTGCTAGACCTTTCCTAATTTCTTTACTAGAAATATAAAAGTGAGACAAAAAGATTAGGGATTTAAATTCTGCCTTTTAGTTTTTAAGAGACATTGAACAATCAGTTAATCCCTTTTAACCTCAGTTTCCTGATATGTAAAATGGAGATAATATTACATTCAAAAAGTATCATAAGAGGGGCTGGGGATGTGGCTCTAGTGGTAGCGCGCTCGCCTGGCATGCGTGCAGCCCGGGTTTGATCCTCAGCACCACATACAAACAAAGATGTTATGTCCGCCGAGAACTAAAAAAATAAAAAATAAATAAATATTAAAATTCTCTCTCTCTCTCTTTTAAAAAAAAGTATCATAAGAATTAAATAAGGTATAATACATAACACTCAAAGCAAACTCTCAAATAATATGCATTATTTTATTTATTAACTGATTCCAAGGATTTTGTATCTATTTTAATTTGTAGTCAATAATCATTCAGCCTGAAAACTCCCTAAAACCAAGCCTTCTGCTTTATTTTACATATTGTTTAAAATGAAAATATTTAAGATTTTCCTAACTGCCTCATTGTCTTGTTGAATATTTACTGATAAAAAAAAATGACAGTTGTTGATAAACTTGAGCTATAGTGACTAGATGTAAAGGAAGCTTTGCTAGAATAAATGTTAACAGAGGCCTTAGAGGTAAGTGTTTAGGATTGAGCTCCTTTTCCATAAATTTTTTCACATTGTTAGATACAAATAATTTTTATTTTTATTTTAAAAGCAAATTGTTTTTCAATTCCAATGCAATATATTATAAATCTTGTTCTTCTTTAATATAGTTTATACAATAGCTGAAGTTATATATTGTGTGTATTTATATTAATGAAATGTTTTTGACATTACAGAGCACGGATGATTCAGATATATCTGTCATTGCCCAGAACAAGAAATGCTTTGACAACAATATTGTTTGTTCTAAAAGTGTTTTGATTTCAGTTGGGGACACTGAAATTTACTTGAACGATACTCCTTACAAACAGGTTAGTGAACTATTTCTCTCAGGATCATTTTAACTTGCCCTAAGGATACTTAAAATAGAGAAGAAATAATTTAGGGTACTTCTTTCTCTAAGTGGTTATGAGATCAAGACTTTATTTGGTAATTTTGTGTGTGTGTGTGTGTGTGTCTTCATAAATCACACACGCCTTGTCTTTTCTGTTTATACTCTACTTTTTTTATTATACAATTCTTTCCCCATGTCTTCCTTCCCTAGCCATCAACACCTATTACCTGGATTCCTTCAAAAGCCTACAAACTGGACTCCTGGTATCCACTCTTAGTTCCTCCTCTCTAACCCAGCCTCACACACTGCATCCAAAGTGGTTTTTCTAAAACAGAAATGTTTATTCATTCCCACATTCTAAAAATTGAAGCTTTTCATCAATTCTCCACATGCTCTAGGTTCTTTGACTCATTTCTGGTTATTCATGAAATGCCATTGCTTCCACTTGGATCTGTCTTTCCAATTAACTTACTCTGGTGCAATATGTCTTCATATCTGCAGGGAGCTCCTCCTCACTCTTGTTAGATTATGCATCACGGTTAATGAAACTTTTTGTTTCCCCAGTTGTCTATGAGCTATGCGAGTACTGGTGTCACTGTCTCTATCATGTATTCTTTTTTCCTTGGAGCCTGCCTGGATTAAAAGAATGAAAGTTTCCTTCATTCCCTCACTTTTTCATTCACTCATTCTTTCATAATGTCTACTATATTCCCAAACCTGTGCTAAGTAATGAGGCTACAACAGTGAGAAGATGCTCTTATAAAGACAGTTTGACACATTTTTGAAGTGGTAATTACAGATTTGTTAACTTTCAACTTCCAATTTTCACCCGAATGCAGGTGTTGATGAATTTCCTTTATATAGGTCCTGAAGAATGACATAAGATTAAGAAGAGTCATAAAAATAGTTTGACCCTAATAAATCTCCTGCTAATATTTTTTTCTTGAACATCAAAAGTGAAAATAAGTACCATTTATTTTATGGACTGCTCATTTAGGAAAAAGAAAAAAACCCTCATTTAAAAATATAAATGCACAATTCTAATTTAATCAAATATATAGAATATAAGTATCTTATTAATTTAGTCAAGCTGTACTTTATTATCTTTAAATGGCAATTCTTTTTTGAAAATATTTTTTGTTAGTTTTTGATGGACCTTTATTTTATTTATTTATTTACTTGCAGTGCTGAGAATCAAACTCAGTGCCTCACACATGCTAGGCAAGCGCTCTACCACTGAGCCACACCCCAACCCTCAAATTGTACTTTAAATGTTTTAGTTATTTAGGTTTCTATCTTATCTTTCTAACATTGGTAGAGTTTGTTTAAATGGCTATAATTCTCATTTGGAGTGAAGGTCTATATTTTAGGCAACTCATAATACCTTATTCTTCTAAAAAGGAGCACTATCTAGTAATCTGAAAAGTTCGGAGTACAGCAAACACTTTTGACCTAAAAGAATTTTTCTTAAAATAAATTATGTTACCTAATGAAATGAAGCATTTCATCACTAAAGGCAAATAGAAAAGATGTGCTTTTGTATGGAGATAACTGATTTAAAACCAACCTGTAGGGGGAAGACAATACATTCCAAGACAAATAGAATAATATAAAGGTACTGAAAGATGCAATGAAAACAATAAAAATAGGTTTTATGGCAAAGAATGACTTGGAGGCAGAGCCAGTTACACAAAGTATTGGTTTTAGTGCAAAATGAAAATGTGAGGACCTTTGCTCAACACAGAAAAAAATTTTGTTTTATGGTTATCATAGTGTTTTTCTATTTATCACATAATGCTGTGCTTAGTGGGGCGCGGGGGACTCATGGGCTGAGTGCAGACCTTTGCAGGCTGATGGCTTTGTCCCATCGGTCCTACTTGGCGCTTGGCTCCTTGTGTCCACCCCCAGCTTGCTCTGGCTCTGTACTGTGGGTGGAGTGCAGCAGAGACACAGGCAGCTAAGAAACAATTCCAGGAGGTGGGGGACATCAGGACCTGGAAGGCAGGCATGACAGGCTCCAAGACACTGGTACATGCTCATTGTCCCATTGAACTTCACTTATGAAATATAAATTCAAAAGTAGAATTATTAGAATTTCAAGATGGCAACTACAGAGCATCCAACCTCAAGTGAGGTGACCCTTCTGAGCATGGGTCTCACCATTACACTGTCCATATGCTCACCAATCCAGCCCATTTGGGGAGTGAGAGTTTTGTGCAGGCAAGTACAAGAGGCCTCCCTGAGGAGAAAGCATATGGGTCACAGTTGATGGCAAAGAGGTAATCATGCCAAGGTCTGGGAAAAATGGTTCTAGCAGGAGGAATATCAGATACATAGTAGCTGAGATGGTAGGAGGTTGGGCAAATTGGAAGTGCAGAAAGGTCATCATGGCTAGAGTCTAGTCAGTGAAGGGAGAGACTGGGGAGTGGAAGGATGTGAGGCTAGGTGGAGCCAGTTAACAATGTGTGTGGTTATATCCAATGTATTCTGTACAATACAGTAATGCATGCCTGTTATAAGTGCAAACTTGGTCTAGGAGACTGAAAACTCTTTATGTATTTGACTGATTTTATTTCATTTGCACTTTGAAATATTTGTTGAAAACCATTGTAATGTAGTATTCTCAAACTGTGCTTTTGTTATTACTTTGGTAAGAAAAATGCACAAAAGATTTCATATCTCCTTCCCATCTTTCTGCTTCTGAATAAATTAGTTTTGCTTACATTGACATAACCATGCATTTTTGAAGTTATCATATGAGTTGATGTCAAGGTCATATTCAATGTAGTAACATTTAAGATACAGCTGCTGTTTACAAAATATGATGTACTTTTTACTCAATGCTAAAGGTACTCTAAGTCAATTTCCCAATGTGTCCCATCTATAATTTATCCCTACTTTTACCCTGTCTAGTAGGTAAATTATTTTCTTTTAATGTACAAACATGGTCTGACATTGCCCTGTTAAAAAGACTTCATAGACTACATTTGCTCTGTTATGGGTAACTTGACTGCAACGGGTCTTGGACTGTGTTCATCATGTAATTCATACTCTAGCCCTTTATGCTCTTTTTTCATATTTTTTATTATTAGTTGTTCAAAACATTACATAGTTCTTGACATATCATATTTCATACATTTGATTCAAGTGGATTATGAACTCCCATTTTTACCCCATATACAGATTGCAGAATCACATCGGTTACACATCCACTTTTTTACATATTGCCATACTAGTGTCTGTTGTATTCTGCTGCCTTTCCTATCCTCTACTATCCCCCTCCCCTCCCCTCCCCTCCCATCTTCTCTCTCTACCCCATCTACTGTAATTCATTTCTCCCCCTTGTTTTTTTCCCTTTCCCCTCACTTTCTCTTATATGTAATTTTGTGTAACAATGAGGGTCTCCTTCCATTTCCATGCAATTTCCCTTCTCTCTCCCTTTCCCTCCCACCTCTCATCCATGTTTAATGTTAATCTTCTTCTCATGCTCTTCCTCCCTGCTCTGTTCTGCAGATTATGCTAAGTGAAGCTAGCCAATCCCTAAAAAACAAATGCCAAATGTCTTCTTTGTTATGCTCTTCTTAGTTCTGGACAAACCTTGGATGTTCTTGCCAATCAGACTTTTAAAAAGCCATTTTTTCAATTTAGAATAATTTCTTCTCCATTCTCATTTCCAGCCTTCTTTCCTATGCATGGCTTTTTACAGACCAGTTCATATACCAACTCCTGCAAAAAAGCCTTCTTAAGTCCCTTTGATGCTAATTTGACTATTTGTGCTCTCCTGTCTCCTTGCCCACACATACCATATATGTATGTAATATGTGTGCATGTGCATATGTGTGAATGCGTGTGTGTGTGTGTGTGTGTGCTTTTGTTCTTATCAAATTCTATATTATAGAGAAATTTTCACTGGATTGTGAATCAATAATTTTGTTTTTCAAAAACAAGTTTGAAAAAATTTGTTTTTCAAAAAAAACAATAATTTTGTTTTTCAAAACATTCTTGAGAATGTCAGTAGACTATCTTCATGCTGTCCTTAACTACTCACAAATGTGAGCAAGACCAAATTTCTCTTCTTTGCAGGCAAGGTCATATGGTTTTAGTTTTCAGTCATTTATTCATTACTAATGTAGGGTCTTCGACTCAGTAGGGTCTTCCCTTAATGTCCTCTGTGGTCATACCCCATAGCTGAACTACCTTTTACTTTTGTCGATTTATCCATGTTGAGCCATCTACTAGTTTGTGTCTGATTATCACTCTTAAATATTTCCTATTTTATGCAGTTGGTTTTTCTTTTCTTACAGAATCAGAAGAGACATGACCTAGCAACAATACTAGTTGTTAGGATAGCTAGTTGTTAGGATAGCTAGTTGTTAGGATAGCTAGTTATTGGCAGATCTTCACTTAATTAACCTGTTACAGTTTGGTCAGATAACATGATACTGTTTTTACTTCTTTCTCTCTCCCTCCCTCTCTTTGGAAGAAGCGATCAGGTTTTTTTCTGGAAAGTCAACCTACATATCAGCTCTGGAAGGCTGGGCACTACACCGTGGTGTATTTCCCAGAGAAAGACATCACTATTCTTTGGGATAAGAAGACAACTATCCACATCAAAGTTGGGCCACAGTGGAAGGTCAGTCAAGCAAATCTTTAAAAAAGATACAGGAAGTGAAATTACATTTACTTGTTGATGTTTGGAAATAAAAATGATTGATGTTTTCCTTTAAAAACTAGGTTGTATTTTCAAAATTACTAATCATCTTCTGTGAAGAAGAACTTCATTAACCAAGGTGCAGTGCTCGTGTATGGTTATTTTTGACTTTACCTTACAGTATCTGTTTTCCAAGGTTACTTAAGTCAGCTGCTTTCTTCCCTCTCCCTTCAGTTTGGTTATGTGATTTGTTTGTAATGCAATTAGATTCATTTGTTACAATCTATTTTCTATATGGTGCTACAAACTCTGAATATCTCCATAAGTTTACACACAGTAAAATTATAATAAAATATTATTAAATTACTCTATGGTTCTATGGATTTTGACCAATGCATGGAGGCTGGATCCACCATCACAGTTCTATGTCTTTTCAACCCTTACCCCTACCTGCAAAGTCCTGGGCAAGCACCATTCTATTTTCCATGGCTATAGTTCTTTTATTCCCAAATATAATATGAATAGAATTGTTCAGTTGGTAGCTTTTAGAGTTTGGCTTCTTTGACTTGACAAAAATATATTAAGATTCATCTGTACTGTGTGAATTAATAGTTTGTTCCTTTAAAGTGCTGAATAGTATTTTGTTGTATGAATGTACCACAGTTTGTTTATCTATTCATGGTTGAAGATTCAATCTGATTGCTTATAATTTTTGTGATTTATGGTTTTTTTTGTTTTTGTTTTTTTGGTACTGGGGACTGAACTCAGGTGTACTTGACCACTGAGCCACATCCCCAGCCCCATTTTGTATTTTATTTAGAGACGAGGTCTCACTGAGTTGCTTAGCATCTCGCCACTGCTGAGGCTGGCTTTGAACTTGTGGTTCCCCGGCATCAGCCTCATGAGCTGCTGGGATTACAGCTGTGTGCCACCACTCCCAGCAATTTATGTTTTTAAGTAGTTTTACAAGTCATTGTCTGTTAATTATTTTTATTAAACTTATTAAATTTTAATTTAAAATATTAAAATTTGACTATATAATTTAAATTCATATTTTAAAGATTTTTTTTTAAGCATTGATATATCTAAAAACATCCCATTAGTTTGAAATTGAGATGCATGAATATAATCTGTGTCAAGTTAAAAAAAAGTTGGGATGGCAATATCATACTCTCATAGAAATATAAGAAAGAGGGGCTGGGATTGTGGCTCAGTGGTAGAGTACTCACCTGGCATGTGTGGGGGCTCTGGGTTGCATCCTCAGCACCACATAAAAATAAATGAACGGAATAAAGTTATTGTGTCCAATTACAACTAAAAAATAAATATTTAAACAAATTAAAAAATATAAGAAAGATACATCTGAAAAAATGTTTAATATGCTTATATTTGATGTTATTTTATATTAAAGCCATAGTCTTTCTATTTTAAGGGGGATAAATCCCCAAGACCTGTTCCTAGCATTGCTCAAATATTGCATATCTTTCATTGATTTGACATATCTCTAGTGGTTGCCATCTTTCTTCAACTCACTTCTCTGCATTCTTCTTTATGTATTTTCCTTTCCCTGCTTTTTGGAAACAAATTATTTGTCTTCCTCCCTCTTACTGCTGCCTCAGTTTTTAGATGAACTTTAGATAGAGGTGGTTTCTGAGAATAGAGGCTCCAGGGTAGTAAGTGGCCCTTGATGGTGACACTAGGGTTAGCAGCTTTGCTGGAGATAAGGACAGTCTACTGCACCATTAACAAAGGGCTGAACAAAGAGTTCAACAAGTTTAAATTCAAGGTTTTAAGGAAGAGTTTCATTGTTTTGGACCATCATCCACATCCTTCTCCTTTATAGTCTTTTAAGAAAATTCAGTAGATATTATTGGTATAAACAGCCCACATGGGTATTAAAATACCACTTTATGACTCATAACAACCTAAGTTATCTTCATTGTTTTAATGTTTATACTGTTACCAAATTTTAAACATATCAGTCAGTGGGCCCTTCATCATTAAAAGATTTATATTTGTATATAAATTATATATGTATACACACATCTTCTTGGATGTGTATGTATAAATGTGTATATATTATGTAATGTATGATTATATTTTAAAAATTTGTTATTAATAGTATCAATGCTAAGATGCTGGCAAGTATAGATAGATGAGATTGGGAGGCTGATAAAATATTTTTGAGAATTTAAATTAATTTCAAATATAACTAAATAGGTATGAAAATTCACTTTCTTCAAAACATTTATTTTTAAATTATTTTTATGTAAGTCATACGTATATTTTAAATGTTTCATGTTTTAGTGACTATGAATCCTCAAATGTTAAAATAAATATAAAATATTTCATGATAATTTTCTTTTACTTTAGAACAAACTATCAGGGTTGTGTGGAAACTTTGACAAATGTACTTCAAATGATATGACCACATCTAATAACTTGGAAGTGCGAAATGCTCAGGTGTTTGGAGATAGTTGGGCATTAGGACAGGTGAGTTGAATGTATATTTATTTTAGAATAAAATAAAAATTTTTAGAAATTTTTAGGAGGACATTTTCTTTTCAGAAGAAAATTTAGATTTTTTTTACATATTTTTTATAGTAATTTGTGGTTAATGAACTTTCATATTTATCTTCTAATATAATTCTTATGACAAACTTATAATGCAAAAGCTATTGTCTCCATAAATGAGGACATCAGTGTAACAGCATGGCCTGAGCAGCTTGCTCATTTAACTGCAGCTTAGTGCTCATCGATCAGCTTTTTCCCATCTCTCTCTCCACCCTAAGTTCATTCACTAAGTTTTATTTAGCATAGTGTTTTCCATTGTATACAGACACAGAGTATGAATAAAACTCAGCTCCCCTTAAGGAATTTAGAGTCTAATTAGTAGGTCAAGTAGAAAAATTAAGAAAAAAATATACTGAGGTAGATGCTTTGATAGAAGTGCATACAACATGGAGATCAGATGGTCCAGGGCAGAGTCCTACAGAAGGTACCATGAAAATGAATTCTTTAAATTTATGGAGTTGAAGATGTGAAGTTTATGAGAAAGAACATAACAGGAAAAGGAAGGAGCAGGTGCCTGTAAGGCTGGAGAGTATGATACATAAAATTAATTTCAAAATCTCAAGGTGGTTGTAGTTGAAATAGAGAATGTCTAGATTGCAAGTACAGATCTGCAAAAAGAGGGGCAGGGGACTCTATATTCCGGCTAGAAACATTGTCAGTCAATATTGAGAAAGTACTTGTTCAAGAACACTGAAGATGAGAACCACCAGCCTCTGATGAAAGACTGCATTAGGAAGGATGGATTTGGGGGGCTCAAGAAACATTCCTACCTTGTGGCTTTGAAATAACAGATGCTGTTGTTCTTCCCTGAAGCAGGGCATAGAGGAAGTGGGGGCTTATATGGAGATAAGTGCAGTTTAATTTGTGTCTAGAGAGAAGAAGACCAGGAGGTACTTAGGTAGAAATGTCCCGTTTCAAAATTCAGGAATGAGATCTGGGATGGAAACAGGGATTTGGTAGTTGCTAGTATATTCATATTGTTGAAGTGAGGATATGTATAGAATGAGAAAAATAGAGGTTTGAGGATTAAACTTTGTTAAGAGGGGAAGGAAACTGTCTCAGGGCAATTTCAGGCAGTTAGATTTGATAGAGGCTAAATTGCCCAGTGTATGGGAGGTGAGCCTACACACCTGAGAACATAAAATTCCTCAGAGCATGGTCAATGACAAAAAAAAAAAAAAAAAAAAAAGAGGTAAAAGTGAACAAGGTCTATGCTTATAGAATTTGTCATGTAAATGTTGCATTTAAGAAAAATTAAAGTTATCCTACTCTTTCTAATAATGTTATTATTTTAAATTCTTGTTCAATTATTTAAAAAAATAAAACATTCTAATAACCAATAGTATATATGGATAAGGGCTGGTGCTGTAGGTAGAGCCTGTCTAAAAGAATGGGATACATTGACTGCCCATGTCATGAATGGAATCAAGTTACTTTGGTTTCAACTTGAGAATCACTTCTTGAAAAACTTCTCTTTCTTCCTTAAAATGTTTCAACAGTGCGAAGATCCAAGTGAAACCATAAAACCCTGTGAGGCACATCAAAACAAATTTCCTTATGCCAAGAAAGAGTGCTCCATTTTGTACAGTGATGTTTTTGCTCCCTGTCGCAATGTGGTAAGTGAATACTTAACTAAAATCTCAAATTTAAAGAGGTACCATGGTATTTCTAATATAGAGATGAATGGGACAGATAAGTTAGCTATTCATCAGCTTTTCAGATGTACTTCCTAACTTATCTCTTAGTGTGTTTTTCTGAAGAAGTGATGCTAAATGTTGATTTGCCTTTTCTTGCACTACAGCTCATTTAACAGCATGCATTTATGCATAATATTTGTTATAATCTGTTCTAGTTCATTAAATATTATTTTACACAGCATTTTCTGAGCAGGAGTATCAATTTTATATCTGTCTATGGAAAATAACATCAAATGGTTTTAGAAGCACCTTTTAAGATGGAGTATAATTTCTTCAGAAATTTCTAAACTTCTTCCCTGCATAATAATTTTAGGTCCCATTAGAAGTTTAAAAAGAAGTTTCATACATTTGTAAAAATCAAGCAACATTTCTGTTGCAAAACCCACATGCTAGCTGTCTCAAGGAAGGCACTTGTGTGATTTTTGAGTTGTGAGCTGAGTTAGCTGCTCTTCTTTCAGAACATCATTTTTACTTGAAAGAACAAATGATAGACAAATTTGGTTAATCAGACAAGGATATTTGACAGATATTTTCTTGAAAATAAGTGAAACAAGTCTGTGGCTTCAAGGAAAATATCTGATGGTATTTGTTGTCCTTAATAATATTTGAGGTGGAAAACAGAATTTTGTAAAGCTTGAATCCACTGCTGTGGGTTTATTATATTTTTGTTAGCTACTTAACAATTACAATGAAAATAAAACAATTAAGTAAATAGGAAAAAATTTAAAGAAATTGTCGTTGTCTTTTGTGGTCACTAGGATGTTGCCTAAAAGGAAGATAAAAAGAAAAAAAAATCACGTAAAAATACAAATGTAAGTTGTTGAATATGCACTTTTTAAAAAACCAGGCAAATATGCCAATAATGAAACAATAAACTTCCAAAAATAATAATATAAGATCTTAATATGTTATATTGTAGATGGTGTAATTATACTTGCTATTCTTATTACTTGTCTTCTAGTTCTTTGATATGACATTTGCCTAATAATTCTTTTCTCCTTTTGGCAACATGGAAATGTGAGATAATGAGAACTCTAGGTGGCAGTGTTAAGCTTATAATGCCAATCTTAAAAATGTACCAGTTTTCTTTTGAGTTTTAATCAGAGCACTTATTGAAATTATGTCATGTTCCACTTCATCTTCAGATTGATGTTACTTCTTTTGCCAAAAATTGCCATGAAGACACGTGCAACTGTAATCTTGGTGGGGACTGTGAATGTTTATGCACTAATGTAGCAGCCTATGCTTATAAGTGCTGTCAGGAAGGGGTGTCTGTCTCCTGGAGATCCTCCACGGTGTGCTGTGAGTACCCTACTTGGAACGTGGTCAGGGAGAAAAGTTTAGTAAGTTCTATCTTAGTTGTTTTATCATAGAACTAATTCCATGGAACTCATGGAAATGGAATTAATTTTAGATAACCCAACTTTTATATTCGTTTGACAATCACAAATTACCACAGCAGAAATTTGAGATAATGTTTCTGTTGTGTTTGACTGCTGTCTCTGCAACATTTGAAGTATGAATTAGATCTCATTCTCAGAGAAATTGTTTATGATTTATGATTTCAGTTCCCTTACACCTGTGAAATGTCACTATTCTGATCATAAGAAACATGTTTTTTACCAAATGTGGTTTTTAATCTTTGATTTTTGTATTAATGCTTTAGAGTTATATGTAATATTGGGGTTTATTTGGACATAATTATACAAGTATAGAGTATGTTTTGTGAAACTCTAATTTGCTTTCCAATTTGACTACTTTATTTACTTGTGAAGGTTGTTAGCTATCTGAATAGATTATCATTTGAACAGCTGTAGCTGAAGTTTCTATATTGTTAGGTGCATTTGCCTACCTTTAAAATAATCTTATGAACTTTAGTTAATTACAACATATCACCTTAAGGAACCCTCTTCACTCAGAGGAAATTCCTAAATAATTATGTCATTCTATGATCTTTCTTGTGGCTATTGATAAACAAATGGCCATATAGGTTAAATGATCAGTTTCTTATAGTGTAACACTTATTCTTCTTTCCCTTTTAGCACTTGATTGTGAATACTACAATGAAGGTATGTGACATTTTAATAAAGAATATCACTATATTTTTCTATTAGATATATTTTTAGATTAAAACTTTTTTAAACAATTTGTACAGTGAACTCAGTATAAATAGTTAATAATTTGGCATATAACCTTATAAGACTTTAAATTTCAAAATTTATCTAAATTTCTGAGTATTCATGTTAAAATTTAACCCTGAAAAATAATGAAACAGTACATAGCTTAAGTTCTCAGGACTAAGAGATTTTCAACAAATAGTTTTTGGATAATATAAATAAATAAGTAGAGCTGATTCTTTTCTTTTTTTTTTAAGAGAGGGAGGGAGGGAGAGAGAGAGAGAGAGAATGAGAATTTCAATATTTATTTTTCAGTTTTTGGCGGATACAATATCTTTGTTTGTATGTGGTGCTGAGGATCGAACCCAGGCAGCACGCACGCCAGGCGAGCGCGCTACCGCTTCAGCCACATCCTCAGCCCCTGATTCTTTTCTTAAATAAAAAGAATAAAAGGCATACACCAAATACATACCTTTAACCACTATGTATAAATATGGACATTATTTAAAAATCTTCAAATTTCATTTTTAATCGACAATAATTATGTGTGTGTGTATACATATTTATAGTATACAGTGTGGTGCTTTGATACATGTCTACATTGTGGAAAGATAAAATCAGTCCAAATGGCATATTCATCACTTCAATATTTATCATTTCTTTGTGGTGTGAACATTTTAAATCCCTTCTTTAATCTTTGCAGCCTTAAAAAATCGCAGCAAATTCTGTCATTCGTAACAACATGGGTGAATCTAGAGGATATTATGCTAAGTAAAATAAGCCAGCCAGAGAGAGAAATACCATATGATCTCATTCATATGTGAAATCTAAAATAGTCAAACTCAGAACTAGAAAGCAAAATGGTGTTTATCAGAGCTGTGCGGTAAGGGGTGAATGAGGAAGGCAAGAGATATATATTGGTCCAGACTACAAAGTTTCAGTTAGATAGGAAGGATAAATTCTGGTGATCAAATGCACAGCATAAGACTAGGACTGTAATCCATTTTTTTATTTTGTTGCAGAAATCAAACACAATATTAATGTGATGATAACATAAAGAATTTATTTTACCACCACTGTAGGAAAACATAATAATTTACTTACCCCAGAATGGAAACTTATTGATAGAATGATAATGAAAATCTAGCCTTACCAAACATCCTGATTAATGATGAGAATCTGAGAGGGTGTTCTGCCTAAAGCTAAGACATAGAAGTAAGAAGAGACAGAATTATATCCTCAGTGAAAATGCCAGAAGATAGCAGAGTAGGAGTCTGCTTCTTGTCAAACCTATTTAATTAAATAGCCACCAAAACCTAATACAGACAAGTGAGATGGTTTAGGGAAGGTACATTTTGTCAACTGGACAAACTCTGAACTCACAATGGATGGATGGGTAAGTTAACATGGTAGTTACAGAGAAGTTGAATCAAGCAACCAGTCTGTGGCGCTTTGGATGACTTTTGAGCCAGGGAGGGATCTATCAACTATAAATGTCTAATGAAGGTTAGATAGATACATTTGCAGAAATAGAGATCATGAGTTAAAAATAAAAAGGGAATTTTAGCATTTGGTTGTTTTATTACATCTATGAAAGTTTGAAAGTTGAGGTGAATCTAATATTTAAAAAAAATCTGTAGTAGTTAAAGAAATTCTAACCAAAAATATTTCTTGTTCAAGATTTTAAACAGAAGCAGACACACAAATGCACACAAACACTGTATATTAGTCCTTTGGATTCCATGATTAAAATGAAATTGGGGAGGAGACATGGGAAAAATTGGAGGAATTTTGTTGGGCAAAGAGGAGGAAGAGTGGGGAGGGTGCATGGGGATAGGAAAGATGGTGGAAAGAGATGGACATCATTACCCTAGGTACATGTATGACTGCACATATGGTGTGACGCTACATTGTGTACAACCAGAGAAATGAAAAGTTGTGCTGCAATTGTGTACAATGAATAAAACAATAAAAATAAAATGGAATTGATTGCCTGTTAATGATAGCAACAGTAAAAATAGCAATAGATTTTGCTGTCTTAACTACTTTTTGTATATCATATAAACTTCCAAATATGTTATTATTTTATTACTAGCACTTTACAGAAGAGGAAATTGAGGCAGAAGAGATTAAATAGCTAAAAATGTGATTAGCTGGAACTTGTAAACAGTCTCACTTCAGAGCCAATGAGCCTGACCTCTGTGTACCTTGTGTAGTGTTGTAGGGATGAACACCATATACTTTAATCTCATGTTCTACATAATGTGCGCACACACTGACTTTAGAAAATGCTCCAGTAACTTCCTCACTGAAACATTCTTATCTCATACAACTCTGCTGTGAACGTCTCCATCTGTGCCTCTGTACTTTCTGACATTTCTTTGGCAGACCATTGGACACAAAGAGTCAGAATTTTCTTTGCATACTGAATCACTATTGCTTACTACTTGGTACATTTTGCCTTCTGTCAAGTCAGCTGCACTTCTAGTGATGGTTCTGTTTTCTAATATGCTAGAGAATTCTTTAAACCAGTTCTTCTAGTTCCATTTTAAACACCAGATTGATCATATCAGAAGGTGAACACTAGGCATTTGGCCTTCATGATAACACTGGTAGGCTCAGCGTAGTGCCAGGGGCACTGTGATCAAAGTAATAAAATGTAATCCATGTGTCATGTGGAATAAGAGTTTGTAAAAACATTGCAGTAGAGACAGATGATTAAAGGAGATTATAGAATTGTGGAGGCTCTTGATAATAATCATAAAAAGAAAGTGGTTTTGAATGACTATTCTTGATTTGTTTTATTCTAAACAATGTCACAGCTGTTTTGTAAACTTATCTACTTTTCTTCATAAACTTATCTACTTTTCTTAGGACATTAAGTACTGATCTTTCTTTATTTACCATATGGCAGCTACGATTATTAAGATAGTTATGTATTTAAGGGAAATTATAAAAACAATTATTCTGTGGAAGAAAAATTTTAAAATAGTAGGAGAATTCAGAGGTTACAGAAGAGATTACTTCAATAAGCCTAAGCACAAAGATTCTACATAATATATTCATGTTCATTATTATGGGATTTACTTACAATGTGAAGGTTTTATTATTGTTATTGTTGTAGGTGAGGAAGGACTTTGATATCCTGGTAAAATTGTTTTGCAAATTTTTAAAGTTTAGAATTATTTTATTAGATAGGATTGCTTATTGCTGTGTTTAAAGAATCACTGTAGGAATTTACTGCTTTTAGTAGATAGTGAAATTATATTCTTCCTGCAGAAAAAATAATGATAAGGTCAGTTACTTTTGTTTCTGAATTGGTGGTGAAAATGCATGAAAATATTCCAGAAGCAAGGTACCAATGAATGGGGAGTCAATTTTAAAGCATTAAGTTTTTATACAAATGGATTTCTTCCATGACAGTTGTCTCTTGGGGCTGCTGTAGTAGAGGCATCTGCAACAGGGTGAAAGGAGGTTTTGTTCAGCAGTCCATCTCCTTTCTCATTCTTCAATTGAGTGTCCTTGAGGGTGCTTCAAGCCCTCAAGTGACTGTTATATTTATGACTTCTTCATTTTGACTTGTATCTCATTATAACTTGTACATTTATGTACTTATTAATACATTATTTACATATTTACACAATCTGCATATTTATAAATTGAAGTACATTTGCATCTTGGGAGTTTAATGTTATTTTGCTCTTGTTATTCCTAGAAAATTAGTCATTAGGTAGTGAAAACATTTGGTCTAAATTTCTTTGGCTCTTTTATGTTTTGACTCACAATGTGACACTGTGTGTAATGTACATTTGTAATAAGGAGTTGAGTCCATTGCTGCAGGCTCTAGACACACTCTTCAGTGTAACTGTTCAGCCATGCCTTGGTGTGGGAACAGTTTTTCAAGTCCCCTTCTCTACTCAAATTATCTGAGTCCTCAGCAAGACTCTTGTTCTATGGTGTATGTTTCCCAGCTGTTCCATGGTGACATGTACCAGATGAAGTTAGTGAAAGGAACAACCCTTGAACATAAGTTGTCCTCAGAGTTTCTCCTCCTCTTGGTCTGCATGATAGAAATTTTGATCCTCATACTTGGATGACTACTTATCCCTTCAATCTAATTCCCTCTTGCCTTTCCTCAGGCCTGGTTTTCAGTCCTTAAGGAGAAAAACCCTGTTTACATCTGTTGAATTTTTTCCTTCTTCTTCAGGGTAGGCTGGGAAGGTAAAATTGTGCTTGAGATAAAAATGAGAGAAGTGGAAAGTGAAATATATCAAGAGTAATAACAATCTTTTATGATATAATCTAGTGCAGGTATATTGACATTTAAAATAACCTATAGCACACACAAGCATATACTCATGCACATATATCTGTTAAAAGTATACAGACAGTAATTATATAATTTAATATTTGATGATTGAGAAGATGCTTCAAAGTTTTATAATACTCAGTTATGTTAAGAATACTAAATGACATAGAAATTGGGGTGAAGTCAAACTGATTTCATCATAAAATATAATTACATTTTTTGAATAGCAATGAAATTATTTGTCACTGATAACTTATCTTTATAAGAAGAAGTTTGCAAAAAAATCACTCTTGAGTTTCAGGCTTGATTCTATATTAATTAGTTTTTAATGGTTTGAATATTTTCTTCCTTGTTGGGAACTATTTAAGTGCAATGGGAAATAGTAGTTTAAGTGTAAAGACCTTTGATTTCTTGATTGAACTCAGTCTTGCTTTCTCTTTTTTATAGATAAACCTCACTGGTGAAATTTAGTAATTCCCAGAGCAATAAAATGTTGTCTATTATGACTATGTATTCTTTAAATACATTGGCACTAAGGAGAGATGATTTTTGGAGGACTGTCATAATATGTGGCTGTTGATACAGTTAAACTTATTTTGTTTATTGAGGATAGATTAGAATCTTGAAATGTTAGAAATGGAAAGTCACCTAGACAAATTTCTTCATATAGGTGAGAAAATCTCAGGCTCAGAAAGCATAAGTCAATTGTCTATCCAATTCTGTTTGACATATACAGAGATAGAAACGTGCATGTATGTATTCGCACATACATGTATACATATTCATGTGTATTTACTGTATATCCCAGATTACATATTTGTAAATATGTATGATATATTCTAAAGTATATTATTGAAAAAAAGAGTTCAGTTATTTTATTAGGGATAAATTTTTAGTTGTTCAACATTTTTGGAGTTTTTTTGTTATTAAAACATTTTATTGAAATAATAAATTGAGATTATAAAACCCTATGCTAATTTGTAATTCTCCTACTTGTACTTATGTAGGGCTTGGAGAAGGACCATATATGCTGGCAAGTTATGGACAGAGTGGCCTTATTCTTGGTGCCAATATGACTAGTAGGAGCATTTTCTCTTTGCCAAGAAGTAGTATGCATGGCAACTTATTTTTTAATTTTATGATCACACCAGGCCTTTTTAAAGAGAAGGCATCATGTAAGTATAATTGAAAATATTAATTTAGTTTTCTATTTACAGGTTTTCATTATTCATTAAGCAAATAATTGAGAATTTTATATTTTGGATATTTTTCTAGCTTCTCTAAAGAGTACAAATATGACATTAACCCATGAAACACTATCTCTTTTGCATGTAAAATAATTTGTTTATCTAGTGGCATATTTTTCTTTTAACAGCAATTTGTTTTGAGTTTTTGGTGTCTAATAAAGCACAGCTTACATTTTTTTTTCAGTATTAATGACAGGACTTAATTTGAAATTTTTGAAAGTCCATCCACTAATTCCTGACATTTCAAGGATTTTAATGTCAGATCAAAGTAAAAGAAAAAATGTATTTGATATCAAAGAAGTTAAATAACAAGTGTATATATCAGAATGTAGACAGTCACTGAAATAGCACATGATTCTTAGCGAGTCTCATATGTCCTGGGTTATTAGAACCCGATCCTACATTTACTGGTTGCACTTGCAGGTCTGTACTTGGTATCTAGTTGACTGGTAGTAGGTTCCCTCTGGCCCAGTGATGCTAGACTATGTTGTTATTACTATGTACTTGACTTAGAACCACACATGGCATGTTGTTTAAGTTCATGAATAAATTTTTCAATGAGTGAGTCCAGTGAATCCAACTTAGTTTTACTTATTCCAAGAAGTCTTCCCAGTCTCCAGTTAGGATGAATTCTTTTAAAAAGGAAATTTTTGAAGCATCTGCCACTTTCTGAAGTTTTAATTTATGTTGGACACATTTTTTTTTCTCATACAAAAATTTCTCTTTTCTTTGAATCTTCCAGTGCTCACCAGAGGGACTTGTAGATTTTTACCACACAATAAGTGCCTTTGAAATAAAATTGAATATGATAGAGTTCTTCATTTTATGATTTACAATGACTAATGTTCTTGAGAGAAAAATCCAAATAATGTTTATTTCAGAAAATTAGTCAAATATATTAATTAAAAAAACTTTAATATGATAGATTTTACGAATATAAAGAAAAATTTTAAAGCACAAAAAGAATGTTCATTCCACAATATTTTGTAAAGCCTAATTGCTCATTAGTCATTCAATCATCTTTTTGGAAATAAACAATAATATTGGGTAAATAATCTTTTCTTGATGCAGAAAAATGTCTTGCAAGAACATCACTCATTAAGAATGCAGAATTATTGAAGTTTCTAAATTGATCTATTTCTCTGTTTTCTCACTGTTTTCTATCATCCAATCTACCTGTTTGTAGATTTAGTGCACTTAATAATGTTAAACTTGCAAATACAAATATACTTCCAGTTAATCATTTAGTTCCTTTTTGTAACTGTATATTCTGGAATCCTCGTTGATAGCTCTGTTTTCCTCCCAAAAGGCCTCATAAATTATTTGAAAAATACAAGTCACTCAAGATTGATTTTGGGGTGGAGAAAGCTATCATTGTTATTCACTGCATTTAAAATACTATGTTTTCATTTAGAGATCTCAGAATTCATTTCTGAAATATTTGAAATTGACAATATGTATGGCAGTTGCATGGTAGTATTTTTTCAAGTTTATAGGTACATTGTATCATGTACTTATCGTGTGCTTAGTGACCTGCCTCCTCCTGAGACTCCAAGGAGTTGTCAAAACACTGCTCTGTGTTTTACAGCTTTGGCACTTGTCTCCTTGGAATCTGCTGAAAGACCCAACTATTTTCTGTGTGTCCACAATGATGACACTCTTAGGTTGGAGCTGTGGGAAGCAAACTCAGCCTTTCATCGGAGAGCAACATTTTTCCACCATCAGAGCCTCTGGATTCCTGGTTACAGTGCATTTGAATTATACAGCAAGAAGGGCTTTTTCATCACATTCACAGACTCCAGTGTCAAAGCATCAAAATATGATGATTCTGAAGAATTCAAACAGTCAAGTAGCTTCAGCATAGAAGGTATGTTCCCAAGATCTCTGAAAATAGAATAGAGAATTTATAGTATGAAGAACACTTATTATTTTTTTATTTGTTGTTTTTAGATATACATGACAGTAGGGTGTATTTTGACATACTATATATACATGGGGTGCAACCCATTGCAATTTTGATCCCATTCTTGTGGTTGAACATGATGTGGAGTTACACTGGTTGTGTATTCATATGTAAGCATAGAAAAGTTATGTCTGATTCATTCTACTGTCTTTCCTATTCTCATTCCTTCTCCCTTCCCTTCATTCCCCTTTGTCTAATCAATGAACTTCTATACTTCCCCTCTATACCCTCCCTTGTTATGGGTTAGCATTCACATATCAGAAAGAACATGTGGCCTTTTTTTTTTTTGGGATTGGCTTATTTCACTTAGCAAGATACCCTCCAGTTCCATCCTTTTACCTGCAAATACCATAATTTCATTCTTCTTTATAGCTGAGTAATATTCCATTGTGTGTATGTGTGTATAATTAGTCAAATATCTCAATAAAAAACTTTAATTTGATATATTTTACAAATATAAAAATTTACAGCACATAACAAAAAAGGATGTTTATTCCACTTTTTTAAATCCATTCATCTATTGAAGGGCATCTAGGTTGGTTCCATAGCTTGGATATTGTGAATTAAGCTGCTATAAACATTGATGTGGCTTTGTCACTATGGTATGATGATTTTAAGTCCTTTGGGTATATACTGAGGAGTGGGATAACTGGGTCAAATACAGGTTTCATTCCAAATTTTCTAAGAAATATTCATACTGCTTTCCAAAGTGGTTGCACTAATTTGTAGTTCCATGACCCATGTATGAGTGTACCTTTTCCCCCACATCATCACTAACATTTATTGTTGCTTATATTCTTAATAATTGCCATTTTGACTGGAATGAGATGATATCTTAGTATAGTTTTGATTTGCATTTCTCTAATTGCTAGAGATGTTGAACATTTTTTCACATGTTTTTTGACATTTGTATTTCTTCTTCTGTTAAGCATCTGTTCAAATCCTTAGCCTATTTATTGGTTGTGTTATTTTTTTGGTGTTAAGTTTTTTGAGTTCTTTATATATCCTGGAGATTAATATTCTATCTGAGGTGCAGGTGATAAAGATTTTCTCCCATTCTGTAGGCTCTCTATTTACCTTTTTGATTGTTTTTAATGGTAGAATCTTTTTTTTTTGCTTTATATAAGTAGAGTTATATGTTGTTAAATAAGTTTCTTAATATAGCTATCCATCAGCTTATTCATCTGTATAACTGGAGAAATAAGAACAACCCTAAAGAAAAATTTATGGCTATTACCCCAAGTATTCTACAGTACTGTCTGGACTTTGGGATTAGAACTCACCATTTCTTGATGCCTGGTGTTAGTATCTACTTGTTACTTTTTCTTTCCTAGAAGGCAACTTCTGATTAGTTTCATTGTCAGTGATAGGGACAAGATGTTTATCTCTGTCTTTTGATTTCAAGGGTGTCTGGTTCTATTGACCTCTAGAGAATTTCCCTAGTTTAGCAAAAGCCGGATCTTGTTTCTGTAGAGCCTTACAGCAATTAAATTGCTAGAGGTCTATAAAAATTGAAAGAGTTTCAGAAAATAATCTCACTTCTTTATACAATATTTAAAAGTCATGTTCTGTTTTCAAAATCCAAGAGATTGATTCCACCTTAAGTCTCCCAAGCAAATTATTTCATCTTAACCAACTCAACCCCCAGAAGCAGTCTCAGAGGGAGAACCCCTTTCTATTTTGCATAAGTTCTTGCAAACCTCTCAAATCTTTGGATTAAAAAGAATTCAAATTGGCTTCAAAAGTTTGCCTATTGAATAGAGTACTTGTATTCCATCAAAGGTTCTAAGTCTGGTGGGAAGTTTTGCACGAATCTAGCTGCCAGAGTTCTACCCTGGTGAGGGTCTCTAAGCCAGGCAAAAGGAACTCCAAAACTTCTACCACTGGGATTCTTAGTTCTAGTTTGATAAAACAGAGGTCCAACAGGATAATTTTATTTCTTTTGTATAGGCAGCAAGAATTAACAGAAGCCTAGGGTCCTCAGTGAACCAGTGCCCCAAGGCTCAGGAAAATTGTCAAGGGCAGATGGTGTCTTATTTGTTCATGAAGCTGCACTTCAGCTGAGGGACCCCAAATGCAGTCCACTCTGGCTTCTGTACTCTAAGGCCACTGGCATTGCTTAGACAAATTTTCCTCTTTTAGGTGGGAGGGAGATGGAATCTGGGCTGTCCGGATAGTTCCTCTTTATCTCAGAATGGTACATTCTCAGAGCATTGTACACTTATTGTAATAACTGCAGGTGGGAGCCAGCTAAGGTCATCTGGGGACCTGGCCTTCTGTGGTGTGCTCTTGAGAAAAAGTCACTGGCATGCCTACACCTCATTGCATAGATCACATATGATCATTTTACTTGAATTTACTTAAAATTAAAAGTTGAAGTTTACCAGCCTTTGTTTTCCCTTTATTCTAGAAATTTATTCTATTAGAATCAGACCCAGCAGGCCTGCTTATGACTCAGAGAACTGCAGCTAATGGCATCATCAGAATTTCAGAAATTGATCTTTGTGGGTTTCCTAAACCTAGGAAACTCTGGTGGGATGCACTATCCTTTGTCTTAGGACTAATCCTCTCTCAGGATCCATGAGCCCAGGAACTTAAGATTAGTTTAGATGAATAGTCACTCTTCAAGAAGTCTTATTTTCTTTGCCATACTTGAATTTTGTATCCCAAGTCCATGAACCATACCAGTGTCTTGAATTTTCTCCCCTCTATGTTCTTTTGTTCAGAGATAATTTTGAACTACTACTGAGGGGCTTCTCTAGGATGTAAAAAGAGGAAGGTATTGGCAGTTTACAGGAGAAAAATCTTCAATCAGGGCAGGTGTTATAACTATAAAAATGTATTATTCAAATCCATTCATTTATTCTTTAATATTCAAATAATATCATGTACAAGGCGAGGTACTAAATTCTTACTCCAGGTTTGTGGTTATGACCCATGGGTTTGGTTTTGCCATTTTCCTAATTGTTTGAAGTTGGCAAGTCTCTTTGTGGCTTGAAGCCTTGATTTCTTCATTTTGAGATTGGAAATAATATGTACACAAAAGGGTTCTAGCAAGGATAAAATAGAATAATGGAAAAAAATTACTTTGCAAAAATTAAATTGCAAAAAAGTGGTGTCGGCACTTTATTCTGATATGAAAATCAGTTAAAACTCATTAAATGTAGAGAAAGGAAGATTTAGAACTTTCCTTCTTCCAACCCCTTCTTTTTAAAATTCTTTGGGAGATAGATTAATATTTAGATATGTCATCTGAGCAAGAAATGCTTTGGTCTTCAAGCCATCAAAATATTTTTATACAATAGCTTTGATGTCATAAACTATTAGTTTTTAAGCTGTGCGTTAAAAATGGATACAGTCTAAACCTTTTTTTCCCCAGAAATCCAGGCAGCAGTGCCTTACAGGAGGATGTGTGAATGGAGATATGAACCTTGTGCCTCTCCCTGTTTTAAAACATGCAGTGACCCTGAAGCATTAGCGTGTAAATTCCTTCCACCGTAAGTAATGTTTACCACTAAATAAGCAAATTCCAATATTTACAGTCCTCTGGTCTGAGTAAATTTTGTGTTAGATTTTAAAACATTCTCGTGAAAATTTATGTATGCAAAATATACTAATTTATTTATTTATTTTATTTTGATGAAAGACAATTGTTGAGGGTCTGTTATGTGTTAGGAATTCTTGCTGCCAGGGATACAGTATTAAACAGAATAGATAAAAGTGCCTGCCCTCATGAAGCCTGTGCATTATTAGGTTGAAGCAGAAAATAATCACAAGTGTTAAGTATATAATGAAACATATTGGTAGATTACAAGGTGTTATGGAGAAAAAAGAAAGGAAGGTGAGGGAGACAGAGTATAAGGTGTGTGCATGCGTTTGCTAGATTAACTTGGTGGTCAGGGAAGAATACACTGACAATGACATCTGGTCAGAGATGGGAAGGAAGCAAGGAATCTGATCTGAGAACAGTTCCTGGCATGGGAACATGTCTGGTGTATTTGAGAATTAACAAGGAGGACATTGTTGGAGCAAAGTGGATAGAATTGAGTTGTAGAAGAGACCACAGTGGTAGGCAAATCAGATGAGGCCTTGCAGTGTGTTGTAAGGACTTTGAGTAACACAGGAAGGCTTGATATATTTTGGACAGAAGGCTTGATATATTTTGGACAGGGGAAGCACAAGATCTATTTATATTTTTAAAAATTAGTTTGGCTGTTGTATTGTGAATGGGCTGATGGGGGCGGGAGGACAGGACAGGGAAGAACTGGTCAGTTACACAGACAACAGAAGAAGGGCATTTGACTAGGTTGGTAGCCTTGGGCAACAGTGAAGTGATGAGATTCTGGATGTAATTTAAATTTAGGGCCACAGGGGGTGCTGGTAGGTTTCATGTGAGTGAGGAGAGGAAGAAGAATTAAGGACTCAAATTTGGCCTCAGCATTTTTTGGGTAAAACCATATGTAGCTGCCACTTTTGTAGTCAAAATTGGTCAACTATTGGCAATTTCATATAATTTGATTTCATAGAACACTGTGTTGCCAGTTGCTGAGATAAGAACAATGTCAGGAGGAACAGCTTAGAGGAAAATTGTAGAATCTTCTTTTGAGGATATTGTATTTGAGACTGAAACTTGTTCATTGAATTTAGTGACCTGGATACTAGGAAGAAGCAAAGTAGAATCAGAGCATGTAACCAGCATTTTTTAAACAGAGAGTTTGCTGTAAAGGGGAACAGTAAATGGATCAGTAGGAGGAGGGAATATTTTTGAAAGCATCATTTTACATGAAATATCTATGAACTTTTACTCTTGGTGAACACCAGCTTTCCAGAACATCCTTAGAGAGAGGAATGCACTCAGAAACAAAGGCAGATAATGACAGTACAATGGGATGAGGTCTAGAGAAGTAAATGTAACAAATAGCATATTATGTGCTTCAGCAGGATATAAACTATCCTGTAAAATGCACAATCTCATTCCATTTGCAGAGGAGAAAACTAACTGAGGCACAGAGAAGCTACACAATTTGCTCTAGGTCACACAGTTTGTAAGCAGGGAAATCATGCTTTGAACCACTATGCCCTGTTGTGTGTCAAGTTCTATAGAAGAGGGAAGGAAATTATATTTCCTTTAAAATAAGAACAACCTCCCCCCCCCCCCCGCTTTTTCCTATGAGAAGTCTAATCCTTTGCTTGGACCACTCACATTCACAAGTCTTTTTCCTGCTTCTTCTGGGAAGTATCAGGAGGCAGGGATACCATAGTGGCCCCACAGTGAGGCTCATCACTGGGAGGGCACACTGGGAGGAAGACAGCAGAGGACACACCTGGCCTGACATTCTAGTGGAAATTGAGCTATATTTTGAAGTGTTATTTGGCTAGTTTATTTCTTTTTGTGACATGATCGATCTCCAAGGTGATTGAACACAGTTCCGTAATGCTCCCAGCTTACTGGCCTGCAGCTATTTGTCTTTGGGTATAGTTAGAAGACTCAGGAAACTTCACCCCTGCCAGGCTGCTTCTCCTTTCCATCTTCATCCCTACCTCTGTGTCCTTGCCCTGTGCTATCGGGCCTAACCACTGCCCTCTGCCCCTTGTCCTTGAACATTCAAGTGTGGAGCCATGCCTCTTCTGTGCTCCTGTACCCCTCCTCCGTGTCCCCAACAGTCTTGTTCTAGGTGATTTCAGTTTCTGGCACAAAACAAGTATTAAAAATAAAAATATCTAGTGGAAAATGAGAACTCTTCATAAGAAAATATGTCAAATGGCACACCCATACCATTACGTATGGTACTCCCATACGTAAGATTTATTCTAAGAATGATTCTGTATCTGAAGCATTATATTTATCAGTGAGAAATGGAGTAGATTATCATCTGTATGACAAAATAAAGAGAAACCTAGTATGTGTGACTATAAAGACATTTTAAAGGGGTTAAGTTAATAGTTGTTAGAAAATATTTTAAGAGTATGCTGTGGTTTTTATGGGTATAAAATCATTGCAAAATAGTTGAGCTGCATAAAAAAATTAAAGGTGACTTCACTTAGTGGTAACCTACTGGCTGAAGTCTTTCCAAAAATCAGAATGTTATTTTTTTCCTTCTGCTTGATAAAATTTAGAGAATAGGATTATATGACTGTTAAAACTTATTCAAATTTATTTATGGAATATACAATTGGTCACCTATAAGCTAACTATATTTCAAAAATTATTATAACAGGCATGGTGGTGCACACCTGTAATCCCATCATCTTGGGAGGCTGAGGTTGGAGGATTGCAAGTTCAAAGCCAGCCTCAGCAATTTAGCAAGATGCTAAACAACTTAGTGAGACCCTGTTTCAAAAATAAAATATAAAAGAGCTAGGTATGTGGCTCAGTTGTTAAGCATCCCTGGGTTCAACCCCTGATACCAAAAGAAAGAAATGTTATAATCCATGGCTGTTGGTGCTCCTGTCATCCTGTCAACTCTGGAAGTTGAGGCAGGAGGATCTCAATTTCCAGGCCAGCCTCTACAATTCAGCAAAACCTTGTCTCAAAATAATTAAAAGGGTTGAGGTTTTAGCTCAGTGGTAAAGCACCCCTGGGTTTAATCCTAAGGACTACACCCACACTAAAATTAATAGGAATGAGGTATTCAAGAGATTGCTAACTTTGTCTCATAAAGGCTCATTCTACAAGATAGAAAAGAGTTTTCCTTGGTTTTTAGTGTTGCCTGAATTTGCTTGCACGAACAGTGCCCTCTAGTGGTCATATTGATCCGCAGTGGAGCAGCCTTGACCATTTTTGTCCAAATTCTTTATTAATAGATCAACCCAAGGAAATGTTTATAAAATACTAAAATTATTATTATAACTTGATAGTGTGTTTGAGATGTATATTAAAAAGCCTTTTTATAATAATATTGGCATGAATTTTCTGTAGAATGTATGAACCTAAGAATCAGATTTGATTATTGAAAGATCACATTTATTTCTTTAGAATCAGAATAAATTGGACTCTGAACTTTAATTAGAGAAGAGAGAAATGTAATCTCAGTTCTTATGTTAGCTTTATTTCCTTAGTAGAATACTGTTCTAGGTGTTGTTTCCTGAATTCATGGACTGTTGAAATTTGAGACTCTTCTTGTTACAGACAAGGACTGGAGATATTTACCATGGCAAAATGTCCTGGGGCTTCAAACTGGGGCTCCTGTGGGTCATACGCAACCACTTCCTCCCGTGGGATTGCCACAGTGGGGCACAGACACCAATGCTTTTGAGAATACAGCCTATGACCCTCCCCAGCCCAGTTCTTACAGGCAATCCACCAGAGGTCTGGATTCTCTTTTCAATGAACGTAGGTTTAATAATAGACAGGGAAAACCACTGAAGATGCTATTTTTGACCTACAGACATCTTGAAGGCAAGGATAGTCTAAGATCATGTCAGTCCATTTAGATGTAGGGGAATTTAGGAATAGAAAGTAATAACACAACTAATATAGATTAGCATATCAATGTTTTTTTCCTGTATTTCCAATGATTTATAGAATGTGGCCTTAATGTGCCTCAAATATAAGTGTATATTTTGAATGTTCTGGATTCAAATTGTGCCTTAATCATAATGATTCTTTATCATCTACTTGCTTGTGATTTTGTAAACTGAAGTATGATGGAGTGGTGGGCAAATGGAGTTCTCCTCAGAGCTTGACAATGGGGGACAGAAGAATTTTAGGATGGCTGTATCTTATTTTCATATATTCAATGCAGTTTTTATTTTTTGCATTTTACATTTTTCTCATTTGATTTTTTTTCCATGTAAAGGGTTGAAGGATGCTTGCCTTACTGCCCTAAAAATATGATCCTTGATGAGGTCACGCTCAAATGTGTTTATCCAGGAGACTGTAAGTGTGAACCTTGCTTAATTTACTCTGACAAGTGAAAAGCATGAATATTTTTTCCTCTATGAAGCAGATGGTTGTAATCAGAAGTTTTAGACAATAAACTCTCATAAGACTTTAAATATACTTTCCATGGGTTTTGTGATGGTGTTATTCCTAATTACTTTCTAAATCATGTACATCTTACCTCTCACATCCCTCCTGTTTTTCCCTCCAAAACATTTTCTTTGAAGGAAAGAGCCCTGTGTGAATTATGTGGGTCTTACTGTACACAAATATAAATTAAAGAAGAGCATTTTTGTTTCTTTGTAGGCATTCCTGTGATTCCCACAGAGCCAGCCTTAGTGCCACCAGGTGAGCTCTTTCTATCCATGTTTTCAGGTATCATTACAAGGTTAGACAGTAAAATGAGCATTCCATAATATAAGTCTTGGCACACTTACCAGAGCTGCAGGCATTAGGATAATCCCATTGACTAGAAAACCCAGAAGGTACTTTTGCTTCATTAAGGAATTGTTCATGGGCTCAGCATGTCACATTTTCTACAACTGGGGTCTGCATACTCTTTTAGTTAGAATACTACTAAGATTCTACTAGAACTTTCCTCATGTTGCCCAGAATTTAGGTTTTACTAAATCCTACTTAAGGTTGCATAGTGATTGAATTGGCTCCAAGGAGATGCAGATGTAATCCAGCTTTCCTTTGGAGCCTCTACTGCTTTTTTTGTCTTCTGTCCCAGGCTCTAGTACCCTTCCCTCCCTCTTTCACTATGAAACTTGCTTCAGGAAAGAATTTAATAAAATCGAGTGACACTGAGGCTTGCCAAACTAATCATATTATTTTTCCTGGAATTATTATCTAGAAAAGTTCAAATTCAGATATTTATATTGGACACATTTTAATTGAGCATCAACTGTGCCAGCATCTGTCCTGGCACTGAGGGCATGGCAGATAAATCACAACCCTACCCCGAATAGCTACTAGTCCACAGTGTATTAAAGTATAGTCAACCTTCTGTATCTGTGGGTTCCACATTTGTAGATTCAACTAAGTGCAGATCAAAAATATTTGGTAACAAAGATTGCATCCGTGCTGATATGCTGAATGCATACAGATTATTTTCTTTGTCATCATTCCCTAAGCAATACAGTATAACTTGTGTGTGTGTGTGTGTGTGTGTGTGCAGCATTTATGTTGTATTAAGTATTAGAATTCATCTAGAGATGATGTGTATGGGGAGGATGTGTATAGGGTATATGAAAATACTATGTTTTTTTTTATATGAAGAACTTAATTGCTGTAGATTTTGGTATGTGTGGGAAGTCTGTAATCAATCCCCATGGACACTTTGGCATGATTGTAGTACAGTCAGGTACATAGGAACAGCACATGGGAGAGGCATTGTATTTATTTTGGAGCTGTAGTCTCAGAAGGGTAACAGAAGGTAGGGACTGTGTAGGAAGAAATATGTTCTAACAAGATGGTAACAGTAACTGTAAAAGCTGGATGATAGAGAATATTTCACATGAAGAGACATCCAGCTGGTCAGTATGTCTTGAATCTGCAGCATGTGAGGAAAAGTTCCAAGAAATAGAATAAAAGAGATTATTAGGGGGCTAGGTAAAAGGTTCATGGCAAAAAACTTGGAATTTTTTCCCCTGAAGGCAATGGTGAATTACTGAAGGACTTTAGGAGTCTTTTGACATTTTCCAAATTGTGGACTCACTATAAGCATTACTAGTACAGTTATTCTTATTAGCTAACATTCATTGAAATCTTACGTGCCAGGCATTGAATTAAACACTTGGCATACATTTAAACCTTATAAGAGCCACAAGAGAATGGGGTTATCACCCTTGTAGAGGTTAACAATTACTCTATTTTTGAAAAAGCATGTTTAGGTCGGGGCCAGAGATAATTTTCCAACATCGTTCAATCTATGGAGGGAATAAGTTTATTAAATAAGACTGAATATTCTAACATCCAGGGCATAGATTATTGATTCTTCTAAGTGCTGCTGTCTACTTTGACCTGATAACCTGATACCCCCCCCTCCCCACCAATCAATATTTAACATGTATTGCAAATGTGTAAAACTATTTAATTGTAACTATACTTCATGACCCTCAGGGATAAGAAAAGTAAAGCTGTTTCTATTTGTAGATGACATAGATAGATAGGTAGGTGGATGGATAGATAGAGATATTATCCTAAGGAATCTGCCAAAACCTATTAAAAATAATAAATGAGTTCACCAAAGTTGCAGAATTCAAGACCAGCATAAAAAATCAACTGTATTTCTATACACTAGCAATGAACAATATGAAAAGAAAATAATTCTATTTACAGGAGCATTGAAAAAGAATAGCATACTTAGGAATATATTTAGCAAAAGAGTTGAAATACAGACTTAAATCTGCAATGAAAATTACAAAACATTACTGAAGGAATTGAGCAGTTAAAGTAAATGGATTTGAAGATTTAATATTGAGATACTAATACTCTCAAATTTATTTTATAGGAACATATAATCCCTGTCATAACCCTAGCTAGTACTTTGCAGAACTTGACAAACTGACCCTAAAGCCATATAAAATTACAAGGAGCATAGTATAGCCAAAACAATCTTGAAAAAGAAGCAAAAGTAGGAAAACTCACACTTTTCAATTTCAAAACTTACTGAAAGCTGTAATTGTCAAGACATCTTGACTATTATTGTATATCCAGACAATTCTCATAATCTTTTGATTATTTTAGATAACAATGCACTCCTTCACATTTAGACTGCTGAACCTCTTAGTCACTAGAATTTTCCATGAATTTGTGCTTTTATTGTATTAGAACTTTGTATTATCTTTCTTTGCCTGAAAGTTTGTGGTAATGGAAATAAACATATTTAAGTCTATTAAATATCATGCTCTGTACACAATACAACATCTAATACATGTATCATGAACTTTGCTCCTAAGACCAAGGAATTTTTATTGTACTTTATCTATTCTTCAATTTGGGAACTACAAAATAATAACAAAAATGGGAGTTATCTGTGGAAATTATTTAACCAAAAGTGTAAAAGTTATCTATTATGTCATTGTGGTAGGCTGAGTAATGGCCCTTCAAAAATGTCCAGGTTTTAGTCCCTAGAATTTGTGAATATGTGACCACACATGGCAAAGGGCTTTGTTGATGTAAAGATGTTTTATGACTGGATCTGAAAATGGGGGAAATTAACCTAAATTATCCACATAGGACACACGTTGGAATCAGAGAAGATGGCAACAGAATCAGAGAAGAGAGTATTGGAGATATTAAGTTAGTGTTATAAAAGGTGAAGAAAGGGAGCACAAGCCAAGGAATTCAGGCAGCCCATGGAAATTGAAGGCAAGGAAACACATACTTTAAAGCTTCCAGAAAGAATACAGCCTTGCTGATTCCTCAGTTTTAGCACTCCTGATCTCCAGATCTGCTAAATAATAAGTTGGCTTTTAAATAATGTTTTAAGCAGCACCAACAATTTGCTACAGCAGCAACAGGAAACAAATTCCATGTTTTAAAATACTATCAATGATGGACATTGCAACCACAGTGTGGGAAAATTTCTTCTATTATTCTTGTCTCTTCTGTAGTCCTTCAGACTGAATGTTTTAGAGATTTCTCAAGTTCTGCTAAAAGCATTGTAGTGCCTTACAAATGTATCTGCCAATTGTGTCTTCCCTTTTCTTGGCCACTCCTTCACCACACCCACCGATGTTGTCCAAAGCATCACTATTCTGTTTGCAAGGAACACACCAAGGTTTCACCAGTGGAAAGGGACCAGCTTCTCTAGTTATTTTGATAATACAATAAGATTTGTAACTCCTGAGCCTGGAGACACCACTGGTATTTTTACCTGTTTGAACAATTGTGTTAACACCCTAAAACAGTGAAGGTGTTTATAGACTGGGCATTAAAATGTCATCTTTGATATAAGGAGAGCAACAAAGAACAGAGCAGGGAGGAAGAGCAGGAGAAGAAGATCACCATTAAACAGGGACGGGGGGGGGGGGGGGGGAGGGAAAGGGAGAGAGAAGGGAAATTGCATGGTAAAGGAAGGAGACCCACATTGTTATACAAAATTACATATAAGAGGAAGTGAGGGGAAAGGGGAAAAAAAACAAGAGAGAGAAATGAATTACAGTAGATGGGGTAGAGAGAGAAGATGGGAGGGAAGGGGAGGGGATGGGAGGGGGGATAGTAGAGGATAGGAAAGGCAGCAGAATACAACATACACTAGTATGGCAGTGTGTAAAAAAGTGGATGTGTAACCGATGTGAATCTGCAATATGTATACGGGGTAAAAATGGGAGTTCATAATCCGCTTGAATCAAATGTATGAAATATGGTATGTCAAGAGCTTTGTAATGTTTTGAACAACTAATAAAAAAAAAATACAAAAAAAAAAAAAGCCAGGGCTCTGGAATCAGAATTCCTGGTTAGAACTCTGCTCCTGTCACTTTTCAAACTGACTTCCCAACAGCTTAGTTTCCTTATCTGTAAAATGACGATAGCATTTTTATCTTCTTCACAAATGAAATAATCTACATAAAATTCCTTAGCACATTTTCTGTCACATGTATTCCACGCATGATGAATACCATTCCACTAATGAATTTCATCTTCATTTTTAGCAGGTCCAGAAATGATTACCCCCTCAGACATTACTGTATTTGACACACTAATGCCTACAACAGGTTTGGAATGTGAGGTATGACTTTTTATTTCCTAATAGCATTGGCTCTTGTTTCACTCTTCAAATAGCATTAAACTTCTTTGGGTTTATCATTGCTAAAAGATAATGATAATAATATGAATTACATTTTAACAACTATGTTTTATTAACTGACAGATAATTCTTATTGATTATGTTATAGTCACAGTAGTAAAAGCAAAATTTAAGTAAGAACCTAAATGTGATTTCCTAATAAAGAGTCATCTAGTGTGGCCTTCTCCATCCAACAGGCATTCATAAAATATTTATTGAGCAGCTACTATATGCCAGACATTATGCAAGATGATAACAATATATTGGCAACCAATAAAGATAAAAAGTCATTGGCCCCTAGAGCTAATAGTTTTCTCAGCTGATACTTGAGCAAATATCTTCTTCAAATATGACACTCATTTTGATAAACTAGCTATTTATTTAGTCAATATTTATTTAGCACCATTTCTGGCCAAGAAATGGTTAGCTACTATTGGTAAAGTATAAAAGCAGGCCAAACTTCCTGCCTTTATGGAGTTTGCATTATATTGGAGTTTCTGAGATTGCCAATAAGCACAATATGTCACATTAAAATGTTAGAAAAAGCACTGTTCAGGAGAGTAATGAAACTATTTTCAATAAACTTGTTAGAAAATCTCTACTGATTAGATAACTTTAGAGCAAAAGATCTAAAGAAGTTGAGAGACTGAACAATGCAGAGGACCAGGAACACAATGTTCCAAACAGGGGCCTGGCAAGTGAGAATACCCCGAGACAAGAATGTATCTAACATTTAAAGAATAAGAAAATAAAGCTGGGCTTGCTGGGGCATGCCTATAATCCCAGGGGCTTGGGAGGCTGAGACAGGAGGATCATAAGTTCAAAGCCAGCCTCAGCAAAAGCAAGGCACTATGCAGCTCAGTGAGATCCTGTCTCTAAATAAAATACAAAATAGGGCTGGGGATGTGGCTCAGTGTTTAAGTGCCCTTGAGTTCAATCCCTGATACCCACCCCCCAAAAAAGATAATAATTATTATCATACTTTCAAATAGAATATGATTTATGAACTTTGAAAGCTTTAACTCATATTTATCTGTAAGTTTTAAACTATATATTAAAATTAACTTGTAATTATACTAACCACGGGCTATTAATGTCGCATATGAATTTTTAATGAGATATTTGGGTAGGATTAAGTTGTGATTTTTTTTTAACCAACATGAACAGAAGTTATATTCATATACTAGCTCTACATAACATAATAGGAAAGACTGCCTGCCATCATACAAATTTGCTTACCAAGTGCTAACCTCAGAATGTATGAAAGGACTTTATTTTGTCTGAGTGTATGGGTAATCCTGACGCTAAATCAATATTAAAATAAAACTTAAATTAAGTATATATTGAATATTATAGAGAGGACACATCAACAAAAACTTATAGTGAAATTTTTAATTTTTTCTTTCAGAGTTTTTGTATTTAGGAAGTATACACTATAGGCAATGGGATTGTGAAACTAATACATCAACTGAGAATATTAGTTGAAAATAGGGAAAAACTTACTACTTTTTCTCTTCTATTAACAGCCCCAGCAATTTGATCCTGTATATAACTGTAGCCAATATATATGCCTTAATATGGAATGGACATTATACAACTGGTCTCTTAATTGCCCAAAGGAAGTAGAAATGCCGGACTGTGGTTTCCGGGGAAGACCTGTTCAAGTGAACACTGATATCTGCTGTCCTGAGTGGGAATGTCCTTGTAAGTTTGCATTTCTTATGTGCTGGCTAAAGTTTTAAAAAGGGGAGATTGCTGTTTTTTGGAACTGATCATGTCATTATACCATCATTGTTTTTGAGCTTTCTTCATTTGATTGAAAAATTTTTGTTTACAGTATGTGACATTTTGTGTTGCTTCTTATCAAATGTAAGGCTAAGTTAAGAGATTTTTTTTAAAGCAGCTATTACTAAAAACAAATAGTTTATAGACTAATTCCACTTTACATCACTTTATCTTAGGTCGATGTTCCATGTTGTCGGAACTGAGCATTATTACATTTGATGGAAACAATGCTGCACTATATAGTATGGCTTCTTATATCTTAGTAAGAATTCCTGGGGAGATCATAGTTGTTCATATTGAAAAGTGTTCCTTGAATCAGGTAGGTCCTAATCCATTTTTGTGGTCATTTCCTTATAAATATATAGTTGAGATATATTGTAACATTTGAGATTTTAAGAATAAAAAGGTGCTTGAAACCTTATATTGATCTTCTGATATTTAAATAAAAGTGTTTTATGTAAACATATCTAAAGGCATATCATATTACTCTAAATGATGTTTTAAAAAGTCAAGTAATGAATTTCTTTTAAAAGTGTTTTTTGGCCAGAATGGATAGTGGGAAATGACTGCTAATAGGTATAGGCTTCTTTTGGGGATGATTAATGTATCTTCAAATGGTTTGTGGTTGCACCATTTTATGAGTATATTATAAACCACTGAATTATATACTTTAGATGGATTAGTTGTATGTTATCTGAATACTATGAAATAAAGCAGTTAAAAATTTTAAAAATTATGTTCTGTACTTCTTTTCAGAATGGAAACTCATTTAAAAAGCTAGTGAGTATTTGCAAATTATTTAACAAATTCATTCTGTTTATGATTTAAATTATGTTCAACTTCATCTAATTTTTATTTTTTCAAAATAAGGCTTCCTCTGGAAGAATCTCTGGACTTTGTTTTAAGAAATTAAATGTGACAACATCAGTAAATAAAATTCTTGTCAATAGGGTAGCAAGAAAGGTAAGAATACAATTGAAAATTTTCTTTACATGACATGGAAATAAGAAATTATATGAAAACATTTGGAAAAAGAGGAAAATTAAACGTATCAGTGCAGTTTCATTGCTCTTATGGATAATCATTCTTTTCATGGGAAGCCTAAAAATGTGTTTCTTAATATTATATTTCTACCTCCATTTATGTGCCAACTGTTGCATGTATCTCTTTGCTGTGAGGTTAACTTAAGGGCCTTGTTAAACATTCTAACGCCCCTCAGATAATACTAATGACCAAGCTTCTTCATAACAGAGTTAATATTTGTGTTTCAAATAAGACAAGGTGTAAATGATGGGAAGAGGAGGGATCATAATGTTGAAAAGAGCAGTGGCCCTGGGGAGCAGAATGAAAACCACTTAGAGAATAAGAGGTGGGAGGTCTGGTTGTGAAGTGTTCACATCACTAAATTTTTGATGAATAATTGATTGCTAAAATGAGAAAAAAGAAAGAATATTTACCTTTATTGTAGTAAATGAAACAAGAACAATGTGTTATGAATAAGCTTGAAAGGAGCCACTTGCTTCTGAATGAAAGACCCTTATCATAAGAACTGTATGTTTAGTATGTAAGAGTGAGTTATGAGCTGTGTTCTTAACTCAGATCTAAATTGTCCTCTGTAAAGTGTAAGAAAAAGATGTATAAAGATTTTACTTAAATTGGCTGAGATATTATAGGCTTTCTGAAAATAATTCCATTAGTTAGCACAGGTGCATAGGTCCATATAAAAATATTTTTTCTCTTTAATTTGATCTGAAATCAATGATATTTCATCTAGTTACCAATTTCCTGAAAGGTATTGTCACTACTGTGTCTTTCTTTTCCTAAGTTAGTTGTGTATACAAAGGCAATTGCCATTCAACAAAGGGAAGAAAAAATAGCTTTCCTTATCTCTCTCTTTTTTAAAGCTTATTCAGACATCCCTTTTAAACATTTAAAAATTAGTCCATATTAAGTCAGAATAAATGGAACAATCTGTATTGTCCTGAATTTTATTAGTGTGTATTTAAATAAATACCTTCCTAACAGATGTATTTATATTATTCTAGGTAGAAGTGGATTCTATTGTTGTGCCTTTGCCCTTTTCAAATCAAGAACTGTTCATAGAGGATTCTGGTAGTATGTACATGATTACTACCCCAGCTGGATTAATCATAAAGTGGGCTCATCTTACAGGAATCATAGACATTCACTTTAGCTTCCGGTTTAACTTGTCATCCTATACAGAAGGACTTTGTGGTGAGCACTGATCTTAAGATCTTTTATTTCTTCTAATATTTCTTTTCCTTCCCACAGTACATTGTTTTGAACCCTGTTGGCCCACTTTTCAGACTTGAGTTGTGATACTCACTTTCATTTCCCCATGTGAATACTGAAGAAAGCAATGGTTTTCAATAAAGGGCTAAGAAGCAAGAAATAACAGTTCAGCTTAGGTATTTCATGGAATGAATAGTTTACTACTATTATTACTATAATACTTTATGTTTCTACTAACTCTTCTTTATTGAGAATTAATAAAGTATCAGGCATATTTTAACTCACTTTATTCTAACAACCCCTAATAAGATAGTACTAGTGTTGTCCTAATTGGTAATTGATAAAAATAAGGCATAGAAAGGTCACAGGCTTAAAATTTTTGTTTCTTCCTTTTTGTAAAGGTTAATCTCAGGGAAAATGTTTGTCATATTGAAAGAATACGATGTTCTGAATACATGTCTCAGCTTGATTATGAGGTATACAACTTATATGTACCTTTACACTTAAGCTTAATATTGTAACATGTTACATAGATATTAAAAAGCTATAAGTTAAAGGAAACAAACCAAATATATCTGTGGGCATATAACAAATTTTAAAAGTACTGGCTCTTGTGTCTCCTGGAAAGGTGAACAGAAATTATATTCAACTTTCTGTACCTATTAAGAAATCAGTTTCCTCATCTTTCTAGTTGGTGCAGTAATATCATTTCAAGATCATATACAGAAATCAAAATATCAACTTGTATACATAAATTGGCACAATTATTACATGTAAATTTTAAGTTTTAATATTTCTCATTGATAGGATTATATGTGAAAAATTAATGTAGAATGCTTAAAGTGTTACTTACATTACAGACAATAAATGGTAATTTGTAAAATATACATCAATTTTAACTTCATTAAACATTCAGTAAAAGTTTCTCCATTACCTTCTGAGTGTTTGATATTATTTTTGATGCTAAAAACTCAAAAATGAATATGACTAAGCAAGTTCTTGCCCTAAGAAAATTAAATGAAATATTTCTTTTTTAAAACACAAATATCTAGTAGAAAGTTTTGTTAAACTGATTTGCATATTTCCTTAAAAAAGAAAATGTTTCTTGTCATGGACTTCAACAGTGACTTAAATTTATCATGTGGAAATAGTTAAGTATATGTAGTTCAATAGTTATATTAACAACTCAGGCTTTGGGAATGGATTTTTTGCTATGATTTAGCACTTCTGAATGATATGATTTTTGTTTGATTTTTATAGTTTTTTCCTCCTCTGCTCTGAGATCTTGCTTTTAAGGAGACAGATACTCTGCTAGCTGAATTGTTAACTAAGCAATGTAGAAAATCAGTCTCCTAGGATCACCGTTTTGCTACCAAGGATCATGGCCTAAACTCCATGACTTTCAGAGTATGAGAAAGGTAGATAGTTAAAGGGTCATCTGAGTGGTGTCAGAACCACCAGGTTGGGTGCCAACTGAAAAAGTTGAGGTAAACAAGAGTGTTATCCAGACTGAATATGGACACCATAATGGAAAAAGCTTTATTGACATCTAAGTCTATATAACACTGAAGTCAGCTGGGGTGATGGATGGAGTTGCAGTGAAACACATTTGTATTAGAAATTACCTCTCTCTTCAAAAGTCTCACCTTAAATTCTTAGCGGTTACTTTGCATGAAGTTGAGTTTTTTTCCCTTTTAATTGCCCTCAGAACCCTATATATTTATAGGGGTGAGATATCTGCAGCAGCAGCAGCCTTTTTCATCCTGATGCACCTTCTTGGTGATTAATATTTGATGTTTGAATAAAATGTTTACTTCATATATTATAACTTACAGTCTTGGAAATTACGAAAAGTATGTGTTAATGTAGGATGGGACTTTAGGAAAGGTATGATAAGGGATCTGGTTCCTATCTCTGTACTTTCCTTGGCTCTGTACTCCACTGGATAAAGAATTAGCTTATTCTCAATCTGGCCTTCTTCAAGCAGATCAAAGCATCATAGTCATCAATATGTCATGTCACTCCAATGAAGGGAGATGGTCTGTGTCCTGGGATTCCCAGTTCAAGCCTTGAGTTTGACAATGGTTTTCCTGATGATGAATAAATCTGTGTGGTTACGTGACTGCTATAAGTTGGCTGTTTTACCTGTACAATTGCTAATATAAGGGAGTAAGGATTGACTTTATGTCAATCAGGGTCCTTACGTGGAGTGGTATCATACACTGGACAATGGGAGCGGGGCAGTGGATAATTCCTGAAAGGGAAAGCTTAATATTTCCAGGCAGAGTTATCCTGGGTGAATGTGAGCCTGGAATTCAGTCACTAAGTGTACACTATTTTAGGTGATATCTTGCCAGGTGTAAAAATTTGCTCTGAACTAATGAGATGGTGGTAATAATGGAAATGTGTAGGAGGAGGATCCATCTTCTCTTTCTTATCTTTCTATGATCTCTTCATATATCTTTACTTATAGCCCCATGACTTTTTTCTTATTGGGTTAAGGCAGTTCTATGCTATTTTATAAAGGAGTTAGATATATAATTTTAAAAACCCTGTCAGTGCTAAAGCCAAAGACACATAAATTTGGAACTTTGATAAAAGAATTCATTTAAAATAAATTATTAAGCTGATTTAATTGTGCTAATTATATTTGGTTTAAGTGAAAAAATTTTTTCCCTCTGAATGTCACATTTCTTTCAAGGAATTTGCAATGAAGATCCAGATGATGATCTGAAGATGCAAAATGGCACAATTATTGTGAATATGGAAGACATAGAGTTATTTATTGAGAGCTGGGAAATTGAGAAATCTTTTGCAGTAACAACAAGAAGACCTGTTAGGAATTGTACTGAGCGTGATTGCAGTCACTGCATTGAGTTATTAAATAGAAGAGTTTTCATTCCATGCCATGATAAAGTAAGCCAAAGCACCTATAAATAAGAACTGTCATGTTAGACATATTGAAAGTAAAAGCCAATAAATTCCTGGTTTTGCTATGATATTTTCCTACTGATAATAGTTTATCTCCAAACCTTCTGCCAGTATGTTTTAGAATTCAGAATCACTTACTTTTTATAGATTTACAGATACAGGAAGGATAATTATCTTTTTTTTCCCATCCCATGTTTTGTTAGAACTGTATTTATAGCTTAAAAAAATGAAGTTCTTTCCTATGAATAAATGCCTCTAGGAGAAAAATATCAATGGAATTTGATTACCCAGTATAGGAACTAAGACATTGAAACTTTAATCATTTCCTTACGATTCTGGCCTCTTGTAAGAACTTACAAGAACTTAATTGATCATTATTACTTGCTAGACTTCTGACTTGAATAATTAATACGTATTTTAAATAATCTATGTCATTAAAAAAGATTCATTGTTAGAGACAAAGGACAGACATAATTTCACAAAGTGTTTAACTAAAAATTAATGAGCATTTAGCACATAGTAGGCACCATGTTATTGTGATACAGGAATAAAAATTTCCCCTGATGTCAAGGAATCTACAAGAAAGGCAATCTGTGAACAAGTGTATTACAGTTGCAATATGAAGATCCATAAGAAACCAGATTGGAAAAGACTTCGTGCAGGTTTAAACCTTTGAACTGTTCAGAAGGATGGGTTTTCCAGGAAAGAAGGGAGAAGAAGGAAGATCTAGACAGAAGAAAATAGTATATGCAAAAAAAAATATTTGGAGTAAAATCCCATGCAAGGAAAAAAATGAAGCAGTTTTGTGCCACATATATGGAGGAAGAATCTAGGGAGGAGAGTGATGAAATTGAGTCAGGAAGGAGCTCACTATGTGCTAGATGGGGAGATGTAGATTCTATAGTTAGCCTGCACTATGAGTTCCCTGAAGGAAAAGGTAAGGGTTTGAAGTCATGGAATAAAAAGGCATATATTTTTGGAGGTTCTCTTTACTTAGATATTTGAGTGAAAGTAAGTTTTAAGTGTTTAAATTTTTTAAATGCATGCACATAAAATTTTGAAAAGCAATACATTTAATGCATGTTGTTGTCACTTTAATGTATTCTTTAAAGCACCATGAATTCTAAAAATTGCATCAATAACTGAGAACTTAGAAGGTTGACTGGAAAGTTTTCACCTTGACTCATCAAAGTGTGGAGAGGTAATACAGGGTGCCATTTAGTCTGCAATAGCTTCAACTTTTCTCTTAGGATCTTCCCAGTGAATTTGATGGCAAAAAAAAAAAGAAAAAGAAAACTGGAGTCCAGATATAGATGAGGAATTGGACATTTGCACAGATGGCTAATTATTTAATATCTCAAAATATAGTAACATAATAACTTGATCTGCTACGTAGATAAAAACCATTTTAATTGGGGACGGTAATGCTTATGTTTTTATAGTCAGGAGTAAAAAGATAAATTTTTCACATAGGAAAAAAAGACAGGGGTGTGAATTTAACCTGTTGTTTAAGAAGGTGAACTAAAAGGCATCTATCTATGACCTTATAACTGGGTCAAGACAAAATACCCCAGAAAACTGTATTAAACCTGTAACTCCAGGTTCTAGGTCATGGAGAAATTGGTGTTAGAAGATGTCTGTTTTGGCCACTGGGTCAAGCTATGGAGGACATACTCATAATAGCTGGTGACCATATTGGCTGAGGCCACTGCAATCAGACTGAACCATACTAGACATGCTATGACTGGCTTCCAGGGCAATACTCCCATAAGGATGATCAGGAACAGAGACGTGACCATATTCTTCTATAAACATGAAGTGAGGCAGGCATGAAGAGGCTACCCATCAGCTAAGCAGACTTCTCTTTTCTCCCTACAGGCAAGTATAGGCCTAGGCCTCTAGAGAAGCAATTAGACTGAGAAAAGGAAAACTCAGAATTTAGCATCTACATATAGATGCACATTTTGTGATTACTGAATGAATGAGGGGAGAGAAAAATTGGAATAAATTTTAAGTTATAAGCTAAATTATTGAGATATCACAGTCTCTAGATCAAAATAGAACATAGTCTGCAGAAAAAATAATTGAATGAAAATAAAGCATAACAAATTATATAATATGAGATGAACATGGAATATTAATATAAAGAATTTAAAGAAGCATTTATAAACTGGTTTAATGGATGATGCTATATACTATTATAGAATGCTTTGATAGCTTCCAATTTTATCTATAGTAGCTCAATCTCCTAGGTATTATATAGAAGAGATGATTGTAACCCAAATCATAATATTAGAAATAGATTTTTGCTAGACCTGAGTTACTCTCTTTCTTTTCCAGCCTTCTAAGAAATATTTATATAGATTAGTATAGATAACAGTTATCTCATTTAAAATCTGTTGGGAAATATAAATTCAGGGGTGACATCTAGTATTGTGAATTCTTGAAAATCTGAGATCTAAGAGGAACTATAATGAATATCAACTTGCTATCATTTTATTTTCCAAATTGTCTTAGTCTATCTTAGGGCCTTTAGAAAAATAAAACAGCATAACTTATCCCAAGGCAAAATGCATTTCTAGGTTTCACCAAAGGACTTTTGTGAAAAGATGTGGATCAATTATACCTATTTTTGGAACTATGAATGTGATGCTCTTTCTGCATATGTAGCTCTGTGCAACAAGTTTGACATCTGCATTCATTGGAGAACACCTGATTACTGCAGTAAGTAACCACTAAATCTATACAATATTTTCTAATCATTAAATAACATTCTTTTTTATTCATTTTTCTTTTACTTTTTATTTTTAATCAAATAGTAATTATAAGCATAAGATACACAAAAAGCAATATATCACAAACAAGTCAGATCACTCAACTTTACAAATAAAATTTACAAGTGTTCCTTTTTTTCCACATCCTCACCAACATTTATTATTATTTCTATTCTTGATGGTTAACATTTTTACTTGAGTGAGATGAAATCTCAATGTAATTTTGATTTGCATTTCCCTGATTGCTAAGGATGTTGAACATTTTTTCATATAATTGTTGACCATTTGCATTTCTTCTTTTAAGAAATGTCTCTTTAGTTCATTTGCCCATTTGATTGAAAATCACTTTGACTGCTATGAAAATAAGTATGGAGATTCTTCAGGAATAGGACCATCATTTGACCCAGTATTCCGCTCCTCACTATTTATCTAAAAGAATTGAAATCACCATACTATAAGAGAGATTTGCATTCCAATGTCTATAGCAATGTAATTCACAACAGCAAAGGTATGGAACCAGTGTAGGTGCCTGTCAACAATTGAATGGATAAAGAAAATATGGTATATTTTATATGGACTTTTACTCAGCCATAAAGAAAAGTGAAATTATGTCCTTTGTTGTATATATATAAATGGATAGAACTGGAGAACATTATGCTAAGTGAAATAGGCTAGATTCAGAAAGTCAAGGGTCAAACATTTTCTCTGGTATGAGAAAGCTAGAGAAAAAAAAGAAATAAAAGATGGGGATCTTCTATTTTCATGAGAAAATAGAAGGAGATCAATAGAGTAGTAAGGGATGGAAGGGGAAGGAGGAGACAAATGAAAGGGAAGGAACTGAGGAATGAAATTATCCTAATTGTATAATCTGCATATATAAATATATCACAATGAATCCTACCTTTATGTATAATTATAATGTACCAATTTAAAAATATGCAATTAAATGGAAGGGAGGCTAATATAGTAAAAGAAGGGGAGGGAAGAAGAGAAGGAAAGGGAAGGAAGCAAATTATGGGGAATGAAATGGAGCAAATTATGTTATTTGCATATAAGAAAATATCTCAGTGAACCACACTATTATGTACAATTATATTGTACCAATAACAACATAAAAAAATAAAGTTGCATATAAGGCTTCTCTGTTCCCTTCTCTTATCCCTTTTATCTTCCTCCTTCCACAGATGAATCATTATTTGAGAGCAGCATTCCTGATTCATCTGGAATGTATGCCATCTCCACTTTCACTGGGTGCTGTCAAATTGTTCTCCACTGATATTGAACCAATTTATACTCCTACCATCTGAGTATTTCTTTTCTAACAGTATAACTTTTTAAAGATTATTTAAAATTAATAAGAATTTTCTAAAGCATCATTTAAAGACTGTTCAACAATAATTTTCTTTTAATAGTGAAAGATTAAGCCTAAATATGACCCACATTTTTTTATGACTTGGTTGAATTACATTATTTAAAGCTGATCTCCATGTTTATTCTGAGTAGATGACATATCTCATTTGACTGCACAGAGCATTAACTTTGTAATAGTTGACTACATGGAAACCAGACTTGGACTGCCTATGTTTATTTGATACAAATCAGATGAACTTTTAATATTAGCTGGATACCTGCAAGATGCTTGAAAATACTCATTGATGATCTTGCTCCTGATCTACAGTACACAGAAAATAAAAAAAAATGGACATTGAAGAGACTAAAATGTGCAAAATTCCGTTTCAGAGACAAGTTGACATTTCTTTCTTTTATTAGAATTCAAATGGGTTATGTTTATCATTAACAAATTCCATCCTTTTTGTTCATAGCTTTGAGTTGCCCAGATGGGAAAGAATATCAACCCTGTGTGCAACCTTGTGAGGCAAGAACATGCCTGAACAAATGGTCCTATGGACACTCTTCATGTTCGAATTTAAGAGAAGACTGTGTGTGCAAAAATGGGACTGTTCTTCACAGGCCAGATAAAATTCAGTGTATTCCAGAGAGAGAATGTGGTAAGAAGCAAAATACAAAATAATTTCTTTGAGATTTAACACACAGATAAGAACATTTTTTAGATATTGGAAAGATGTGCTGAGAAAAATTAATCAAAGGTAACCTAAGTGTTGGAAAGGAAATAAGTTTGTAATGTGCTGTTAATATGGTTTCAGTTGAATTTAACAAAATTAGTAGATTTCATTATGATGTATTTTGATAGTTTTATATATATACATATTTATATGTATATATATGTAATAACTAGGAAAGAGCATGGAAAATTAAGAATTAAAAGTATAGGTTGTGGGATGGACTTAAATTCCAATTATTTTCTGTCTTTAGCTTTCATTTTACCTCTGAGCCTGAGGTTATGCCTCTGCAAAATGAGAGAAATGATAGTGCTTATTAACTTATCAGGTCAGCGTGGAGAGACATCAAACAAGAAAAAGAAGTTTGCATTTAATGGTGCTTTGAGAAAGTAAGCACTTTAGAAATGGCAGATAGAATTATTATCTGGGGAAAATTTTAATTTTTCTGCTGTCATTTTCCAACAATTTAATTTTGACACATTGTCTAAATGGTGGTGGCAAATGAAAATGTGAAAAACTGAGGAAATCACTGCACAGTAGTTTGATAGTCATAGGGGTCTTCCTTATGGTCAGACAGGTAATTAGCTAGCAGTTAAAGGAAAGGTAAGTAGAAGCAAATGTATATAGTTTTAGAAACAAGCTTGAGATTGCCAATAAATAAAGGAAGGAAGACTTCAGAATACATAGGCACAGTTATGCTCATAACTTTAGAGATTTAACAGCTTGGTTTGCTAGAGAAGTGCTTGAATGCTGAGGATATGATTGTAGCTATTTAACTTTATTATTCCTTAAGAAAACTACTAGAGGGCCATATTTACATATAATATTTTTCCTAATTGCCTAATTTTCTCTTTTAGATTTTAAAGCGGAAATGTTTTATATTTTAGTATGACATGAATTTTAATGTGAGATAGGGACTACTTTTTTCTAATGTCATTTATTTATAACAGTTAATATTTTAAAGCTAATTCACATTTATATCGATGAGTTTGTTCAAGCTAAATAAATTGTATTGATAACATCTTACATGTATTAAAACAACTAAAAATCATCTTATTTATAGCAGAGGGCATATAAATGTATAGATAGTTGTAGGAAGGAAAAATATTTTCTGTGGCATATACACAAAGGTTGGTTAAAGAAAAATATGAGCTGATGTAGAAAAAAGGAATCTGAGACAGGATGGATTTGTGACATGTCAGCTATGTGACTGGATCAAATCACAGTCTGAATTCAAAACATAGCAGCTTGATTTATTTTAGTGACTAGGTTATGAGTGACATAACATTGTCAATTTCTTCAAGTTTGCACTGATAGAGAAGATCAACCCCGAACTGCTGGGGAGATTTGGAATGGGGGCATTGATGAGTGCGTCCTGTACAAATGTTTGGAGAATGGAAGCATCATTCCTGTAGAACCTGACTGTGAAGAAGAGCCCTCTCCCTTTTGTGAACGAGAAGCCGAAATTGTCATGGGCACCATTGATAAGCTGACCTGTTGTTCAAAGGAAGTTTGTGGTATGTGCACAGGTTGATGCCTCCAAATTAGTACTGCAAAATAGGTTCATTCTTTGTGTCCTTGACACTTGGTCTAAACAAACATATAAGGGTTGAGGTAGCAATATAGTCCTGCCATAAATGTCATTTTCTCAAATATATTATGCAAATACATATCAAAACTCTGGCTATTAATAACAATACAATTATTCAGCAATATATGTCAAGAGAAAGGATATGGAAAACTTTAAGGCATGACAATCAGGGGTGAAAGACTACCAGACAAAACTTAAAGCTGCTCTTTTTTTCAAATATAGATTGCTTTGTGAATGGAATAGGTTTAATGATGGTGGAAAAACATGTTAGTGAAAGTCATTTTCCTGTTTCAAGTTCACAGCCCAAGTTTTTAGTTTTGGCCACTATTTTTAATGTTCTGTTTCTTGCTTCTAGGATGTGACATGAATTTGTGTGAAACTACCATTCCAACATGCACAACTAGTCAAAAATTGGTTGTTGGTTATAGCCCTCTTTCTTGTTGTCCACAGTACAAATGTGGTGAGTTAATCAATTTGGAAAACTGAGTAAGGTTCATTGTTCATTCAGAATAGTGGATTAGAATCTCTTTCTTTACATCTTCAAGAAAATAATTTGTCATAAGAGATTTCAGGGTTGCTATTTCTATGTTTCTGTTAACATTAAGATCTTTATATCACTAAATTCAAAGAGAACTAAGCACTATTTCATTTATTTTACTTTTATTTATTATTTCTTCATCTTACAAATTTTTAAATACATTTGTGTTTCTGCAGAATGTGACCCACTCAAGTGTCCTGTTATTTCAACACCAGAATGCAGAGAAGACCAATTTATTATTCATGTTCAGCAGGGAGAACCTTGCTGTTTTCCCCCTCTCTGTGGTGAGTATTCTAGAGATAATTTTTAGGAAGAAGAGGGAGGATCTAGAGAGACTCCTTTATTTGCTCTGAATTTCATGGTGACTGATGGAAACTGATATTCTAATTTTATTCTCATAGGTATAAAACTGAATAAGAACTGTAGAAAGAAAAGTACAGACACGAATTGATGTGAATATACTTTGTATACAACCAGAGATTTGAAAAATTGTGCTGTATATGTGTAATAAGAATTGTAATGCATTCCACTGTCATATATAAATAAAAAAATTAATTAAAAAAAAGGAAAGGAAGGTACAGCATTTTAAATGACTCTTAACCGTTACTATTCTTAGAATCTTCCCCTACCCCAAAATATATGTATGTATTTGTCTAAAACATGGTCAAGACAATAAAATCAAGTTTTTTTCCTTTAATAAGGCAAGTATCTAATTTTTTTGAAGAAAAATTTGTTACTGACTTTCCTTGAAGAACCAGTTAGAATAATATGCTCTGCTAAGACATTATAGGACTTTTTAAAACTTTATGTTCTGCACATCAGAATATAAAGTTCTGATGATCTCAAAAGAGAATGGTAGACAATAGAGTATCTAGGAAATAATTAGAGCTAAGTAATCTGACAAATTGGATATTGAAAAATAAAGAATTATCTACTTTCCAATCCAAATGAATTGTCATATCAAAGATTGGTGCTTAATTTAGGTTTCAGATACACCTAGGAATATCAAAACACATTTGTTTGAATCAGTTAAGGTCCTTTGCAAGTGGCAAAAGCCAAGAGATTTTGGGTAGATGAAACACTAGCAATTATTGGAAGGATTTGGGGAAGTATGAAAGCTGTCCAGCCAGACTCTGGGAGGAAAAGCCAGCTGCTGTAGGTGAAGGCCACTGGTGATTGAGCCAGCTCAAGCCATTTCTTGTCCCCGGGTACCTTTATTTATGATTTAAATTCCATAGGAGGAGATTTTGATTATTCTACAATGGGTTATCCTACAAAGTGGGCTGGTGAGAGTGAGGCACCTCATTCACAGTCATTTCGGTACTGTGTGGGTGGGCATTTCTCAAGGTTATTCAGAGAATTATTATATTTGGGAGGGATGCTAAACAGCTCAACAGAACAAGTGCCTTCTCCATTGTTATTCTTTAAATTAGAATAATCAAAGATAGTGAATGAAGTAAACTTCAATAAATTAATCAATGATAGTTTGATCTTAGTAAGGATGAATTACTCCAGAAAACTGAATGCCCTTTATTTCTGATAGATGGTGTTCTGTATGTCACTGTACTTAGGAAAGCATAAAGCAATATATCATCTGGGCAGTATCATCGTTTTATGATCAAATAAAGAACCATGCCTTATTTTCTTTGTTTCGTATTTTATTTAGTATCCATGTATTTTATTTTGATTTGATTTTTGTATTGTAACCTGAATTAACATTTGATTTGCTTTCAGCTTAGCAGTGACTTTTGGCTTTTTGTTTCACCTTTAGTTTGTGAACCTTGCACTGAACCTATTCCACTATGTTCTGATGGGGAATTTTTAACGGTGAATCTTAATACCACACATGTCTGTTGTCCTCAGTATTACTGTGGTGAGTGTATTGAAACTAGTTAAAAATATTTTGATGTGTCTAAGAAATGACCAGAAATATTTATATGTTTAAGAAGCCCAGTGGCTCTTAGGTGCACTGTTACAGCAGACCCTTTATCAGGGCTTTGCACTTGAGGAGCTGTGTTAGCACTGCTGTTACTTACAAGACACTTGTTCTATCTACAACTTCACATGGTGAGGCAGCACTTGAGAGATGAGTCTATGACCTGCATCAGTAAACAAGATGGTAGGTAATAAGATTCAGCAATTACATAAAATTAATCTTTATCCATGTGGTTTCTCCTTCTAGTCTGTGAAACAAATCTTTGTCCTCCACCACTGCTCAACTGTGCAGAAGATATGAATCTTGTCAAAGAAAATTTATCTGGGCAATGTTGTCCAACATGGCATTGTGGTAACTAATTTCATACTTAAAAGCTTTATTATAATAAGCTGATATATTTTGATCAATGTAAATATGTCGATTTTTGCCTTTTAGAGTGTAACTGTGAGAACCTTATAATGCCAACTTGTGAAGTGGTAAGAACACATATTTAGAATGTTTATTATTCAAATTTACTCTTCCTTTGTCTCCTTCATTTCTGAATTCTTCAGAGTTAATGGAAATATCTTCATTAAATTGTACTGAAGTAGATTCAATTAATGTGCTCTTTTATTACAGAAGTCAACCTTTTATATTTTATGTGAAACAGGAAAATGCAACCCATGATTTTTTTAAACTAGTGACTAAATATACTAACATTGTACTTACTGAAGGTCACTGGTTTTTAAATGAAGCAAAATATGGAAAAATATTATTTGAAAACTGAAAGGTATTTCAAATCTCAAATGTCATAGAAATACTATTTATAATGGCCCAAAGTAGAGATACCTGAAGGTGATTTTACTACTGACTTTAAAGGAGAAAGATGCTTATATGGGAGTAAAAAAATACCATCATATTTGATATAATAATAAGTATTGGTAGAATAATCAAGTGGATAATTCCTGTAGGTGGGTATTATTGAGAATAAAGGTGTAACTAAATATGTGGATAAGATCTCAAAAGAAATAGGCATAGACTATGAAATAGGGAAGAATAGAAAACTTAAAGCTAAGCTTGAAAGAAGGGAATGAGCACTGTGGCTTTAATTATTAAAAAACAGGTGTATAATTACTTAAAAGAGTTAGGACTAGCCAATTTTTTCCTTATTTCATCTTTGGATTAGCTTAGGCACTGGCAATTTTTTTTAAAAATTCCGTCTTATTTCCAATAACATTGGAATGATGTCTTTTGACTAAAGTCATAAAATTACCAAATGAATTAATGATAATGAAACTAAAATGTATAAGGCGCTATAAAAATAAGATATTAGCTTATGGGAAATGCCTTTTATATGTTATTATGAATTGATTTGAATAATTTTCTTATGTAAAGAATAAAATTCATTTTATTTCTAATGTGATATGAAAATTAAAGGAACCCAGGAAAATTTGATATTTAAAATGTAATTCTCAAAGATTTAAGTCTGGATTGATCAAATTATGTTAAATGCATGTACAAATATGGCATAATTAATCCCACTATTATGCATAATTATAATGTATTAATAGAAAAATTTAGGTCTGGTCCTGGGTATTCCTTACAGGGCAAAATATGAGAATCTGTCATGATAACATTTACTAACAATCGAAGATTATATACTACTTTCTGTGTGTCAGCCTATTTCTAAGCCCTTTAAGTACATTGACCCATTTATTTCTCTCAATAATACTAGGTGGCAAGCAATATTTTATCTCTCTTTTACAATAAGGAAAGTGAGGTGCACATTGGTTAAGTAACATGCTGTAGCTCACACAGCTAGTGAACAGCAGAGCCAGGATTGGCAGAACAGGGTTACAGTCCTGTTCGCAAGTCCATGCTATTAACTGCTACACTAGACCCTTCTGCTGCTGCTCTATCTGCCATATCAGCCTTGTTTGGATGCAGACTGCAGAGTTCTGGACCACCTCTACAGAGAAGATCACAAACATTTCCACACAGCAACATTTCCAGGGTGTCAAGCACTCTTTTAGATCCAGTTGCCCTCTAGAAGTTCAGAATCAAACAATGTAATTTTAAAGTTATGACAGACCACAAAGATCATCTTATCCACCTTCTCTCCCTTAATAATAATAAAGCTTAAAGAGATTGAGTGATCCACAGTCAATGGATCAGAGTGACCCACCCCCCTGGGTTACTAGTGAAATGACCACTAGGTCAACCTAAGCATAATCACTAAAATATCTTGCCAAGCACCTGTTGTGTGTTTAGCTGTGTGGTAAGACATCTATTAGATGTTATAATGAATGTGTATTTTAACAATTGTCATAATAAGCTATATAAGTCACATAATAATAATAATTTCTTTCTAATAGGGAGAACTTACTGCAATAGATCATAACTTTCAGAGTGACTGTGGATGTTTTCAGTATATCTGTGGTAACTACTTTTTAAAATAACTTTTAATAATAGATGAATATTTTGGTATATGTTGCTTTCTATTTATAAATTTAAAATGATCTTCTTTGAGAGAGATACATATTAAACCAATCACCAATATTTGAGTAAAAAAAGTACTATTAATTTTCTTTTGAAATATCTCAAAATGTTCTGAGAACTTGGTAATAAGAAAGAAAAATGTTTTTTTTTCCAAAGCTTTCACAGGATTTTAAAGTTGATATCAGTTTATATTTAATTTTTAAAAACAGACAATATCTAACTGTGTGAGGTTTTTTCCCTTTGTTGTATATGATTGATGTCAACATTGTAAAGCATAAGTAAACTTGATTTTTCTATGAAATAAAGAGTGTTCATATTAAGTAGTAGCAGGATAATAGGAAGTAAAACTTTTGCTCAATGGCTTGAAATTCTTGTATTTTTATATTAGAGAAAGCTTATGTTCAGAGTTGGAGAGGCACAAAGCTGTGCTAAGTATATCATATAAGCTGTGCTAAGTATATCATATTCCAGCTCACTCTAATTTTTACCACTTTTAAAGACACAGTAGTGCATTAAATTAGCTCTCTCCCTCAGGAAATATGATCTATATGACTATTTATATTGTAACACTAAAAACTGAATAACTGCTCTCAAATAAGCATTAAAAATCACGAACACTGCAGAATCCCAACTTCATGAATTAGATGTAGCCTCTGTCCGCATCCATGTCCATCAGTGGTTGTGCTGTGTCCTAAAGAGAAAGCAGCAAGTAGCTTGCCCCTCACTGGGATCTCATATTTCTGAAACCTGATACAAAATATAGATTTTGAAGGAAGTTGAATTATAAGGGATGAATGTGCTGTATTCATTATTAATTAATATTCTAGAGTTATTACCAATGTGTAAGAATCTTACTTGATTTTGAAAAAAACTAGCATATCGCATGAAAACATAGGCTTAAATGTAAGTTTATTTGATTGATTAATATAAGATAACATTTTATTTTCATATTATTTTTTATACTTTAGAAAAGGATGATGTGTGTGTATTTCAAGAAGCATCAGTGTTGAACCCTGGACAATCTATGATAAAGTATTTTAAAGGGGACTTTTGTTATAAAATTGAGTGTCTGGAAGAAAAAGATAACCACACAGGGTTTCACACTTTGAATTTTACGATGGTGAATTGTTCAAAAGAATGTGATATTGTAAGTATTCTTTATAAGTCATTCTGATAAGAGTTAATGAATCTAAAATTGGCAGCTGCAGAATTCAAACTAGTGAATACTCCATGAGTTAAAAATGTACTCTTGAATAGTTCTTTAACTGTCTATAATGTAATAACACACTCATTTAAAGCAGATTTCCACTTTCCTATGTATGACCTTGAGCTTCAGGAGTCTTATTATCTACAACTTGCCAGCTTGCTTGACCTGAGATCACAATTCACTTTCTTGATGAGTCTTGGTTGCTAGGTGTAAAGGTTAACATCGACTTCACTTTTAATATGGTTATATAAAATCAATTATTATTTAAAGCTCTTCAAACTCAACCTTAGAAATGCTTATGGCTGTTCTGAGAGAGCATATAATTATGTTGGGAAACAGCTCCAGAACTAATTCAATAAAAGTGTTTGTATTGTTGTGTGCTAACTCAATGTACTGTCACCATATGCAGCACCAGGTGTACATTCCATCCCCAAGTGATTATGATTGTTGTGGAACCTGCAAAAATGTATCCTGCAAGTTTCATATGGAAAATGGAACATCAGTTATATATGAGGTATGCATTCCTTATTTCTTACCTTCTTTAGAAGGTATATCTTTGTGTTGCTTTTTGAAGATGACATTCTTGAGTTACATAAATCTGAAAAGTGTCACACACCCATATATACATATATACATATACATATAACAAACATAACCATAACAGTGCACTTAACACACTGCACACATTTGCTACATTTTAAAGCATTTGATAATTTCTATTATCAAAAGAAAAACATGTTTTAGTGTCTTCACTTTTTTCTCCTAGATGTGGGAAATGGGCTATGGGAAATAATGATTTCTAAACGTATAAATGAAAAAGAAAATATTTCTTTGGAACTGCTAACTTTTTTTTAATAAACCAGACATTAGTGTTTTCTGAATTAAAATATTTTATCTTCTTTTATGCCAGAACTTATGTATCATTTCCAATTAACATTCACAGAAGACTGGAAGCTACTCACAAATTGAGATAGAATCTAGAGAAAAGAAAGTGGTCAGGTTTATTAACATGTTTTACTGGTCTACATGGCGTCTTCAAGTCAGAGTTTAACTATAATTATAAAATTTAGCTTACAAAATAAAGATATAGATTAACTATAGCCCAATACTTGGGTAATAATTACTTCAGATGACTTTATTTCTAAATAGGAATTCTGAAACCAGGAACAAAATGTTATATTTATGTATTTGTTAAAAGAATAGGAATAAGTTTTATAATAACCAAAGGTATATGAAATTAGAATCATAGGTCAATAAGCACTATCATCCAATTTTTTTAAAATTTTTTTCTGATAAGGGAGTAGAAGGAAGAATAAACAAATTTCAAGAAAAGAGGTGTATAAGTAATATGATTTGCTTTTTTATAATTAGTGAGGAAATGTCAGAGTAAGAACTTTGAGACTTGGTCAGATTAGATAATTATTTTTTTAGTAGAAAGTGATACCTATTTTCTGATTTCTTCTCTATTGCCTTATTTCACAATTACATATTTGTTCTATTATGAAACCAAACACAAACACACAAACAAGTATTTTCAATAGTTTTATGTAAATTTGGAGACATTTTCAGATGGAACATTTATTCCACAAGAAGTTCTCTGCATCCTTTTGAAGTTGATTCAGTAAGATGGGAAATTGTTTACTTAAGAAAGTAAGCATATAAGGAGAGCAACTAAGAACAGAGCAGGGAGGAAGAGCATGAGAAGAAGATTAACATTAAACAGGGACGAGAGGTGGGAGGGAAAGGGAGAGAGAAGGGAAATTGCATGGAAATGGAAGGAGACCCTCATTGTTATACAAAATTACGTATAAGAGGAAGTGAGGGGAAAGGGGGGAAAAAACCAGGGAGAGAAATGAATTACAGTAGATGGGGTAGAGAGAGAAGATGGGAGGGGATAGTAGAGGATAGGAAAGGCAGCAGAATACAACAGACACTAGTATGGCAGTATGTAAAAACGTGGATGTGTAACCGATGTGATTCTGCAATCTGTATATGGGGTAAAAATGGGAGTTCATAACCCACTTGAATCAAATGTATGAAATATGATATGTCAAGAGCTTTGTAATGTTTTGAACAACTAATTAAAAAAAGAAAGTAAGCCGATTTTAACATACTCAACAGTAGCTTTCTCTCTCTCTTTTTTAGGAGGGAAATACTTGGCACTATAACTGCAGCACATATGAGTGTGTTAAGACTGAAGAAGGAGCAATGATTCTGAACTACAGTATGGTCTGTCCCCCTTTTAATGAGACCGAATGCAAAATGGTTGGTACTTTGTTATGTCTAAGAAAACTCTGTATTAACTATAATTTAAAAATATCTGAGGTCATACTTATATTGTGGTGTATATTTTATAGTGCATGCTTTATTTTTTCTCCTAAATAAAAGTTCTATTTTATTTCCTTAGTTTGCTATTTTAAGTTCTATATGGTGATCCAGATTTGACTCTCTGAATGGACACTTTGCTATCTCTGGGTTTTCATGTGTAGTCAAAAGATTATTGAAAAGTCCTATGCTCAGCAAACCTAGCCCTCCTTGTAATACAGATTCATAATTGAGTTTAGCCATTTTTTTGGTAGTCAAATGGCCAGATTCATGATGTCATTCACTTTTTTTTTGGTATGGAGATTGAACCCAGATGCACTTAACCACTGAACCACATATTCAGCTTTTTTTAAATTTTTTTATTTTGAGAAAAAGCAAGTTGGTGAGACTTGCTTTGAACTTGTGATCCTCCTGTCTTGGCCTCCCAAGTTTCTGGGATTAAAGTAGTGTGCCACAGTGCCTGGCTCATTTCACTTTTTAATACATGCTGGCCTACGTGATACTTTCCTTAGGTTCTTTGAGCACAAGCCACTGGAGGACTTAGTATAGCATTGTTGGTTCTTCACCTTTGCCTTTCAAATTATCTATTCTCTCAGAGAAGAGTCTATTGAGAGAATGGATTTCAAAAACTGATATAAATTTTATTTTAAAAGATTTTTTATGTTTTTTTTTTTAAAGAGAGAGAGAGAATTTTTAATATTTATCTTTTAGTTTTCGGCGGACACAACATCTTTGTTTTGTATGTGGTGCTGAGGATCGAACCTGGGCCGCATGCATGCCAGGCGAGCGCGCTACCACTTGAGCCACATCCCCAGACCTAATTTTTATGTTTTTAATTATTTAGGCAATATTTATCCATAATTAAAAGTGAAATTCATTCAGTTTTATAGAAAAATAACATAGTTCCATTGATTATTTTTCTAAGAAACCCCCTTTTACTGCTGATGGCTGGTCAACTAACTTTAACATGGACTGAAGTCACAGAATTAAAGCACTGGAATTAAAATTAGGCATCATCGTATTTCACAGACTCATTTTTAAAGAATAAATTGCTCTTTTATTTGAGTTACAATTAGAAAGTAAGTAAAAGCAATTAGTAATCACTATGAGAATTATAAAAGCTAATCAATAAGATTTTGTTAATTGAGCTTTACACAAGAGCCACCATAAGGAATGGAATTTTTATGAATAATAAGATATTAAAGAAAAAGATATGGTATTTAACAATTATATTGATAAACTCAATTTAGTCTAAAAGGGTAGTTTAGATTGGAGGAGTTGAAAAAATATAATAACATCTATTTTTATCTGTTATTATTTTGCTTTGGTAAAAATATTTTGAAGCGTTTGAAACATTTTTTTAAGAAGTATGTTTTTTTGCATTATTTTACACATTATTAATGTAGAAATAATATGATTTTAAACAAAATATCTGCTCCTAAGAAATTCTTATTAGAAACAGTTAAATTCCAATCACCTTTCAATAAAGGCTTTGTGATATTTGATTAAAAAAATTGTGAAGAGTTAAGTTTCCAATTTCTGGTCTAGGAAGAAATACATAAACTGTATTTTTTTTACTTTATTCTTTTTCTCTTTTCCTAGAATGAAGGACTTGTAAAGATTTATAATGAAGGCTGTTGCAAGATCTGTAAGTGAAGACATATTACATGCAATAACTTGATAGATTAGTTTTAATTGCTCACGGTGATTGTGTTTTTCTCATAGGATTCGATTCCTATGTTACAGAGGAAAACAGATTTTATAAAGTACATTATTTCAACAACATTATCATGTGGTTGATAACTTTTTAATTTAATCTTTATCTTCTGCAGTTTATATACAATGTTTTAAATTTAGATAAATTTTAAGTTTATTGTTAGAAATTTCTTTATTATGGAATCTCCCAAAAGGGATTGCATAGGATTTTAATAGATTTTAAATTTATGAGTGCATCATGGTCAAATTTTCTTGGAACATTCTGAACTATATAAAGTTAAACAGGTAATGGTGAGAATGGCCTTGAGACTGCAGTAAGGACACAAATAGTACAATGTATTCCAGGTGTATTTGAACATGTCTGTGGTTCTGTACTTTTGGGAAATATCATTTTAGTGAAGTGTATTTAAATAGTACATATAAAAGTTCCCATCGTTATATTGATAATAAAGTTATGTGATATATTTTATGTTTGTTTGAATTATAAGGTTTTATTTCATAGTGATTTTGTATATTCTAAGGACTAAAATAGAATAGCGGCATATCCATGCAACTATTTTTCTTTTTTTAAAAAGTGTTTATGAATTTTTGTCAATATAAAAATGGAAGGTCTTAGAAAATTGCGATAGTAATTTAAAAGTTGCTGAGGATGCTTTGAGGAAAAGGGCAAAAGAGTTCAGGTTAATAATGTCATGATGTAGGGCTGGATTCTTAGATACAAATTGTCATGCTTCTCAAATGAAATTTCTGAATTTCACGAAGTGGTAAATCCCATAAATATGTAAGAGTAGTCTTACCTATTCAGAGCTGTACAGTCTTACTGAAGAGACTGTTAAAATGCATTAAAATAATGTTGCAACAGAGCTATGATATATACCATGGAACATAATAATAATTTAAAATTAGAAACTCTCTTAAATTTTCTGCACAATATTTATTCCTTATGAAAATTCAATAAAATAGGTTTTAAAAGTATCCTGATGTTCAACTCAGAGAGTTAAGTAACTTGTTCTTATCAAACTTCTGTGACTGAGGAGGTGCTGAACTATATATGACCAAGTTGTATTTGCATGATGTCTGAAAAGCCAAATTCAACAAGCATATATATAAAAAAAGCAAATAGTCCAACATAAAATGGATTGATGACTAACTTGTCATTGGATTAATTTCTACAGCAGCTGTGTGACAAAGTAATGCAAAGTGGTGGCTTAAACTAGAGAAATTCATTGCTTCACAGATTTGGAGGCTAGAAGTCCAAAATCAGGATGTTGGCAGGGAGGCTTTCTAACTGGGGCTGTGAGGGAAGGGTCTGTCTCCTTGCATTGTAGATGGCTGTCTCTGTGTTTACATGGTGTCTCCTCATGTGACTGTCTCCAAGTTTCTTTTTGTAAGGACAGCAGTCATATTAATTAGCGCTCACTAATGATCTCATTTTCACTTGATGACCTCTGTAAAGACCTTGTGTCCAAGTGAAGTCACATTCTAAAGTTCTAAGGGGCATAGGAATTTTTGGAGGTCAAAGATCAGCTGATAAGAGTTATATTGCTTGGACATTGAGGATAGCATAAAATCACTTATGTATTTTTAATTACTGGAGATCTTAGACACACACTAATTACTTTTTTTCTATTCATTAGAAATAGCTATTTTTCATACAGTCTTTGCTGAATCAAATGAAAACTAATGTGTATCAAATAGTCATTGTATCATGAGTTCAAGGAATGAAATTTTACTGTAAAATCTGAAGAGGTTTATATTTTATTTCTCTTCTACTTCTTCCATGTCTAGACTCTTAGGGATGAGATGCAGGCACAGAGAGAAGCATGTTAGCATGTTATAATGTGAGGTCCTGGTTTTTATAATCCTATGTTATTTATTAGAGAAGTGAGAATGTTTATTTTATATGAGGGGAGATATTGGTGTGACTAATCTAATGAACAACCATTTACCTGCCACACATTGACACTCTTAAACCCATTACAGATAAGATCATAGTTAGTCTTTTCAGCCTTCTGGGAGGTAAGGATGGTCCCTCTACAGGTGAGATCAACAGAAGTTGATCTCCTTAGTAATGGCTTTAGACCTGTCCAATGCCTGGACCCAAGATCTTTCAAATCTACCTGGCTCTTAAAAGTTATAGATCAATGATAATCCATATTGGTTTCTCTCATTTTATATGTAAGGACTTGTGAAGTAGTTCTGTTTTGGCTTTAGAGAGGTTAGGGTTAGGGTTAGGGTTAGGTTAGGGTTAGGGTTAGGGTTAGGGTTAGGGTTAGGTCTGTGGTCTGTGCTTTTGGGTGAATAGACTGTGTTGGAGAAATTATGGAGGTTGGATATTATAGCAGACACTGTTTAACAAAATGGGTCACAGTAAGGTCTCTGAGGAATGAATAGGAAATGCCTCTTAGTACAAACAGACTCTGCTAACAATGAATTAATGCTGTCCCAGTTTCATTTGTTGAATGAATGAATTTATCAAACAGGTTTGTATTGAGCCCCTACATGTGCCAGACACCCTTTTAGGCACTGGGACTATAATAATGAATGAAATAATATCTGCATGGATAGTGCATATTACCAAGAAAAGGGGAAAAACAACATTAACTGCACACATATATACTGATGTATAAAGTAGTGATGAGTGGTCTAAAAAAAAACAGCACCAGCCAGGCACAGTGGCGCATGTCTGTAATCCCAGTGGCTCTGGAGGTAGAGGTAGGAGAATTGTGAGTTCAAAGCCAGCCTCAGCAAAAGTGATGTGCTAAGCAACTCAGTGAGACCCTGTCTCTAACTAAAAAAATACAAAATAGGGCTGGGGATATGGCTCAATGGTTGAGAGCCCCTGAGTTGGATACCTGGTACCCCACCCCCACCCCACCCCCAAAATAAAAATAGCATCAAATTAAAGAGATGGAGAATAAGAGTAGTTGGGTTGCTAATTTAAATTGGGGCTTAGAAACTGTGTCTTTAATGAGATGTCATTTGAGCAGAGACTGAGTGTCCTAAGGGAGACATGCAAAAAATGAAGAGTTCAAAGTAGAGGTAATAGCAAAGCATGGCTACAACACAGAGTGAGGGAAGGAGAGGGATAGACAAAAGAGGGTAAGGTAACTTTTAGGTCATGGTAAAGATGATTTCTTTCTTGACTATTCCTTTGCATTGGGTTTACAAGAGATTAGGAGGGCTAATGAAGTAATTACTGATGAAAGCACCTCAAGACACAAAATAACCTGTGCTCTGCCAACAGCACTGAGCCTTGGGCCTTGCTGAAGTAGAGCCGTCAGGGAAGAGGAAGGATCAGCATAGGAGACTGATGAGGAGCAAAATGAATTAAGGAGGATAGAGTGATGGACTGGATCTGATGCTGCCAAGAAGTGATGAGGACTGAGATGTGGCTTTGAATTCAGCAATTTGGAGGTAGTGGGTGATCTTGACAAGGATAGGTTAATTCTAAACAGTCTTAGCTACTCATCTCTCCTTCAACCAGAATGGTTTAATCAGGGTCTACTTTATATGATGGGATTTCACGTAAGCTTTTATTTCAGATGAAGACTTCGTGACTAAACTCATTTGAAAATTGGTAATATAATTCCATCCTTTTGCAAATAAGGAAACTCAACAGAATGATTCAGTGACTTTCCTAAAGTGGCAGAGCAATTTAGTAACAAGTGAAGTGAGAATCCTGGACCTTTACATTCTGATTCAGGAGTTATATCCACTACCATACAATATTAAATATACATACATTCTTGGGTGCATAATCTAGTGACAATCTGTCATACACAAATGTACCATGAATGATTACAAAATATTTTCACTTAAAATCCTAAAAGATCATCACAAAGCCATAAAATCAAGGATGACCCATCCACACATTTCAGTATGATTGTTAAATAATTCATTGCATTTTTGCATTGTTTTATGTTAATATTTGCTAAGATAATGTGGCTTTAAATCTCTTAATTTGTATTTTAAAATTGATGTGTAAATGTGTTTATGCATTATTTATATATATGCTTATACATATCATGACTCATTCCCAAATTAATTTAATATACACATATACTACAATATAGGTTCATTTTAGCATTATTATATGTGTGAGATAGTTTTGATTTATGATAATGATATCTATTATAAACCAAGAAGTTTAGAAGTAGAAATAAATAAGTATAAAGCTAGAAAATATAAGAATTTATTTAGAAAGTAAAAATAAATATTGCATAAGGAATGGAATTTTAAATTTTAAATTATTCATTTAGTTAATTAAATTATTGTGTAAAGTAAAATTTTAAATATCTTTTAATACTGGAATATATTTTATATAAATATATAAAATTTCAAATTTAAATATACTATGTTTAATTAAATTAAGAAACAATTTTACATGGCCCTTTGATGAAATGTGTTCTGTATTTTATCAGGCAAACGAGAAGAAAGAATATGCCAGAAAGTGACGATTAAATCAGTCATAAGGAAACAGGACTGTGTAAGCCAAAGCTCTGTAAGTGGAAAATATCATTTGTTACACAAAGAACGTGTGCTTTTCTAGAAGCATATGTGTCACTAACCCATAGCACTAACAAATTTGTATGCCAATAAAAAATGCCAACATACTATGTTCAACTTTAAGAGAATTCCTATATTCAAATATTAAATATTCTCTTTGTGAAGAAGTATGACTTATTCTTAGTATAAATAATCAACAGCTCTAAATGATAATTGCAATCCAGAGAGATGGGAATTAAGTCTAAATGTATTTGACCACATGTTGTCTTAACTATGCAATTTTACTCAATGAAAATAGTCATAGTCATGTCTGCCCTCTTTCAAATGACTCAATTCAATGTCCTACTTCAGTTGTGACATAACACAAGTGACAAGAGAATGATTAGATTGTGATTAGCATATCCCCCACATCCATCTAGATATGTTTGCACACTTGATGCTTTGAGTTTTGTCAGTGTTGCTATTTTGGACATCATTATGGAAAAGCTCTTGACTTCCATGAGTTTCAATGTTGTATTTTCCACAATCTTTTAACATGCAGGAAATCGAGGGTTAAAGTGGTAAGGAAGAAAGCCTTGCTTTCATCTGACTTCTTATGGAACATAATAATAATCAGTGTTTTTAAATTTTTAAGATAATTTTCCTTATTATATCTCCTTACAGATAAATGTTGCATCATGTGATGGAAAATGCCCATCTGCTACCATATATAACATCAACGTTGAAAGTCACCTAAGATTCTGCAAATGTTGTCGTGAAAATGGAGTACGAAACTTGACTGTGCCTCTGTATTGCTCAGGAAATGGCACTGAAATTATGTACACTCTCCAGGAACCTATAGACTGCACATGCCAGTGGAATTAAAATCTTGGATTCCAAGAACTCTGTACATCATAATGTCAAATTCAGTTAAATTTTATGACCATTATTTAGGCACTTGGCAGACTTACACTGTTTGACAATAATGTGTTTTTAAGACTACTGGGATTTGATGATTTTATAGTTGGTACAAAATATATACAGCTCCAAGGGCAAATATCAGATTTATTAGATTTATTGCTTCATTTTAGAGAATCAAATGATCATAAATTGTTCAGTTGAAATGCTATTATGTTTATAACTGCAGCACGGCACAAATCTGGAATGGTTCCATTAAATAGAAGGCTATTTTGCAGAATTCCTTCAGTTTCACTCATGAGTTTTTTTTTTTAATTTGCAGTTTTCCAAACCTATACAGATTAAGATATCTTATAATTTCTACTGTTTAGTTTGATAAATGTGAGCAGTTAAATTGGCAGCTAGATAGCCTTAAAGAATTGTGTATTTAGAGACAGATCATAAAGCTATAGGATTTTAGGTTACTAAAATGAATATTAGGGATTTTATTGCAAAGTCCTCTCGTTTTGCTGGTGTAACTGATAACCAGAAAATACTTATGACTTGTGTAAATTCATTCAGCATAACAACGTGTAGAATTCATGTTAACAGCTGGATTAAGTTCTAGGCCTCTTATTCTATCATATGTTCTTTTATTTTGAACAGCTTAGTAAGGTGTCTAAATCCAGAATCTTTAATTCTTAAGGAGTTTTCATTGGACATTATTAAAAATTTTAAGTTCAATATGTTTATAAAAATGCTTCATATACATTAATAGTTATCTCAGTAGTAAGGAGCAGGGAAATAGAGCATCATTTTCTTAATAGAAGAAGGATAACTTTAGCTTTTATTTTTTGTACCATTAAAACTGCTATTAAAATTGTTACTAGTTAACATTTAGTTAGATAATTACTGTATCACTGACATCTGATTTTTAAGATGTATTTACATACTATTGAAACTGAGTGCTATTTTGCCATTAATGCTGCTGCTTTGCCAACAAAGAGAGAATCGAAACTAACTGAATGTATTAATAATTTTACAATGGGATGCTACACTTTTTGATACAGTAGATTATTGACATTTGTAAGGCATATATCTTAAAGTCTTTGTGAGTTCACAAATTCTTTGCCACCTAGAGCACACGATTATCTCAGTTTCTTCCTCAGTAAAGAAAGGAGTACTTACTGAGTGTGAGGGGCAAAAGATGTCCAGCATCAATAAGAGAAGAGTAAAATGACAGTGAGAAGCAAATGCTTGGATCTAATAAACTAGGCTCAGGCTTGAGGGAGGTGATTTGCTTTCACATACTAATGTTTCCACTTCACAATCATGCTTCCCAGAAACACTGCAATTTATCTTGGATCTCCATGGTTACTAAGAAATTGATAAAAGGATTAATATTGCATCTGCAAAGTCCCTGCATCTACTGTGTATAAAAATGATTTATCTTGTTTAATATAAATGTTTTCTGTAGACATAAACCATCTCAATCTCTTTGATTTTTATTAACATATTGATTGAAATAAATGTTTTTGTTTAAAAATATTAACATTGTACTTAAGAGATAAAGTGTTATGTACCTCAAATAGAAGTGTGTAATGTTGTACATTATCTATTGCCCATTTTCAAATTTCCAATCTGTGAAATATTTGTTATTAAATTAAAAATATTAAATGATCTTTAAACATATTTGTGGGGGGAAAGGAAAAAATTCTTTTAGAACTTTGTGAATATCCACCAAATATAACAAATAACAACTGAGGCTCTTCCATGTTACCGGCACTATTTTAAACTCTGGGAACACAGGCCAACAAAATGAACATAGCCCTCACCTTCATTAACTTAGAGTATAGGGAGAAAGCATACCTTAACCAGCTGTACATATGTGGAAGTTCAAATGGAGACCCCAAAACTTATTGGAATGTAGTATAAACTAAAGGAGCCCTCAAATCAGCAGAATGGCATAAGGGAGAAATAAATAGAAAATAAATAGAAATAAATGGTGTTGAGACAACAGGATAGTCACTGGGACAGAGAAATTTGGATTTATACATCCACTGAGATTGGGATAAACTCTAAATGAATCAGTAATTCAAATGTTCCAAAACAACAGGACAGAAGTTCTAAAACAGTTATAAGATTCATTATAACCTTAGATGGAAAGGGCTCTCATTCTGACTCAATATCTAGAAGCCTAAAAGAAAAGATAAATAAATTTAATAAGAAAATTGGAAACAAGCAAAGTCTTCATGGCAAAAAAAAAAAAAAAAAAAAAAGTAGAACCAAAGAGACAGTATTTGCAATGTGTCACTGACAAAGTCTAGTATTCCTACATGGAAAGAGTTCCTGAGAAAAATCACAAAAGGGAATAATTGATGAGAAAAACTTGTCATATACTAATAGTTCCAAGAAAAAATAAATAATACTAGTTGACCCTTAAGAACAACAACAACAACAACAAGAAAGCACACTTTTAATAAAAGCACTTCACATTTAATCTACACTGAAATACAGGTTTTTCTCCTACTGGACTGGTAAAAATGCAGAAGTTTGATAATATTATTTTTTAAGATACTGGGAAAACAGACTCTCTCATATGTCTTTGCTGATGACACAAAATCATAGAAATCTTAAGGAAGACCTAGTGATATATACTAATGTTAGAGGTATGTTGTGTTTTGATCAAACTATCTAGGATATACATTCTAGACAAGCACCTGTACAAACACAAAATGGTACTTTTGCAAGGTTGTTAATTGCAGCATTGTTTGGATTGAAAAAGACTGGAATCAACCAGCAGAGGTGGAATAAACTGTTAATTCATATAATGTAACACGATGCAACTGTGAGAAAGAATGAAGAAAATTTATATATTGATGAGAGTCAATCTCTAGAATATAGTTTTAACTGAAAAGATATACTATAGAAATATCGAACAGCAAAAAAACAAAAACAAACAAACAAAAAAACCCATGTAGAACGCTAGGTTTTGTTAAAAGAAATAGGGGTCCAAATAAGAGAATGCAATCCTATTTACTTCATATTTACCTGGGGTAGTAAACAATGGGCTATATGGCACAAATAAATAGTGGAGGTGGATCAGGGCAGATGGAGACTGAATGGAAACAAGGCTTTGCCATGTGGACCTTAATATAACTTTTTTACTTATTAAACTATGAATACATCACATATTCTGAATATTTAAAGTAAATATAGAGTAAATAGATACTAATATAAAGAAGTAAACAATCCTAAGTTCTTTTATAATGGATTCTGTTACATTTTCAGCAAAGACATATATTTCACTGTGATTTTTTATTTATTTGTGAGCTTTTTTTGTGCTAGCATGTATTTACTTCGGACAGTGTCACTATTTTTTGTATTCCCAGTGCTTTGCACATAATAGTTGTGCAACAAAGCACCACAATTGTACATATTTATGGGGTATAGTACAAATTTGATTCATGTATATGGTGTACAATGATCAAATCAGAATAATTAGCATTTCTGTCTTCTCAGACATTTATTATTTCTCTGTGTTGGGAACTGTTGGACTTTTCTAGTTATTTTAAAATATAGTATAAATTGTAAACTATAGTTACCCTACTGTGCAATAGAACACCAGAATGAATACCTCCTATCTAACTATATTTTGGTATTTGTTATCTAACCACCTTTCTCATTCTGTAAGGACACTGTTCCAACTCTACTTCTCTGAGATCAGGTTTTTTTTTTTTTTTTTTTTTTTTTAGCTTCCACAAATGAGTAAGAACATGTGGTATATGTCTTTTTGTGCCTGAGATATTTCACTTAACATGATGAACAATTCTAAATTCTGACAAATTCTACAAGAGTAGAGGTTGTGATGAGAAAGTGACAGCAAAATCTACTTTAGACTAAGTGGACAGGACCGGGGAGCCTCCAAAGTAAGCCATGCATAGGACAAGTAGAGTCAACCAAGAAAGCATTTTTCAGCAGAGAACAGCACACACTAAGGACTTGTGAGAGGGCAGAACCGGGTAAAGCAGGGAACCGATAGATAGTGAAGTGTTTTTGTGCATTTTGGAGTAATTAGAGTGGGGCATGTATTGTAGAAGATGTGGCTACGATGTACTGCAGATCCAAATAAAAGCAGAGAGATAGGTAAGATGCCATTGCTGTAGAAAAGGGGAGAAATGGTAGTGAGTACTGATAGAATAAGTAGTATTCAAGATATATTTTGGAGGTAAAGACAAAAGTCCTTGGCAATCATTGTGGTGAAAACAAACAAACAAACAAACAAAAAAACCCAAACCGTCTTGAGAATATCTCTGCATTTGATGAGCAGATGGGTGGATGGAGAATGAAAACCTTGGAGAGAAAGGAACATTTTTGGGGATAAGAGGGAAGATCTAGAATTCAATTCTGGTCATGTTGATATGGCTATTAGACGACTGAATGGATTATTAGAACGTGGCCCTTTCTTTAGGTCTGGTGGCAAGAAGAGACGACCATGAGAAATATCTAGAGGATTTGGTAAAACAGAAATAGCGTAATGCTACAAGAATGAAGTTAGATAGCATGAGAGTACAGTGAAAGAAAACAGGACGCATAATTAAGGACAGAAGACGTTTAGAGGTCATTTTGGAAAGAAGAGTTAAGGAAGGAGTCTGGGAAAGAATGGTCAGAGAGGTTGAAATAGAGTTTGAAACCTTAATGGGGTTCATAGAAACTCCAGGAACACAAGATTATACAAGCGAATGGAGAAGAAGTGCTAATGAGGAGTCACTGCATTTACAGAGGTAGAGCTCACTGGTATTATTTTATATGGACAAAAGCCATACTGAGGTGGTATGACGGTGTTTGGTGCTTGATATGTCTGACTCCTTTTGTGCTCCTCTCCTGCTGTCCTCATTCGCAGATTAGCTCAGGCGCATGCGCACGTCTCCCAGCTGGTGGTGTGGACCTGCCTTGCGCAGACCTGGACTTCAGTGACTCGCCTTCTGTGACCTCAGTCCCAGTCTTTTTCTTCTTCTTCTTCTTTTTTAATATTTTTTTTTGAAGTAGTTGGACACAATACCTTTATTTTGTTTCTTTGTTTTTATGTGGTGCTGAGGATGGAACCCAGGGCGTCGCACGTGCTAGACGAGCTCTCTTTTGCTGAGCCACAACTCCAGCCCCCGCGCCCAGTCCTCTTGCGTGGAGGAAGGACTCTTTCCTTCCCGCTTGCCAGCCATAGGTGCTCTGGCTTCCCGCACCGCTTCTGGGCCTGGAAGAAACACCCACCCCGGTGAAGGCCCTCATGAACTGTGGGAAGCATCCTGGAACAGAGGAGGTGAACTCTGGCCCAGAGTGGCAGGCCCAGGAGCCAGCAGGTGAATGGCTCCCTCTCGCTGCTCTTCTCAATCCTCTCCACTGCTCCAAGGGCTTGTGGTTCCGTTTGGCCTTTCAAGAAGTTTGTGTTCCATGGGTCTGTGATTTGCTAACAGCGTGACTTGTGTTCAGTTTGTTTGTCCCCTGCCTCACCTCTCTTCCCTCAAATCAGTTTCTCCCAGAATCCACCCCACTTCAGTAGGTGACAGCTGTCTACACCATGTATAGTGTATGCACGCACACACACACACACACACACACACACACACTTTCATGTATTTCTTGATAGGCTCAGAACAATGATGAGACACCTTTTTTAGCTTATTCAATCAACAAAGACTTAACTGGTAATTATGCCATGTGGGGAAGAAGAGTGAAAAACAAACTCTTACGTACTGTAGGTAAGAGAAAAAATAATGTAACCATGTAAACAACTGCCTTTTTAGTTAATTTTGCCTTTCTCCCCATCTGTCTTGATTTTGACTGTTTCCATAATTTTTAAATTCTTAAAAAACTTCAGTTTTATTAGCTTTTTATGCAGCAGAGATCTATGCTCTATAGTGTTTCATTAAGCGAATATAATATTAAACCAGTCTGTCAATGGATATCTATTTATTTCTATGTTTTTCCTATTATAAGTCCTTCAGCATAAAGTGGAATTGAAGGATTAAATAGCATTGTCATTTGAAAATTTTCTATTCATTTTGTCAAATTTGGCTTCTACAACTGCTGAATTCACTTTTTTCCTTGCACAAACAGTATTTAAGAGTTTGCTTCCTTTATCATGATCAACACTAGATAGGAACAGATAAATTGCTTGATACAATAAGCAAAAGATGTCAGTTTGTAGGTATTAGTATATTAGAGTTTGCCACAGTGTTCAAACCTTGATGTCTATTAGGATGTTTCTAAATCTCTTCACACAATTCTTATCTAACAGTAGATAATATATTTTTCTATTGCCAGTATGTTTTTATTAGATATGCTTTCATTTTATTTAATCTGATTTTATGTTTAGGAGTATTAATCATGTTTATATATTTTTTATAGCTATGATATTTTCTGTCACTTTTGTCATCTCTTTTTTTCTCTGCATAATTGTAAAAGTTTTCAAGCTTTTCTTCCATAGTACTTATTCACATCTTCTTTACTTCCATCAACATAGCTTATAATTCTGCAAATATATATTCACAGTTTACTTGCATTTATTTCTTAGGTGATTTCTAATATCATTAAG